TAAATTAGTATTTATCAAACTAAAGTCTTGAAAATGTATTCATTTGTTCTAAAATGTTTGGAGAATTGTTTGATACCATAAGTATTGAAATTAAGATTTTTCCTAACCTATAATTTTTTTTTTTTATTATAAAAAGTAAATATGATGTCAAAGTTGAAATACATAAGTGGAAACATATCTTTATCTAAAATCTCTTCAAATTGTAGAGGATGACTGAGTTTCTATTGAAAATTTTTCTGTGTGCCCTTCCCCTGTAGAAAAATAACCAAAATTATCCTTTCCCCTTATCCTTTTCTCCTAATATTTTTTCTCAACTCTCTCATTCATTATCATTTTTTTCAAATGATAAAATAATATTGATGGACTTTTGTGTTTTAAGAGTTTATTGTAATTTCGATATAATATTTATTTTTTTACTTAAAGAAATAGTTTTATTTTCAAACCTGGACCACATATTCCAATTTAGGTTCCATTAATTATTTTTTAATATATTATGATATATCTAGATGATATAAATTATTCAAAATCTTTATCTTTTTTGGGGAATCCATATGTAGCCTATTTATTATACCTATGAGTAATTTAAATTCTTTGATTAAAAATTCATATTCATCTACAATAACTATTCAGAATTCTTCCATACATTATTTATTTATTTCTGTGAAGCAGAATCCAGTTTGTATGATCTACCAAGTTGAGAAGTTACCTTGATTATGGAAGTTTTATTGATGAGGTGATGAAAACAAACATTAATTTTTGTTTTGAGCCTAACAAATAATTAGGTCATGTATACAAAATTAAAAAATCTAATAAAAATGTATGCAAGCTCTAGATTAGATTATCTCCCCATAAGCACAGTAAAAAAAAAAAATGAAATTTTATTTCGATACCATTTTTTCAATTGATATAATTTGTACTACAGAGTTTGGGATGCAATGGTTTAGTTGCTATTTATTGATAGCACACATGTGTCATGTCCATATGTAGTGAGCACAGGGATAGGATGGGTTGGAATATCAGGTTCATGATCCATGCAGAGATTGGAAGCTAGTTCACAAGTTATTGCCTTAAGGGACAGGGGTGCCAAGGTCGATGGCGCATGAACCATCCCCCCTCTCCAAAAATGGCATTTATCTCCTCTTCTTACTTCACCAGTAAAGTCAATTATTTCAACAACAAAACTTTCAAGTTGAAAATCAAGGGTCGTTTGTAATTAAACGGCCAACAATATCGGAAAACGTATACAAATAAAACATCTGAAGAATATATTTTTCTTCCTAAAACAGTGATTACTTTTTAAAAGATTTGAAGCAGTTTAGTAGAAAATGCACTTAATCGGTGGAAAAGCGAGTACTGACGTAGGTGCCAGCAGGCCTCTCCCACATCTTTCAGTACTCCTAAATAACATAGTTATACTGCTATAATAACTTTTTTGGTGCATTATATTTATTTTATTAACTAATAAATATCAATGCTATAATTTAGTTAACAAAAAAATTAAACAATTTTTTTTTAATTTTAGTATTATTACTTTCTTTATTCTATACGGAGGTCGTTTAAGAAGGCCTCTATTGTAAAAATGGAATAATTATTATAATAAAACTTAATTCAAAAATATTTCGCTGAATATCTTGATTTTTTTATTTAACGTTTGCAATTTAACACTTTGTTTTGTATATTTTCTGATTCTTAGAGGTAATTTAAATTGTATATATTGGATATTTAATAGTTGACCGTTGCATTATAAAGGAAGGAGATGGTCCGGGGTGGTGGTCATAAATAGGCTAAATAGTGACAAAACTATTTTATTAAAAGCCAACGTTTCGACCCGACTTTGCAAGTCTTCTTCAGGGCTAGAACGGAACAGATACAAAAAGATAGAGAATTGTGGAAGTTACATAATATTTAGACATAATTTATAAACAATGTGAATAAGCTTATTAAAATTATAAACAGTAAGTACAATAAACTATGAATAAAGTAAGCTGTGTAACAAGATCCTAAACTGAAGTAAACAGATGGTAACGATTGTTGTAGTGTAATATATAATATATGCAATTGTGAATATACTTCTGCAGATCAACAGGAGAGATTGAAAGATTGAAATTTGGATTTTAATAAAAATAGGTTTGCCACTATTTAGCCTATTTATGACCGCCACCCCTTTCTTTAAATTGTATATACTTTCCCGGAAATATGACCTATTAATATGTGTTTTATAGACTAAAATATATACTTAATTTGAAGTACATATAATGAATAGTTGCCGGGTTATTTAGTAAAACTCATATATAACAAATAAAAAATTAATTTAATTTTTTTATTTCCTTTACAGTTTTGAATTTAGGAACTTTCCCTACCAGAAAGCAGAACAAATATTTATTATTAAAATTTCGTTCAGAATTTGTCATCCGGGACAAGTGATCTTTTACTCCTTGACTTGTGCAACCCCTCGAAGATATACAATAATTTAGATATGAGGTGCAACATAAAAAGTTATTACTCTTGTATCCCTTCACTAGGGGATCCAGGATTTAATTTTGGTGGGGCTTCAGCCGAAGGATTTTTTTTTCATATATATATAACGATAATTAATTTTTTAAAAAAAGGAAGAAAGAAACTAACTACCCATATGACATTGTGTCTTAGTGATTCTTGAAGTGCTATTAAATGTAATTACAAGAACAATAATACTTTAAGAGATAATATTTTAATATTTTTTTCTATAAAACATGGTTATATTTTACCATTTTAGGGAAGGGGCTTCAGCCCGAAAGCCCTCCCCCCTTCCTCTCCCATAGATTGGCCTGTGCCTCCCTTCTCTCTCCACCCTCCTAGACTCCACACCTCTGTTTGATATCAAAAATCATGTTGTTTAAAGTTTATTAATTTTACTGTTGTAGCATGAACTTCATCATTATTAATTTTAACACTGTAATCTGTAATTCTCTCAAAACTATTCCAATCAAAAATAAATTTTAAAAAAGACGGTATTCGAAGATAATATATTACACTGACAGGTAAAAAAATCCACCCACTTGATTTTTTCATGTTTTCATCTAAAAATATTTCTGCTTTGGATTGGTCTATTGTTTTTAATGAATAAATAGGTAATCCTTTTGTTTGTTTTCAATTAGGAATGTTAATATAGCGGACAATAACCCTAAATCCTTAATTCAATGAAATTATTCTAGATTCCAATGTTTACTTTCTATGGAATCAAAATGTTTATTCAGTATCATTAGTTCAGTGCCGTTTCTTGCAGCACATTTCTTAGTTTCCGGCTTTTAATTTTTTCAATATTAAGTTTAAAAATGCCTCTCAGTGCTGAGAATGTTGCACGTGGTGTGGCACTTATTGATGATGGACGTTCCATTAGATATGCAGCTAATGCCATGGGAGTTCCATATGAAACTTTACGAGACGCCGTCAGGCGTTTTCGGGAAACTGGTTCTTACAATAGAAGGCCTGGTTCTGGAAGGCCTAGGGCAACAGAACCACGGGATGATCTGTTTTTGACTTTGAGAATTTTACGAAACCGGGCCCTTATCGTTGTTCAAGCGATTCATCAGCTCGAAGAAGTTCGAGGTGTGCAAATTTCTGAACGTACCGCTCGGAGAAGATTAAATGAGTATGGATTAATGGCTTTTCGTCCAGTAAGAGGACCAGAGTTGACCAGAACTCACAGAGTAACACGGCTGGCTTTTGCTCGAGAACACAGCCATTGGACTATGGACGAATGGAGTGCTGTACTTTTTACAAACGAGTCAAGATTCGCTCTTCGATCTCCAGACGGGCGTGGAAGGGTGTGTAGAAGAAGAAACGAAAGATATGCAGCCTGTAATTTTTCTCAGAGCCAACCTTTCCAACGTGGTTTCTTAATGGTGTGGGTTGGAATTTCGATGGAGCGCCGCACAGAATTGGTTGTTGTTCGTGGAGGGTCTTTGACGGCCATTCGCTATGTAGATGAGATTTTGGAACCTCATGTGTTGCCTATCCTCAACGAAATCGGCGATCGTTCTATGATAATGCACGCCCTGGAGGGTGGGGTGGCCGAATGGGCTAACGCGTGTGCATTGCACCGCCGTTGCCCGGCTATCGGATTTATGACTATGATATAAAAATAATCACGAGTTCGCGTCCCTGTGCCAGATTTTAAATTCCCCGCCTTCACCCTCTGGTCCGGGAAAATCCCGTATAGCCTAAAAGGCGAGGTAGGGAAGAACAAAAAAAAAAATAAATAAAAAAAATAAAATAGTAAATAAATAAAAAAAAAGAAAGAAATAATGCATGCCCACATGTAGCCCGCATAGTGCAGGCGTTCCTTCAACAGAACAATATTGAGGTTTAAGCCTGGCCAGCACGTTCTCCAGATTTGAACCCCATTGAGCATTTATGGGATAACCTCGGAAGACGAATAAGAGCGCGTGCAACACTTCCTGATACACTGCAGGACCTTGAAAGGGCTCTTCGGGAGGAATGGGCAATCCTCCAGCAAAGGGACATTTCCCGACTGGTGGAAAGTATGCCGAGGCGTCTTCAACAAGTAGTGAAGGCAAGAGGAGGAAACACGCGCTACTTAACGATGATGTAATTAATTTCTTTTAGAATAATAATGGTTCGTTTTGGAATCTTGGAAACATTGGAATCTAGTTTCATTGAATTAAGGATTAAGGTTTATTGTCCTCTATATTAACATTTCTAATTGAAAACAAACAGAAAGATTACCTATTTATTCATTAAAAACAATAGACCAATCCAAAGCAGAAATATTTTTAGATGAAAACATGAAAAAATGAAGTGGGTGGAATTTTTTGTTTGTCAGTGTATAATAAAGCATACAATTATACGTCTGATTTAGTTTCAAAATAATAAAATTAAAATTCATAATCCAAATACCTTTATTTCATAAAAGGAACAAAAAAAAAATTAAGAACATCTATTTATTGTCCAGGCAATCGATAGATCATATTAAGTATCGATTGCTGCGTATCGACATGGAAGGATAGAAGAACTGTTTCAGTGTTGGCAGGTACGGGGGTACGGCTATGAGGTGTTACTGATTTTTGTTTAAACTTGCAGCTAATGCTCGATCTTCCAATCAGGTACTGTCAACTCTCAACGAATCGTTATCACAGTGAGGCGAGAATAGTTTCTCTGACCGAAAAAGAAATGTTTAAATCAAATTGAGTGTCTTTCGGCCTGTCAATCCGTAGTTCAGTTGGTATATTTTACCGATATTAAATAATGTTCTTGTAATACTTAAAGCATAAAGTGTTCTTTCGCTTCTGTTAAAACCTTAATATGTTATCGCAGCATTAAAATTTATTGAAAATATTGCGGCTGTTGTATTTGTATAGATTGTTTTCAGTTATAAGTGAGAATTATCCAACAGTGTTATGGTTTAATGAGTTGTCAGTTGCTAAAGATTATATCATTCCCTCTGAGTGAACAGCTCTGTTACAGTTCATTTAACATGGTCAATTGAGTGGTGAAAGCTATTTTGCAGGAAAAAAAGATATTTTCCTCCAGTCTGGTCAGTTAATTTCTTCTTTTGTTCTAGGTCTGTGGCGATTTTTAGTGTGAGACCATGCCAAAATTCTTTAAATTAATTGTAGTTTTTATTATTATTGAAAGTGTATGTGCTTGGGATTCAGACGATCTTGAAATTTTTGATTTAGTCGAAGAGGTCGGACAGAGTTTCTATGAAGTTCTAGAAATTCCAGAAGTGAGTTTGCATCTTATATTAATGTTTATTTTCATTTTGTTGTTTTTATTAATTTTATCGTTTTATTAGAATGCCGATGGATCAGTTATCAAGAGAGCATATAGGAAACTCTCTCTTGCATTACATCCTGACAAAAATGATGCTCCAGATGCCAACGTCAAGTTTAGACAGGTAATAGTTTTATTTACTGTAATTGTATTTCTTCTTTTAGCGCTGTTCTATAATCCACGAACCATCTTGTGTAAGTTTGGAAGTAGGACATTTCATAAATGTCTTCCTGTGTAATGTAGATATTTGGATATTCACACAAAAACATTGAATCAATCATTATAAAATATTATACATGAATAAGTTCATGTCTCAATCCCCTAATGATAAAAGTAGAAGTGACAATGAAAATTTTTATCATGATAAGGTTTAAAATTCTTTCTAAATAGACCTGAGTTAATTCGAAAATATAATTTAACCATATATATATTTAAATCTAGTTCATAAGTTCTCCGTCTGATAATGCGTGGGCCATAATCACTTTGATCATAATATTTTATGGAATGCAAAAAATAGCAAAGCTAGTCTAAACTTTTACAGAGTTGACCAACCTTCAGAATTCTAATTGCACGGGATTTAAATGGGCTTAATTTTCGCTTGTAACTTCACTTCTTCCTATTAATAAATAGATAACAGGGTGGACTGAATTATACATGACGTTAAAGTTATATTGCATGTCAATAATCAAATATTGAAATAAACATAATTTTTTGACTGAAGGTCATGTTAATCACAACCCACGTGCTTTATTGGTTTTTTTTTTATTGATACCTATAGCAATTACAAAACCAGGTATCCAGGTATAATAAAAGTGATTAAAATTGTGCTGCAAATTAAATGTTAAATCTTAATGTAACAATTATGTTTACTTGTACTTAATTTATTTTAATTTTAAGGTTGGATTATTATGTTATATTAATTAATTATTTTTAATTTTCTTATAGTACAATGCAATTGTCATTTTTTTGTTCACTGTAGTTATTTCTATCAGACTAAATGTCCCAGAAAAAAATTTACTTTCTTCTTCTTAACAAAAAAAATCAATAAATTTAATTACAAAATTTTTAAAAAATATATGACTTTTGCATTTATTTTTTCATTTGTGTATAGATAATAATTTATTTCTTATCAGTTTGAGAAGATTTTGATATAATGAAATTATAAGAATCTAACAAAAGATGTTATTCTTTATTATTGCTTATAATGAAATATAGCCTAACATAAAACATCCGTATTTAAGATGTAGCTCTATAAATGTTAACCACACAGAACACATGTAATTCAGTGCTTTTTTTTTTTTTTACTTTACTAAAAAGATTTTTCTTTCTATTATTTCGATCTTACTGTTCATATGTCTGATATAAACCATATAATCATGATAAAAATTGTTCTCATACAAAGTTTTCTCAATATGCAAGTTAATGTCATTATATTGGATGTTCAGAAACCTGAGACTAACCCTTAACTCTGCTACCTGTCCACAATTTTTAGAATGATTATAAGTGTTTTTAATACATTTATAAAACCCAATCTTATATTCGTTTGTAATTTTCCTCACATTTCTATTTTGAATAACAGTTTAAAAATTTGTAACTTAGGGAAATTTGTCTAAATCTTATTTTTCTGTTATAAGAACAAAATTTTCAACAATATCAGTTATTTTAGTAAAATTTGATTTTAAATGGTCATATATTTAGAAAATCATAAATATCTATGGCTTTTCGAATTTTATCTGTTTGTATTATCTTTTCTAACTTTCTCTGTGATTTGCATTTAAGTCTATCTTCACATTCGTTAAATGATACTAAAAGTACATATTATCAGTTAATGAACAGTAGTTTCTCTGAACGCATCACAAGTTAGTGTACTCGTATTTTTTCTTGCTATATTAACTATTAATATATATTACTTCTTCAAGAAGATTTTTTTTTTTGAAATGTCATATTTCTCTAAAAACATCATTTTGTGCGAGACGGATGATCATTTTGAAGATAACCTTCACCACTAATGTCGAACAATGAACTAATTTTTCTTTTAAATTTCAACTTAAATATTTACAATTTTACTCAATTTCCATATTGTATTATGTTTCAGATCAGGAAATGTACTGACTATAATAAATTAACACAATTACTTTTCACTCTACATTTCTCACTTCTCGAGGAATAGCTCATAGCTTTTTTTCCTAGATTTGATAATTTTCGTGTTGTTGTAAAATATACATGTATCCAAATAGTAAAGAAACTTGCCTAAAGTCTTCTCCTTGATGCCTTTTAAATATATTTATGAAATATAATTCACTGAAAAGTACTTCCCTTTCAAGATGGTAGCCGAAAGACCTGTGTCATATAGACTGTAGCGCCTGAATGGATGTACCAACATTAACAAAACTTGGTTAAATAAACTTGACTATCCTCCTCAATGCCCTTTAAATTTATTTATGTAACGCACTTCAACGAAAAGAAGCTGAAACAAATTTATGAGGGGTTTTAAAATTATATTTCCCAATAACTCAAGAAGTATACATCTTTTTGTGGGTATTATAAATGATTTTTTTTTTTAAAATACAAAAAAAAATTGTTGAAATCTAACAATTTGGTGCAAAGATATGGTGTTCTAAATTTTTTTTTATATGTACTACTATAGATCTTGTATTGTTTGTTTTGATTTTTTGAAAATATTTCACCAATTGAAGCAGTGTTATTTATTTTTCTTAGCAAATTATTAATGATAAAAAAAAAAAATTATTTAGGCCAGTATTAGAAATCACTTTTTATTTATGTTACAAGGAAAGTAATGTTTACTTTTGATGTATAACTGTTTGTAAATAATAAACCATTCTATTATAATTTGCAGCATTTTTTAGATGTTGTTTTTATTTTGTTTTCTCTTAATTTTTGATATCCTTTCAGCTCGTTGCGATATATGACATCCTTCGAGACTCCACCAAAAGAGCCAAATACGATGATGTCCTCCTCAATGGTCTTCCCGACTGGAAAGAGGCTGTGTATTATTATAGGAAGGTTCGAAAGATGGGGCTGATAGAAATGTCCATTATACTTTTTATCATCATCACAATCGGCCAATACTTAGTCGCTTGGGCAGCTTACTTCGAGAAGAAATATGCCATTGTAAGTAACATTAGCTTTAAAATACATATTATTTTATTCTTATCTTAAATTTAATAATAATAAAAAAATATATATATTTTTATTAGGAAAAATGTATTGGAAAAGAACATGAAAGTAGTTTGTGATTGAATAATTATTACCAAGAATTGGATTTCCATGTAAAATAAAAATTAATTACTTCATTATTAGCAATTATTCATTAATAGCAATACAGATAATAATATCATTTCCGTTAATGTAATTCAAGAATAGTTTGTGACGAAAAATAAAATACAAAAAAAAAAGTCCAGTTTTAAGTATTAGTTGTAAATATTATTTTTAAGTCAGTGTAACAGCCAACAGCTGATAGGGAGGACAAAACAAAAGACAAAATATGCCTATTACTCAACATGACTCAGGGAGAAAATGAATCAAACGCTACTGATATCATGTCTCAGTTTACAAACAATGTAAACGGTCTGAAAACAATGCTCTCAGATATCAGAGACACAGTATCACATAGAGGGCTAAAAAACAGAACCTCAAAACTAATAAAGATTTTGAATGAGCACTCCTTGAACACTACCGAGCATTTAATAATAACACATGGTGATAATAATAATCTGGGAAATAAGAAATACTTTGCCAATCAAAATGAAAACAATCATTCAATGGAATTGTAACAGATTTTTCCGACATTTAGAGCACCTAAAAATGACAATAAGCGAAGAGAACCCTGTATTAGTTTGTCTCCAAGAAACACACTTACAAGAAACTCAAACAGTGAGATACAAAGATTGCGATATATACCGAAAAGCAAAAGATCGTCATGGGAAGACTTCGTATCTTTATTAAATCAAAGCATTTCCATGAAGGAGCTCTGGAATAAAGTGAAAAGCATTAAGGGGATCTCCAAGACCAAGAAATTGCCTGGTATAAAGAGTGGACAAGACATTATAACTGACCCTGGCGAAATCGTTAACGAAAGTGATAAAACTCTGCAACAGAGTGTAATTTAAAGGCATTGCCAATGACCCTACAGGGTAGAGGCAACAAAATACCAAATAAATAAATAAATATAAGTTTTTTTCTATTTATTCTTTTCCCCAAATATTTGTAATTGGTTTATTGTATAGTTGTAGGTTAATGTTAGTTCTATAATAATGTTATATTCTTTTCTTTGGTAATTAAAGTTAATTGTATTTTCTTTGTTTTTTATAAATCTAATTTCTTGTTCATAATTTTCGTTTCCTTTAACAGTTATTTAAATCACTAGAAATAAGTAAATTCATCATTAGTATTAATAATAGCCAGTTTTATTTTCTTATTTTTCTTCTGTTTGTTTTATGTACATATTGTATTGGTTTTTTTTTATGTTCAATAAGGAATTGTAAAACCTTATTCGAGGAATTAGGGGAAGTCATTATTAACCAAGTAAGAAGGTTCGATAGGTTATGACATTAATTAACATATGTTTTTAAACCCTTAAGTTCCAAGTTCGTATCTCACTCCGCACCCTAATCTTTTTTTTTTTTTTAAATTAAATTTATTTAATTTATTTTTATTTTTATGGTTTTCACTATTTTCCAAATTCAACAAATTAAATAGCATGGCACCTGTTAGATAGTTAGTAATAATTAATTGACTCTTGATTATTTTATTTTTTTTTTTTTTGCGAACCCTGCCGTCTCCACTGAGCATCCGGCAAGTTTGTTCCGGAAACGATTTTTCTAAATTAAAGACCGTAACAACTTTTATGCAATAAAAATTAAAAAACAAATAACATTTATGTGGGTTAAAGTAAATGAGAATTCTGGAAAGTGGTAAGTTAGACCTCCGTTAACCAACCTCGTGTTAAAGATATCAAACTGCCATATTCAAATTATTTTTTCATGATTAAAGAAAATAGGTTAGATAAATGGTCCTTTCATTATCAGGATTCTTTCACAGGTAAATTTTATAAATCGAATGTGCCACAAATTTTTAGTAAGCCTTGGTTTTTCGAATTTAGTCTACCAAAAGACATAGTTAAACAATTTTCTAGACATAAAACAAATCACGGATTATGCAAAGTGTATCTTCAGCTTATTGGAGTTAAAAATGTTGTTAAATGTGATAAATTTAACCAAAAAGAAACACTCTAGCATATAATCATGGAATGCCGTGCTTATAAAAGTAAAAAAAAAAAATCCTAAATTGGCTAGAGCCTTATTTAATGACAATATGTACAAAAATTTGGTGCATGCATCACGTACCGCTCTACTTCGAATAGGAATTATTTTCTGGCAATGTTGGGCTCGTACAAATTTTTGAAATGTGTTTTTAACTAAATTGTAGCTATGAGCTAACAAATCATTAAGACCATTAAAATAACAAAAACCCCATTCATTATATCGAAGGTAGGCAATACAAATCTTTTCTAAAACTTAGTAAATCAAACACAAGATTTCTACATTTATTGTATGAGTTGATTCTCTTAAAAAGTTCATTTCACAACTGAATTGTCATTTATAGAACGTTTTTTTTTTTTTTTAAGTGAATACTTTTTTTGTGGAGAGTGAATTAGATTGATCTGTCAAATTTCCGAAGTTTTAACGCTCGGGTAAAGTCGGCTAGAGTCGACTAATTGAAATGTTTTTATATATGGACTAAAATATCTTAGAAACTAAAAATCAGGCCTGCATACGGTAAGCGAGGAGATTATTCAGCATTTTGTCTTTTCTGTAGTTGGTTATAAGTCAAAATTGTATGTTAAAACAGCGCTGTGTCAGAGGGAAGAATAGGAAAAAATAGTGTTGAAAACCAAAGGATTACAATATTTCAGATACTAAAAAACAGACCAGTATACTGTATGCAAGGGAAATGTTCAGCATTTCATCTTCTTTGTAATGAGCTATCATTTATAAGTTATGTTTCATATTATTAGTCGCCTTCACCTAGGTTACTACCCGTTACACAGAAATAATATATAACAGTCAATGACGGATACATCAGCTAGTAATTACTATATCATTTTCTTTCATATTCAAAACAGAATTCAATTGACATTTATTTAATCTAAAAAATTTCTAAATTTCTCTTCGTCAGCCATCAAATGGGTAGTTTTCAATTTCGTATAAAACCCTTCACACTTTCTTGTTCGGAATATATTGCTGTTATTCCGGCTCCTTATCAACAACATTTCCTCTTCTTCTAATAACAAAGCAGTAGTAAGAGATAGTAAGTCCAATTTTTTATCTTCAAAGTCATAATGAAATTTTCGAAGGTATAACAATCCCAGTGAGCAGTTTCAGCGAAATAGCTACGCAATAGCGGTTAGCAGCGTGAAATAGCGGTCGCTGCCATGAGTAGTACCAGTGAAATAGTACTTGAAGTAAATATTGTATCTTGGCCAACGGTTATGCAAGTAGGTAATTGTGCTGTTAAACACACCCAACCACTAGGTTTCCCTCCATTAATTAATTAATTGAAAGTATCTATGTTTATCTGAGTGTCTCCTTACTCCATTAATAATCATAGCTAATATAGCAGAATTTGATAATAGAAGCTCATTATCTTACGGACTGAACTACCCCTCCTCCGTAAAATCCTGAAATTTTATTAAAATTTAATTTAAAATTACTTATTAATTTAAAAAAAATAGGTCTGTCAAGTAATCTCGATAAAAGACCGTATCGTCTGTTTAATTCTAATCTTTTTTGTCTGATGTGAGTCCTCCAAGTAAGTCTTTTGTCCAGGTAAAAACCTAAATACCTAATTACGTCAGATGTTGGGATTTTAATGTTATTAAAATATATTTCAGGTGAAGGTTTATGGTTAAGAGTGAATACTACATGCACACTTTTTTTTCGTTCATCTTAATTTTCCACCTTGTGACCCAATCTGCAATATCGTTCAGGTGATTTTGAATTGATCGTTCAAAATTATCTTTAACTAACAAACTTAACCCTTTATAAAGTTTTACTTAAACCAATTTGAACTTACGGCATAGAACTGAAGGGTTCTGCTAAAACTTCCAACATTAAAAAAGTTCAGTCCTTTCAGTCAAAAGTGTTGCGAAGGATAGTTGACTCACCTTTTTATGTCACAAATGATACCCTACATAAAGACTTAAACGTACCTACAATTTTAGATACTGCAAAAGAGAACTACAATAACTTTCACCAAAGACTGCTGACATACAACATGAATCCCGTGACAGAAATTCTACATCGTACAAGAAACCCGTAAAGCCCACTACGACGATTGCGTAGGCGTTGGCCAAGAGACCTGCTGATCTGATTTATATCCGGTCTCCGAAGTTGCGAAGCCGCAAAAAAATTTGCTCATTGCAAAGAAATTTGCAGATTGCAAATTTAATCTAAAGTTCGACATTTTTGTTAATAAATAATAATAAAATAGGTTATATGTGAAATAAAATTCAAAATATGCGTATATGTATGTATTTATTTTTCTGATTGAATAAAATGTGGATTGGTTCTCTTCTGCTAAATGTCCTTGAAGTAGTTCTATAAGTTGAAATTCTACAGTCAGCGATACTGTTATTATTATTATTATTATTAAAGTTTATGATATTAAAATATATAAAAAAAAGTGTATTTTGCATTTATTTTTAACAATTTTTTTTTGTTTATTTATTTTTTAGGAAGAATTTGTTAATCTCAAAAGTAAGAAATTACAAAAAAAGCAGAAGAAGGGTAAAGCAGTGGATATGGAGACTGTTCAAATACTTCCAGAATTAGTTTCGACGCTGCCAAAGCCCACGTAAGACCTTGAATTGTTTACATTTGCTTTGGTAGCCTTGAGGGCGTGAGTCTCAGCTTCTGAGCGTTTGTTTATTCATTACTGTTTAATTACCTAATTATATTTTTAAACATTTCAAGGTTAATGAAATTAAACAAAGGTAGTCCTTCCCTGTCTTATCCAATTTATTAATTATTTCTGAATAACTAATAATAAAATGATTCATATTCAATTTTTTAATATTTTTGTTTGTTATTTTTTTAATATTACTATATTTATTGAATATTGATATATTTTAATATTATTGATAAGTACCTAGCCATAATAATCACATTCCTAATTTTTTTTCTTTAATTTCAATTATAAAAATTATATTATAACCCTTAAATAAAAAAATTAAATTAATTTTTATTTCTGGGTACCTACTGATATGAAAAGGAAAATATTATGAAAATTCACTTTGTGGCGAGGAATTTTACTAACTAGAGGATGGGAACACAATTTTTAGCTGTTGTGATTCCAAATCGTTATTGGTTGAAATAAGTGCATGTAATAATGATATGTACACAAGTATAATTATGAGTTAAACTTAGTTGAGTGTGCTCATTCAATTTTTATGATTAAAAATTCTTTCTTTATTTTTTCTGATTCTATTCGTGAAAGAACTTATTAATAAATTATTTATATAACAATAAAGATAATTTTTCATTTATTTTCTTAACAAAAAATAGTGTTTTGGCTTTATTGAATAAATACACTAGTCCCTCCAGAAATGACGTAGGCGAAACTCCTATAGAGCATTACAAATTAATGTTCACTGAACATATTAATTACGACATTAATGATGAACATATAACAGAGGACTCATCAAGATTTGAAAATGACCCTTAGTATGGTCGAAACGTCAAAATTAATAGTGTATCAATAAAATGTTGGTGATAATTGGTCTAATTTATTGTAAAAAATAAAACTAATAAGTATATATCATTACTGTTAGTGCAAAAGGTCGTGTGTAAACATATTCAACTTTTATTCTATTTGTGCTAAAGATGACATTTTGTAGTCTGCAATTGATATAAACAGTCACAGTGCAATAAAATATGAAATTATACTTATAAATCATAAAGAAACCAGTAGTTTTTATGCTCTCCTGTAAAACAATCAATTTTTACATATGACCTTTTGCTCTAACGGTAGTGATATGCATTATGCTCTAAAATATTTTTTTTTTTAATCATGTATCATCAAATATACCATAAAAAATGCAGAACTCTTTTGCATTTTAGTATCCACTAATGAACAAAACTCTTAGATATTTAACTTGTATATGTTAAGCGATTATTGAATTCCCGAAAATGGCTTCTCCCAGAGATTTTGTTCTCATACAAAAAATTTTATATCTTGTAATATAAATATTTTTTAGCCAATGAAAATGGTGAGGAAGCTATACTGACCTTTTTTGGCAGACTTTTATTATTTACTGTTTTCATAACTCAAGATAAAAACCTTTACATTACTTTTAATGATGTAAAAATTGTAATTCTTTAAATTTAGTCAATTAATATTGTTACTTAGATAATTATATTTCAGTAAAAATAGGAAGTAGTAAAAATACAATATTCAAATTTATTTAAATGTTATCCTATTAGCTAAATATTAAAGTCAATTTTATTTTCTTGATTTATATTGCTGTCTTGATGTATTTTATTTTGTTTAACAATATTGAACATTGCAGGGTTTCTTGTACGTTACCAGTTCAGATATGCAAGTTGTGCTGGTTCCTTATCATGGATTTCCCACCACTCACTTACCACTGGATACTGAGAGTCATCGAAGAGAGGAGAAATGCAAAGGAACAGGTTGTGGAGTGAGTATATAGTAGATATTATATGTTTTTTTAAATATGTCTGTAATACCACAACTCACGAAGGGTTCAGTACTTTGTGAAGAAATACTGTTTCTTGGACATCGATTGTGCAAGGAGGTGATCAGGCCAAGATCTTGCTCATATATCGGTTTTTTCTTTGATTTTAAAAATAACTGAGTAATATACTGTGTGCCGTAGAACCCAATCTCTTGTTCCCACCACCGGTGGGCAAAAGTAACAGCACTTTACACGCAATTTTTCCCTATTTCTGTATTCTATATTGTTTTGAGCTCTTACTTTTTCCGCATTTTAATGTTTCTATCACCCTCATACATTTCATTGTGGCATAAGTTCCTACAAAATTTTCCCTTTTTTTGACAAAAAGTCAGTGTATTATATATTTATTATTTTACTTTTCTGGAAAAGAGAGTATGCAGCCCAGGAAAAAAATATTCTTAGATAAAAAATACTTTCTGTATTTTATATTATCAAATAATAGGGTGTATATAAAAAAAAAAAAAAATGACTGTTTTCCAATCAAATATTTGTATTATTATTTCTTTGATATAAAATACAATTAATACTCAAAGTATAGTCCCAACCTCATTAGCCGTCTGCTAGCAAATTGCTCAATCCCACGTTGATACCATTCTTTGGGATAGCTGTCAAAGAACTCTTGGACCGCAATTTCAACTTCCACAAAATTATACAATTTTTTTTCTATTGAAGAAAATGGGCCATGGATCTAAATAAGTAGTAATGCAATGGCGAAGGTCTGGATTATATGGTGGATGAGGCAGGAGTCTCATATCGGAAGGGTTTTTCAATAAATTTTCACAAATTTCTAATCTCTTAGCTGATTGCTGAGGACTAAGTTTGTGAGGGACCAGTCTATTGCTCTTTTTCACCTTCCACATGGAGATTAGATAGCAACTAACAGAATCTTTCGACACAACAACCTCCCTGGCAGGCTCGCGAGTACTCGTGGATCGATTTGACCTAACAGCTTCCTTCAGAACCTCATCAATATCCATTAATGGTCGCCATTCTTCCTTTCCAACGTTGATCTCCACAGCTAAAGTTTTCAAAATTTTTCAAACCAACGCTGCGCAGGATAAGGACACCTTCCCCTTCATATTTAATAATTTCATGAGTTGCTTCGGCGGCTGTGAAATTTTTTTCCAGTAATGCCTTAAAATTATGAGAATTTCGTACATTGTCACATTTCTTCTTTAAAACAAATAAATAAACAGATTTTTTTTTTTTTTTTTTAAGAAGTCAATGGTATTAAACAAGCTCAGAGAATACTCTAAAGGGATTATTAAGTATTAAATAGAATTAAATTATTTACTGTCTTTTGAAATTTTGAATTTCATAAAATGGTCATTTATTTTTATACACTCTATTATTTTCCATTCTACATATTTCTTAATGTTATTAGACTATACCTTTTACTTAAATATTATTACTATTAGTGTCTACTAGTTCCTCAATATTTTTATGTTTTCTTGTGTTTGCTTAGCCATGGTGAAATCCTGAAACTCAGGCCAAAACGTGAACACAAGGAAATAAAAATAAATATAATTTATTTATTTTTATTTTTACCCTTCTTTGACAGAACATGCCAACTAACTTCTCTTCAATATAATTAATTTGAAATTAGTTGGCACAATGACTACAACTTAACCTTAGAAAATCCAATAAAATACTATTGTAATGTCTAGCATTATATATGTTGACTGCACCCTCCGCCCAACACCTTCCTGAAATTTATATTATACTTTATAAATGGAAAAATCCAAACAACGGAGCCTTGAGCCTCCAAACATACAGGTGAATAGTTAACCCACTTAAGCCATCATCAAGCCATCCAATACGTGCTGAAGGAAAGAGAAGATTCTGTTAACGCAGCTAAGAAAGGTTATATTGAGCACCTAAATATAATATCTAATAGAAGGAATACAAGGAAAGCAAAAAATAAATAATACATAACTAAAGTATAATATTACAAAATGTGTTAAATAAAATATTATATTTTACTGTTGCTATTTTTATTTATCACTAAATACACACATACCCATATACATATATTCAACTTAATTCTATTAATTTTCAAATTTTTGTAAATTAAATAATAAAATATTAATTTTTCATTATAATTGTTTGACCTTTATTCTTTTTATAGTGGTTCATTTGCCTATTAGTCATATATATATATATATATATATATATATATATATATTTTTTTTTTTTTATGAACCACTATAAATATTAATTAATTCTAGTGCTAGATTAATAAATATCGGGCACAAATGTTAAGAGGTCATAGGTTCTCCACCTTTGCCAAAGGGCCATTAAATCACCAATAATCAGCTTTATTTTTTAGTTTAATTATCAAATCTTAGTTAGAAATAAGAGGATGAATTATTCAATACCTTTAATAATGTTATTATTCTTTTTCATTGGCTTTAATATAAACAATAATGACATATTAAAAAAAGTTTAAGTCTACCATCTGCTAAATTAGATTTATATGGAAAGACTGATCTCTTCTCTATATTAGTTTAAAAAATAAATATGAACATCAGTGATCTTATGGCCTATTGCTTAAACGTGATTGTAATTATAAGCTCCATTACGTAGAATGCGTGTAATTTAGTTTTGAATATAGTTAACACTCTGACTTTTGCCTTAGGGAGGAATCTTCCGAAGAAGAAGTTATGCCTGTGAGGGAGAGGGGGCCGAGGCGAAGGAAAGCCTTCACTGCTCCAGAACTTAAGGACAGCGATAAAAAACCTGTGCAAGATACTAACGTCAAAACTGACGCTAACAAGACCCAGGAATCCGTTAAGATCATAAGCGGTGGGTTGTGGACAGATGACGATTTCGCTGATCTTATCAGGCTTATGAAGAAATATCCACCGGGCACTCAGGAAAGGTGAGGAATAATAACTCAGATTGTAACAGCAGTTTTACCTTCCTTTCAATTTTATGTATTATTAGTATAGTAATCTCTCGATGTTTTGGAATTGACAAATGTGAGATTTGATTATACGCATTCGAGAATCCCGCATTTGATTATTTGTGGATTAAAGATAAATATATCACTTGTTCGAAAACAATTTCAATTATAGTACATTGAAGGAGTTCAATAAATTGAAGACACTCCTTTATTGTCTCTTCCACCACTTTTTGGAATTCCGACCCTCATGAAATCTTCTATGTACCATCCTTATCCACATTTAAAACCCTCTTATTCCGATTCCTTACAATTCAGTCAGATGCTGGGTAGTTATTTATTATGTAAGAAGATTTCATTTTTCTTTTTTACATCATTTATATATTTTTTTTATTTTTTATGAATATGGAAAAGATTTCCAGTCTCTTTTCACAGAGAATTGTTTTTTTTTTTCTGTTCATAAGATTTTAAGTCTTTGAGATGTATTTCATTTTTACTAATATTGAGCTCACTCCCTCCTCTATATGTATATATATCTTCTTTTTATTTTTTCCTCCTATCAATCTACGCATTAGCATATAGATTATAAGACTTTTCTAATTTTTACAAATCCATTATAAGTACTCATTTGAACATATTAAGAAACAGATGTAATTCATTCATTGTTGATATTAATCTTTTTTTTTTTTCATTACTACAATAGTTTCCCTAAAAAAGTAATTTATCGTTCCTTTCCAATTTCATTTAGTTATTTTTACTTTATTGTTTTTAGCCGCTATTTTGTAGTATTGTGACTTTATCGCTCATCTTTTTTCTTTAATATATCTTTATAGCTATGAAAGCACTTCTATTATTACTTGTGTTTTAGTTATTCTTTTATTGTTATAGGTCTTTTGGCCAGATTTAATGTTATTTTTTATGAACAATATTGTTATTCTTAAGGTACTTTATCTTAGAATATAGTTGATTCTTCTGTTCCTAGTTATAGAAAATTGTATATTTTATAAGTTGGTATTGTTCGAATCCAGACTAGTTTTCGTTATTATGTTTGTAAGCGTGTCTTCCACCCATCTCGTAGCCATATTGGTTGATTAGTCTCTTATCAGTTGTAAAGAAGGCTACATGTGTTTTTTTGCGAATTTCGATATTTAATTTGTTAGAAAAATGGATCAGAAAATTTGTATTGAATTTTGTTGTGAAAATGGAATAAAATGTTCCAAGTCTTACAAATGTTTGGGATGTAATTTTGGTGAGTAAAAAAAATTAAATAATAGAATCGAAAATAATGTAAGAGATCTGTACAAAGGTATGAAAACATCTTGTAAATGTTCAGCACACATAATGAATGGAATTATGGATGAAAATAACAATACCCTGACCGATCTGTTAAACATATTAAGTAAGTTTAAGAAACGCTTTGACAATATTTTAAATATGGAAAATAATAATTTGTAATCCTCCCTCTGAGTATTAGACTGCTAAGCCAAGTAAAGAGGAAGATCTTATAAAGCAGCGGGAACCAATAGTATTTCTATGAACTAATTAAGGCCTGCGAAGAAGCTGGAGATGCTAAAATACTTGAGCAAACTGCTCGAGATGTCGTTAAAAATTGAATAAATAGTTGAAGTATTAGAGCTTATACATATCATTATTCTAACCAATTTTCACCATATTGTAACATCTCTCTTATATTTTAAAAATAATAATAATATAACCTCGGAAGATCATTTTATACCGTTGGGATACTTCCAAAATAAATAAAAGGTTGTTAAATAAAAAACAAAATTATAAGAATATTAATATAATAAATTGAAATTTACAATTATTCTATCTCAGGTATGGGTTACTAACAATCATATCAACTCGGACAAACTATTATTATTTACAATATTTATACTAAAATTAAACACTGATTTTAAAATAAAGTCAAGTATGGATTGACAAGCTAATTTTTTTTCTATATACACTGTTTCTTCCTTTATTGCTCTAAATTCATTTGCCTTCAAATGCTTTCCAATCTTCTGCCAAACACATCTTCCAAAATGGTGACACTTTCTTCTATTCAACTCAAGCTTCCTGAGACATCCTCTCTCTTGTAATTCCAAACAGCTAATCTCTCTGCCAAAAAACTTCCAAGATGGTAACACCATTACTGGGTTTTGCCCACTGGAGCCAGAATCACTTCGCCTATCCTCTCTTCACCGCATCCAAACAACAACTACCAAAACAAAAACCTTTGTCCCTCTCCTCTTTGGGATTTCGCTTCTTGGGAAACTACAGAGCAGCCATTTTCTTTTTCCTGCACTAGTAGAACTAGATTAGCTTGCCTTTTAATTGTTCAACATTAATTTATTAAACCCTTTTTACTCACTTCCAATAAAGGTGTACATTACAATGTATATATCAATTCATTAACCATTATTCTTCACACGATTCTGTAAGGAATCAATACGTGGCCGCTTATGTTTAGGGATGAGCAACATCTTAGGGTTTTTGAAAATAAGGTATTATATAGAATATTCGGACCGAAGAAGGATGAGACAACTGAAAAATTTAGGAGGGTGCACAATGCTGAATCGTGCAAACTGTGTACCCAGTTAATATAATTCAGATGACTACGTTGCAATAAGAAAACGAGTGGAACAAATGGAGAACATCCTCCATACCATTGAAAATATGAGACTCAAGTGGTATGGGTATGTGATGAGGATGGAAGAGAGACGATGGCCTAAGCGAATTTGGAATTGGAATCCAGAAAGAAGTCGGAAGAAAGAACGTCCGAGGAGAATCTGGAATGAGGTAGTTAAGGTTAAGGAAGGAATGATGATCAGGATGTGTGTGAAGAAGATTAGCAGGATAGAAGAAGATGGCAGGCAATGACGTATGACTAGCTTTGTAAAAGTCGTTAAATAAAAAAGAAGTATCAAGTCTTTTGGCCAGAAGTAATATTTTTTTTTTTTTTACGATTTTGTTATTATTAAGTGACTTTGTCCCAGTTCATAGTAATTTTTCTATGTCAATAATTCTATGACTTATTTTTCTCTTTCTACATTTATAGATAGAGTAATCAGTACAACAAAAATATTTACCTATTAAAATATATATTTTTATTATATAAATACGAATATTAAGCTAACATATTCATTATATTCTTATTGATCTTTGCAGGTGGGAAAAAATTGGACTTTCAATGAGGAGGCCTACGCACGAGGTGGCCCACATGGCTCACAAAATGAAGGATGAAGGCTTCAAACCTATCGCCAAACAGGTACTGAAGAAACTCAGAAAGTCAGTCAAATACGGAACCTTTGGTTTAGCTGTCATCGTCTTCTTTCTCTTGTTGTTCTAATTAATTTGGTACCCTTTTTGTTGTTACTCGTTCCTCTCAAAAAGTTCCTACGAATTTTTTTTATTAATAATTTTTAATATAAATAAATTGTCCGTCCGTCCCACCTCCAGAAATCCTTGTTACCTTTTTTTTTTTTTTTTTTTATTAATGTTTATTTTAAAGACTGATAGTAAGATAGTTGACCTAAATTATAGGTAATGGTTTTAGATTAATCGTCAGTTAGGATAATGGTCCAGACGTATTTATAGGATAAGGGTATAAATGTGTATTAAATATTAAAATAAAATACATGTTTGAGTTTGCCAGGTTATATTTACCTTACACATCAGCCCTGTTATGCACAGATAATTTTACTTCCATAAGTATATTATGCCTACATTTTATTTTTACTTAAGTATTTTCTATTTTAGATATTATAAAGAAATATTAGTAAATTATTGTCTGTTCCTGAATATGTTTTGTACAACTATTCCTAACCTTTAGTATTGAATTTTATCATATGTTTGTAAATCCTCTCTTTTCAGTTCCTCATTTACGACAACATATTAGATAAGTGTTAAGCCAATATCAATCAAATCATTTTCAGTGCGGGCTTTTTTGTGTACTTTATTTTCTAATGGTGTATATATATATATTTTTTTTTGTATTGAAATTGACAATATGTATTAAAGTGTATATCGATGAATAAGAAATTAATATTCTACTTTTAGGAACGAAGAACTATACTCTATGACTACAAACAAAATCGATGAAAGACTCTGACTGATTTTTAGATCGTTAAGTAGCTTTCTTGTGATTTGCTTTATACCAATTTGAAACAACTTAAATATTATATAAAAGTCTGAAATTTGTATATATGACCACAGCAACAAATAAAATTCATTCAAACAACCCTTTTTGTCGCAAACTGGACACAGACTACATAACTACATGAAACAAGAACCTTTGGCAGTTTCTTCAAGTTTCAAAAGTGATATTTTAGTTCATCACTGCAAAGTTCTCATCCTCTAACATGAATTTGTAAAATAGACCATACTATATTATGTTAAATTGTCTACATGATGAATATTCAAACATTTTACTTCTGACCTCAATCCCATCATCATACTTAATAACGCAAAAATCATAATTTTTTATTTAATAATACAGAACTAGCAATAATTGGGAATTTTAACTAACAGCTAAATTAGATTGAGCCATTTTTCTTTATTATAGTACACAGAAAATAATATATTTTTTAAAACTTCAAACGTATCTCCTGAAAATTCTTCGTTTTTGATTCATAGTGTTGTAAAAAAAAACGATTGGTACATAGTTATTCAATACACAGAAAAATTTTTTAATGTACACCTATTCAAACATTATATACCATAATATGATATATTTTCGATAGTAAATGGTTGACAGTGTATATAATTAAGAAACAGATGGTCCAGCGGCAATAAAAAAAATCAAATATCTTACAGATGTTGAGATGTTTGACCGTGATATAATATGAGAAGGAGTTAGTCGGGGGTACGGTCAAATAAATACTAAATTTTTAAAAAAAGGCGAAACAATTAAAGATACTATTTTTTAAAAATTTAGTATTTATTTGACCACATCCCCGACTAACTCAAATATCTTATACTATTACACAGAACCATCTCTTCCTTCATTATAATCTATTTTATAGATTAAAATATTTTTTTACTAAAAACTTGCTTTTGAAACTTTAAGAAATAGCATTGTACATAAAAGGAGGGAACTTTAAACCTTGGATATAACATTACTCCTAAAATGTAATATTTTTTTCATGAAACAAGCAAAACCTTAACTAAGTTGCTGAGTGGCCTAATATATGTGCACAGCACCATATGTTGCCCAGCAACCCGGATCAAAGATAATTTGATAAAAGTGATTGAGTTCGCGTCCCAGTGCCTGGAGGGGCTTTTACCTTTTTCATTAATCCTCTGGCCCAGGAAATCCCATATAACCCAAAAGGATAGGACCAAAAAAGAACGTTTAATAATGGTTGGGGACGTGCTGTAGAGCGGGCTAAGATGTGTGCACAGCACCACGTTGCCTGGCAACCTGATGGAAGATCATTTGGTAAAATAATTAAAGATTATTCTTAGTCCTGGAGCCTGTGGCAAAAAAGGTGTCATATTTCATATTAAGGTTTGTCCTTATAAATTGACCATATACACACCCCTGATGAGAAAAATGCATGTCTGCTAGCATATAGCCGCTGGAATAGAAAATGGCGCCCATGTGAAGATAGATAGATACCCTACATAGGTTGTAAGCGTATATATAGAGAGGGTTTATAGATATGTAAAGCTACCAACTCTTTCAGTTTATAGTATTTACAGTCTTAAGACATGAAATAATAGTCAGCTACCTCTTACCCGTCGATTTCAAGTAGAAAAATTGAATTTACGATTCAAAAAAGTTTACATTTTTCGCTTATATCAGTGAAATTATCTATAATAATGTCATGTGAAATAAAAGCTGACAAAATTTACAATAGAAATGGTTATATTAGTTTTTTCGCTATATTCTATAGTTTCCGTGATATCCTTTCTCATAATTCACTAAATTAAAAAAAAAAAAATATATTGATTCGTCACATTTTTGTCATTATTCAACTCTTTATCTCTTCATTTTGCGAAAAAGTCATGAGAAAGAAAATTGTTTAGTATTAAATTTTCTTTAAGAATAGATATTACTTTACTATCTTATCTTTAACAATTCAAAGGTTCGAACAATTATAATTTAATTATTAAACTCTGAAACTAAACAGAATAACTTACTTTTCATTATTACACAACTCTTTATCTGTGTATAAGACAACATACATGTGTATACACTGGCTTCTATAATATACATACTGTCTTATATATAGATAAAGTGTTGGCGAGTCAAATAATGATAAAAATGTGATGCTAATTTTTTTTTTCAAAATTAATGAACTACGAAGACGGATATCAAACTATATATATAGCGAAGAAAACTAATATAATCATTTCTAAAGCAAATGTCAGATTTTATTTCACATATGGTATTATTATAGATAGAGCGCATAGTTTCACTGATAAAACCAAAAAAAGTAAAACGTTTGAATCGTAAATTCAATTTTTCTACTTGAAATACACTGTATGGGGTATGGGGTAACTGACTATTTTTCATGTCTTAATACTGTAAATACTATAAATTGAAAGGATTGGTAACTTTATATGGGCACCATTATTCCAGCGGCTATATTCTGCCAGTCGTGCATTTTTCTCTTCAGGCCTTTGGATATGGCCAATTTATATGAGCAAACCTTAGTATGAAATATCACACCTTTTTTTCTAAAGGCTCCAGGACTATCTGATATTAATCCCTTAACCCTGAAAAATCCCTTATGGCTTAAAAGGGGAGGAAAAAAAAAAAAGTTTTGAAGTAATGTTACTCCAAGGTATTAAGTTTCACTATTTAATGATACTCTTATCTAAGGTGATTTAATCAAAAGACAGAAAAACTCCATGATTAAAAATTAAGAAGGTAAGGTTTTGAGAATTATACTCATTTGATAAAATGACTATCATCACCTGACATGACACAAACATCTGGTCTGTGATTTGAAAAGTAAAATAGCATTTTTTCTCTTTTTTTTTCAATTCCAGCACTAATGCCTTATATACTGCATCCTAGCTAAAATATCATATCTCCCTATTATGTGGTAGGCGATTTTATACTCAGTGTTTATTCAGTCGACTTTGACCTGAATATCCTGCTTCACACGCCTTGAAGTGCTCCTTTCCATGAGTAAGAGATTATTACACTTCTCTTTGAACAGGGTCTTAGGAACAGCTTATAATGTGTCTGCTTCATACGAGGCTTATGTCCAATGGCCAATATTTTACATGGTAAGTCCGAATGAAGTTTCGCGCATATAGCCCTGTCTACTGACTCTTAAGCAAAATTTGTACAGTGTTGGCTTGATTCAGTAACCGTTTGCCAGTTGTGAAGTGCGCAGTGCGATTAGCTTTTTGCAGGCAGAAAGATCTTCAGTTTCTGAAATCCTGAGTTATGTCGGAAATAATGAATGATGAAAATGGTGTCAAGAATTTCAAAATGTAGTCGGTCCAATTACTGGGCCACTCCGCTGTTGATCATGCCCATTTCAAAATTCTTGATACAGTTTTCGAACTGCTCTCACTGACTGGCAAACTACTACTGAATCAAACCAACACTTCAATGGCTTTGCTTATGAGACGGTAGACTGGGTTGAATGCATCATACTTCATTCAGGCCATCCATTAATTAAATATTGGTCCGCCCACCAGGCTCTTTTGGTATATGCCCCCTAGAAGTCTCCCAACAGAGCTCTCTCTTATTTCCTACAGCTACCTTAATATATTTTTTGCCATTCCTGAAACTGAAACCACAGATGAGTAAAGGTCCCTGTGCTGAGCCCTTCCCAAGTATCCAGGAACCCATTCTGCTGTCATCTTGGTTCCAGAGAGATTATTTTAAGCTGCTTTTGCATATACTCACTAACTTAGATTCGGTTGCATATAAAGACCGGATTTTCATGTTATTGTGTTCGCATGTTTTACGTTGTCCGCTTTGGTGTAAAAACTTCAAACCCGGCAATCTATCCATTTCCCGATCTGTAGAATAACATATTGAAATTTCATTTTGCACGTTTTTTGTTTTTGTTGCTTGATATTGCATACTTCGCAATTCAAGAGCTAAATTTCAATTTTAATAGCTAAAGTAGAATATTTGAACCAAATTCTTTTATAACATGTACTCAAATATGTATGTAAATATTTATTTTATTTTATTATTTATTATATTAAATTTGTAGATGAGAATAGGGTGTCCAATGCTTGGACGCTATTAGCAGAACATAAATTTAAATTCTTCTAAAAGCAGTTCTAAGTGAAACTCCTAGTTGAACACACCTCCCTGAAGAAGACCTGCAAAGTCAAGTCAAAACATTGGCTTTTAATAAAATAGTTTTGCCACTATTTAGCCTATTTCTGACCGCCACCCTGGACCATTTCCTTCCTTTATATATTTAAATTGTTTGTTCTTGATTTTTTTATTCAAAATAACATTTTCAAGTTATCTTCCTGGGATGAAAAGATATTTTAGACTCGACTTGTTTGGTATAGGCAACAAAATTACTATCGAAGTACAAACAATTTAATATATAAATAATAGTATAATTGAGGGTAGCATATTTAATTATTTAATTTAATGCAAGTGCATACAGCCGCTTACAAAGCCCCTTATTCTCATAGTTCTGTTATTCACGATTAAAAAATGTGTATATTTATTTTCCATTTTCAAAAAAGTATGAAAGTATTTGTAACCAAATGTTTTATTTTCGCTTGGCCGAATCTCCTTTGCCAAAATGCCGCCGGGTCACTCCAGGGATTATGAATTTTAATACAAGCTAAGGAGCATAACTCAAAATTCACTTATTTAAAAATTTAATTTGATCTACAGCTGTAAAATCAAGCCTGAATTAAAAAATGCACAGTTTTTTAAACTATAGATTAATTTTTTGAAAGCTGTTTTTCTATCATACAGAATTAAGATAATCGTCGTTCATTTTAAATTAGACTTAGATTTTTCTTACGTTACAAAACGTTATACCTACACAACTTTAATTTAGAAGCTATAATTCTCAACACAAGAGTAAACAAGCATTAATATTGTTAAATAAACATAACTATGATTTTGCATATTATGTATTATACTGCCAGCGCCTTACTCATACCATTGCATTCCTTATACTTTTTAATTTAGATATGTCTCCAAAACTTCTATGCAAGAAATATATTTTTTTCTCTGGCCTTGTTATATTTGAATAAAAATATTTAATAACTACAAAAAAATTGTCTCTTCGATCTTAACTTCTTCAAGATTCTAAAATAAACACTATTATACAAACCCTCAAGTTGTGGATTTTGTAGTTAAGGAGAAATGAGAAATCCTCAGATGGACAGTAAGAGCTCAAATGAATTTTTATAAAATCCTTTTTTTTTTCTTTTTCTCTTATCTAAAAAATTTAAATAAAGTGATATCCTTAAGACTAGTTTTTAATACTTACCTTATTTCCTATATACAGATAAAAAAATTAAATGAAATAAATGTAGATTATTATATTATTCTGTTTATTATACAAAGATAACTTCTATTATTTAATGTTTGCTACTAGGAAGAAGAGAGCAAAGATATTGCAGGAGAGGAGCCAAAGAAGACCAAGACAAAGGGGGGTAAGGCGGGCAACATGGAGGAGATCCCGGAGACTCCATGGAGCCAGGCTCAACAGAAGGCCTTCGAGCAAGCTTTGGCCTCTTATCCGAAGGGAACAGTCGGTGATCGATGGGAAAAAATTTCTAAATGCGTTCCAGGCAAGACCAAGGTAAGGATTTTATTTTAGATAATTAAAGGAAACTTAATATTATCATTTTTAACACTTTTTTCTTTTACTATTATGTTTCAACCTGTAGGCTCTCTAATTTTGGGGATATGGGAATTAGGGGCCAGCATTCGATTCTATAATCTTTACTTTACTATAGCTATAGCGAGCTAACAGCTCCGCTATATCGGCCATTTTAACACTAATTTATCTAAATTTAACATATTTATGTGGGGTGTCCCGTTAGTAGAGGGAAATATTTAAAGGATTGATAGCATCCTAAAAATAATTTGGTACTTATCCAGTAATAGGTAGCGTCAAAACCTCCCTTCTTATCTAATCTCATTTTAGATAATCTTCCTTATCTCACCTAACCTAAGTTATTCTGTTGTTTAGTTTTTGTTTCTTGTGCCAGGTGTGAGTTTATTTAATTATGGATCTTCTCACATTGTGGGAATTGCCGTCTTCAGAAGAAGAGGCTATCAAATATTTTCAAGACGCCGGTATATTTGATATGGAGAAATATTGTGATGAGGGTCATAAAATGAATGCTGTTTAAGTAGTTTTTTATTATTTCATCTTCATTTGTCTATTTTTATTATTTCATTTATTTTTATATATATGTTGCAATGTTTTCGTAATGTTTTTTAATTATATATTTATAATGTTTTGGTCTATTTTAATATATACGTTGTAAAATAAAAGCATTTTGTTATTAATTCATTTGTTTCTGATTTTGTTCACAATTTCAATAATATCAATACAATACAATAAATATGAATACGAAGATATAATAATATGAATATAATACAATAAATATGAATACGAAGAGCTTATCAGTGTTAAGGTTATAAACATTGGCAGATAGCAGTAGGACGCTACCTGCTATTAGATAAGTACCAATAATTTTATATAAAGAACGGCTCGGTTTTCAGCAGGAAAGTAGAAAATTGAAGTTTTTTACTTTTTTAAGAAAGTCACATTTTCTGTGGAATAGGAAGCGATAACTAAAAACTATTTAATTTAGATAATGAAAAAAAACTTAAAGTAGAGAAAATTTACTTCATATTAAAGTAGAGTTTAAAATGGACTTTTGAGCAGATAAACTTTTTTTTCTCTCTCTGTCCTCCCCATTTAGGATTTTCCCGGACCAGAAGATGAGGAGGAGGGCTTAATGTCAGAGTTAAAAGTCCATCCCCTCCCTGCCACCGGGATGAAAAGCGAAATTGTACTTATTTTACCACGTTATCTCCTATCAGGAAATAATATGTCCAGGGCAATGTGGTGCTGTGCACATGCGTTTGTCCTCTCAGCCACCCCACCTCCGTCAGTAGATAAACAATGCTTAAGTTAAGGATTTATTAGAAAATAACCCCCATACCAGACTGAAACGACTAGAAACAGCCCGACGTTTTCGGCACTTACTAGACAAACGCTCTAAGCTTTAAATCAATTACAAACGACTTATATATATGACAATAATAAGACCTATTTGGACTTACTTTTACTACTTACTTTTTGCATATGTTCTAATATATAATGCTGTATCGACTTTGCAGATTTCTTTTATTTTATAACCTGAAAACATATCTGTGAAAGCAGTAACCTCAGATATTTTATATAACATTTTGAAATAATAAACCATTGTGTAATAGTTAGCATTGTTGTTTTGTTTTTTTATCTCAATATTTGTTTTATATATATATTATAATGCAATAGTGCATATTTATAACAATTACATACTTTTCTAAAAATATATTTGCAGATAGTTATCTGTAATCACTACATTTTCTCTTGACCCGTGACTAAATGGTCTTTATAGAAAACAGGAGATACTACAAATATTATTGCTCACCCAATAGCTACATTATAATTTGTTACAAACACTTTAAAGCCACATTTATAGATTTCTCTAACTATACGGAGTGTGTGAAAGTGGTGTTTCTCTCGGCTAGTATTTGTGTTTCTCCGTTTGTGGCCGATTCATTCTAAGTCAAGATATTTTTTAATTATAAATATTTCTCTGTAACACCAGAAGGTCAACACCTCCCTCACCACTTAGTTGTTTATGTTTTCGATGTTTTGGAAACGCCTAAAGCCATCTTGAGAAACAGAACTTTCAGAATACTCATCTATTAGAATTTTTTTTTAAAATGTGTTGTTATAAAATTCTTTTATGTTATAGGAGGAGTGTATGCTGAGGTATAAGAACATAGTAGATCTAATAAAGAAGAAAAAGGATAAACCAGATAGCAATGATAATAAATTGTCTGAGATTTAGACAAAAGAAACCGTTATTTGTTTTAAAATTGTAAAATCGTATATGTAATATTGGATCGAATTCGATTATGTTGCTGTAGCGAATGATCTTGTAAATAAATACAATAATTGCCAGAAGGGTCGGGTCGCATTTTAAGATAAATTACAGGAATTATTGACTTATTGTAAATAATAAAAATAATTCCTTTGAGTATTGTGTAAAGTATATTGTCATTATTGTTGTTCCAGATATATATATATTTATTGTCTTATGTCTAATTTTTGTATTTTTTTTTTTTTTTTCTTTCTCTTCAAAAAGTTGAAGAGCTGACAGTCCAAAGAATTTCCTATTTATTGTATATCATATGAAGGGAATTTATCAAGAAAACAATAAAAACTATTTTATCTTTATTTTATTTCTTCTTTTTATTTACTGTTCACAATAATATATTGGGTTGAGGAAAAAGTAATTTCATTTTATTCTAATAGGTGACCTTAAAATCTCTTATCTCTTGTAATCCTTATTTAATGAAGTCATTCTATTGTTTGAAAGGTCACATTCCATAAACATTCTTTATATATAAAAATAGCATCATTCATTTACTCAATCGATAGTTATTGCGCTTTAAGAATGGAGGTTTCACAAGGTCATTCTTGTCATATTTTGCTGTTTTACTTCTGAAAAGAGAAAAATTCAGCTCAAGCTCATCAGAAATTGTATGATGTGTTTGCTCGTTTTCATTCCAGAAATTTTGATGTTAGAGATCAACCTCGCCCTGACCAGCCAATCGTTGAAAACATCAATGAAATTCTTCAAAAATTTGAGATAGACCGACATATTTCATCTTGAGGGGAGAGGAGGGGGGGGCATTGCTACAAAACTAAACATCGATTAAAAAACAGTTTAGAAAGTGGAACAGTTGTTTCAGTTCTACATGAATTAACAGTGAAAAATTAAATGGACCTAGTTTCTATTCGCGAATCACTGTTTTAAACGAAAAAAAAATCAAGCCATTTTCAAAACAAATGATAATAAGTGATGAAAAGTGAATCATGTACGACAATAATGTGCAAAAAAGATTGTGGTTAAAGCCCCTAAAAGCTTCACAAACAGTGAAGCTTCTTGTTTGAGGGGAATTTTTTTTTTTGGTGGGGGGGAGCAAATTATAAAATATAATAAACAATAGACTTTGCTTCAGTTAAAACTAAAATTCAAGGAACCACCAATGATGTACTACTACTAGCAAACATCATGTAAAACAGTTTACTCTATTATAAAAATTTTAAAACCATTTAAAAAGTCCATTAATAAACATACGGTAAACATCAAGTAAGGTTCGAGCCTTACAGCCTTCTCACCGAGCTTTTTTTACAACACTAGGCGTAAATGGCATCAAAAGAGGATTGTGAAAATCACTTGGTTGTTTTTTGCTCGGAAATCTCATAACTTCAACAGTGGCGGACTTATGGTTTTACCAGAAAATTAGCAAAATGGCACTTATATAATTGGTTAGTGTTTTAAATTTATATAAATAAAATTTCTTTAAAAAATTAAAAACAGTTACTTTTTCCTCAACCCAATATTTTCTAAAATTTATTTTATCCATATATGTTTTTATATCATATCAGTATTATAAACATGGGTTGGTTACTAAGTCTTATCTTTTTTGACAGACATTTTCTTCCATGTGATTAGTATAAGTTCTGACCCATGTTTTTTTTTTTGATACTTTGAATTCATGTATTCTTTATATTATATGCTTGATTGTTTGAGCTAACCTTTTGTTATTGAAGGTTTGTTGGCTAAACAAATAAAAATTAATGTTTATAATAAAAATATTTATTCTTTAAAAAATGAATAAAAAAGTAAATAAATATTCTATATGAACTTTTCAGTTTTATCAAGACAGACTGAGGCATATGAATTGGTTGCTAGGTGAAGATTAAGTTAAACCAATAAAAGTGTAGTAATTCCGAATTTTTCTGATTGTTCTTTCATAATAGCCCTGGAGCCAGGGCACAAAAATCGAGCTCATCGCAGGCGAAGGTTGAATTGTAAATTACAAAAGTGTATGTTATTCTGAGTAAAAAAAAACCCTGTCTGCCGTTCCAGCGTAAAAATGCTTTAAAAAATGGCAGCTAATTTAAAGAATATTAGGCTAGTAATTTGAGGATCGAAATGGGAAATCTATTGCAAAAAATGTGAGAAAAGTTTTTATTTTTTTTAACTTGTATATATGGCTTTAGACAGGTGATAAACACAACTGCTAACACGGGCCACCAAGGGAAAACTTTTTACAGCCAAAAAAGTCAAATGTTTTCAATATTTTTTTGTTTTTATATCTATAACTCCTAAACAATGCATCAAAGCAAAAAAATGTATCCTTTAATAAATTAAATAATGTTAAATTGTGCGTCCGAGTATATAAACTTTATAATTTGGGTATGTGGTAAGGTATAAAACCGTGGTTAACCAAAACTGATTTTTACGAAATTTGTGAAAACTTGAGACAAATTACTATATATGGCTCTGTAACTCGGAAATGAGTTCCTTAAGAGGAAAAATCCATAGAATCAAAGTTGTAGAGCATCAAATTTTGCAGCCACTGAGTACTGACATTTTTATTGTAGGCTAATTAAATATCTCGAATCGGGATTCGTTATTCCTTTATGAAATTCAGTATCTTTCAATACATCTTTTATCAAAATCCTTTGCTGTTGAGAGATGGAAAAGAGACTTACACTGCATGTAACAGACTCTAAACGAAAATAACTCAGTAGAATACTGTTGAAATATTTAAAATCACGTTTACCTGCATTAACAATTTCTAACCATCGTGGTATTACCGATTTTGCTCCGAGTAAGTGACCTACATTAAATTAGTTGGTACCCACTGGATGCAAAATTTGATGCTTTACAACTTTGTTTCTATGGTTTTTCTTCTCAAGGAACTCATTTCCATGTGGCAGGACTATTTATTGTAGTTTGTCTTAATTTTTGACAAATTTGTTAAAAATCAGCGTTAGTTGACCGCGGTTTTATACCTTACCACGTACCCAAATTATAAAGTTTATGTACTCATTGGACGCACAATTTAACATTATTTAATTTATTAAAGGATACATTTTTTTTTTTGCTTTGATGCATCGTATAGGAGTTATAGATGTAAAAACAAAAAAATATTGAAAACATTTGACTTTTTTGGCTGTAAAAAGTTTTCCCTTGGTGGCCCGCGTTAGCAATTGTGTTTATCACCTGTCTAAACCCTTATATAATTGGTTCACATTTATGTTAAAAATTTCTCTTAGCGTCTATTACTGTTACATTTACCCGTATAGAGAATATATCTATGTCCACATGAAATAAGTTGGTAAATAACTCCTAAATCTCCTGTACATCGTCAATATACATAGTATATAGAAACCTATAGGCTCCTAGTCACTTCCTTAATTTTTCCTCACTTTTACTATTGCTATATGGCATATGTGAGCGTCTCTGGGGATCTCGAGGTGAAACTAAAACGTTTGATAAATTGCTTTATACGATTGATCTTAGAGATCCCAGGGGAAGTTTCAGTTTCCCCTTTTTATGCAGAGTTGAAGTGGCTTTATCCTTCCTACCGTCGTAAGTATTTCCTGGCATTCTTCCTCTTTCAAGTCATCCAATCTCACCGACCTTCATACATCTCCGACCTCCTTCTATTCAAATCCTCTGTTCGTTCCCGATCTTCTGATTTATACACAAGGGGCCACCGAACTGCTTATTTTGACAGATCGTTCATTATCCGATCCCCATCCCTATGGAACTCCATCCCTTCCCACATCCGTCAATCCAATACCCTTCCTACCTTTAAATCCTGCATGTTCAATCATTTCTTATCCATCCAGACACCATAATATTGTAAAAAGATACTACTGTAAATATGTTTATAAATTATTAGATTTTTTCATTATTTTTACCACTCTTCAGCCATGTCAACGACGCCTCAGTGCCCACTCCTACATACATTAATGAGTGATTAAATCGTCCATGTAAAGGTTTATTTTTCCATATTTCTGATCAAATGCCATCATCTGCTTCACTAATCGGGATCCCAGGCCTTCGTAAATTCAGAGCTGTATAATTCATATATAATGATGCAATAGTTAAAAGGATATTGGAGGTATGGGTACTATTATTATTATAAGGACGTTTTTAAAACTTATTCGTTGTATACCACAGGCAATGAGTTTTATTTTAATGTATTATCAAAATGTATTTAATAATTTTTAATTTTTTTAAGTCAAATAATTTATTTAAATAAATAACAGTTCTATTAAAATTATATCTAAAAAACAACTTTTACAATAAAATTTTTAAACAAATCAACTCACCAGATCTTAAGAGTTAAAATTATTTTATAAAATAACAATTAATTCTATTCATGTCAATAATTAATAAAATTGTAATAAATATAAATTATTTATACAACATTTAAAAACTTATAAAATAAAGAACTTTCTTGAAAATTATGTGCTAGATAAAGTGTATCACTTTTACATCGTCAATGAGGCTAATACATTCAAAATTAAATTAAACCTACCAAATCATACATATCATATACTTATGATTGGGCATGTATACCCACAGCCAATAGGTAACTATTATATTTAACTATATCATTAATAGTAACTATATCATTCTTACTACGTTACTAATACTAACTACAGCCTTTTGACATTGAATGATGAAAGCTCTGTGCTAGAATTATCTTTAGCATATTGGCCTACGCTGGAATCTAGCCAAATGTCTTCTGCCCTCCAGCCACAAGATCGCCTCTGCAATGTAAAGAACAACAACCATATTTATAGAAAAATTCTTTAATTATAATACATTTTATTTATTATTTAATTAAGTCTTCCAGGCTTCAAAAATATAAGTACTTGCCGCCTCCCTTCAATGAAAAAAATATTTTCTAAAAACAAAAAGAAATACAAGGTTAAGTTAATATTTTTTTTTTTTTATATTTTAAGTTATTTAAGATTTTTGTTACTAGTATGTGATTTCCTCCTCACTTGGCTATTGAACATTTGTTTTTTTCTAATAAAAGAAGGTGTTATGTCTTTGTCTTTTGACTTGTAGCATTAACAACCCAAGATTCTTTGGTAAATAGGATGATTTCATAAAAGACCGGATGGATAGTCTAAGAGCTGATACAGATAAATGCGACTTATTTTACATAAAGCTTCACCTTGTAACGAAAAATGAACATTTTCATAGCTTAAAGAGGTGGACTGAAGAGACACTGACGACGCTAGCTCGAATCAGTTCTTGCTCCTTCAGATAACTCAATGTGCCGATTGAACAAAGTTAAACTAGTGGGATATTGTAAATATGTACATATAAGTTTTTTTCTATCTATTTTTTTTATCCCAAATATTTTTAATTGGTTTATTGTATAGTCTAAGTTAATGTTTAGTTCTATAATAATTTTATAATCTTTTCTTTGATAATTAAAGTTAATTGTATTTTCTTTGTTTTCTTATAAATCTAATTTCTTGTTCATATTTTTCATTTCCTTTAACAGTTATTTAAATCAATAGAAATAAGTAAATTCATCATTAGTATTAATAATAGCCAGTTTTATTTTCTTATTTTTCTTCAGTTTGTTTTCATGTTTGATGTATATATTATATTGTTTTTTTTTTTTTTTTTTTGTTTAATAAGGAATTGTAAAACCCTATTCGAGGGAATAGGGAAAGTCATTATTAACCAAGTAAGAAGGTTCGATAGGTTATGAGGTTAATTAACATATGTTTTTAAACCCATAGGTTCCGAGTTCGTAGCTCACTCCGCGTCCTAATCTTTTTTTTTAATTAAATTTATTTTTATTTTTATGGTTTTCGCTATTTTCCGAATTCAGCAAATTAAATAGCGTGGCGCCTGTTAGATAGTTATTAATATTTAATTGACTCTTGATTATTTTTTTTTTTCAAACCCTGCCGTCTCCACTGAGCATCCAGCAACTTTGCTGCGGAAACGATTTTTCTAAATTAAAGACTGTAACAACCTGCTTCAAACATATTATATGGAGAGCTAAAAACAGATATATCGACAGTTTATTGCATGAAGTCAAGTAACATAAATTAAATCATGATGTACTTAAATGGATTTTTCCTCCGTGATATCAAAACATTGCTCATTAAATATGAATATTCTTGAAAAAAAAAATTAAAGTTTGTCTCAATTTGATCAATTTACTGTGTCTTTGCATCGATAAATGAGATAGAATTTTACAAAAACGTACTTAGTTACCTTTGTAATTAACCAACATTATGTTGTAAAACATAAAAATCTAGGTCTGCCAGCCACCACCATCTGGTCCTCTGTGACAAACGCTAATGCATAGTGGAATGAGGCAAACATTACAGTAAAGGAAAACACACATTTTTTTATTGATAACACCAAAATAGTGCTTTCTAACAAAAACTCTCCTATTTCAGGAATTAAAAAAACATTAAATTCTGCATCAAATGAGTAATTAATATTATAAATTCATTCCAGAATATAGTGAAAAAATTTTTTTTAACAACTTTTCCAAAATAATCTAGTGCAGTATATCCAACGCTGCCATATTGATCACGGAAATATTTGTTGTTCATAAATAATTGTGGGATCAATCGCAGCCTGCTCCACTCTAGTCATCAGGATTAGTTTCCTTTTCAATTGAGGCGATACTTTGTCATTCCATTGCGCATCACACAACTTTCACTTACCACTCTCTTCTTAGCAGAAATAAGTATTTTTCAGACAAAGGAGAAGTGAAAGTAAAAATTATAAATGCTATATGGATTTATATTTCATTGTGGATATTTTAATTTGTTTAAATACCCTTATATATAAAAATTTTAATATTTATATCGCTTTAATCTATACAATTAAATATTAAATAATATCAACGAAAACATTTAGGAAAACTGCATATGTATATGTGCATAGCGGGGCAAATGGGTAGGGTAGTGGGTATGGGAGTCTCCCCCACTCTTTGCGGAACGATCGAACGTTAGTCCGGGAATCCGATAGTACTCCCGGGCGACAGAGGCAGGGTTCATCGCTTCCATCCATATATATGTATTTTAATGTACACTGTATTGGAAATGAGTAAAAAGGGTTTAATAAATTAATGTTCAACAGTTAAAAGGCAAGTTAATCTAGTTCTACTAGTGCAGGAAAAAGAAGATGGTTACTCTGTAGTTTCCCAAGATGGAAAATCCCAAAGAGGAAGGGACAAAGCTTTTTGTTTTGGCAAGCAGTGGTTATGTGGCTGCGGTGAAGAGAGGATAGGAGAAGTGATCCTGGCTCCAGTGGGAAAACCCCAGTAATAGTGTTACCATCTTGGAAGTTGTTCTTTGGCAGAGAGACTAGTTGTTTATAACTACAAGAGAGAGGATGACTCAGGAAGCTTGAGTTGAATAGAAGAAAGTGTCCCCATTTGGAATATGATAGAAGACAAATGAATTTAGTGCAACAGGAAACAGTATATATAGAAAAATATTAGCTTGCCAATCAATACTTGACTTTATTTTAAAATCAGTGTTTAATTTTAGTATAAATAATAATAGTTTGTCTGAGTGATGGTAACCCACATCTGAGGTAAATAAATATATTAATACTCTTATAATTTTGTTTATTATTCAATAACCTCTTATTTATTCTATAAATAACCTACGGGAAGTTAATTTTAAATAATTAGTTTTGGCGGGAATAGGCGCATAACCTTCCGCTTTTATATCGGGGTTTAAGGTTATTTAAACTCGTGAATCATTAAAACAAAACCCCGGCACTGAATATAGACTTTTGAGGGTGTTTAACTGTGATTGGGAATTCGGGGATCTATTACCTTTTATGACACTGTGTGAGAAGAAACAATAAGAATACATATATGAAATATGGGACTTAGTAAACACTTTGAATTGACTCACCTGGTTTATTCTTCAATCATGAGGCCTATAGGACAACTAAATAAAAGGACTATTCACTCCGGTATAATAAAACAATTTATTTTGACAATTGATCATAAATGAATATATATAAGTGAACGGTCGGCTTGATAATCTTGGTCTTCAATGGAGTAAGCCTCTCTTCCCAGATGACGTCTTCTTGTGTTGGTGTCCAGGCTTTAAGTGTTTGGCGTCCTCCTCGCCATCTGTTGCCAGCTACCTGATCGGACCTTTTCTTCTTTTCGATTCTTAATCGATGTCAGATTTTCCAATGAGCAATTTGTCCACTGCACAATTGAGAACAATTCACAGTGCAACCTCACATTCCTATATATTATATATACCTTCTCATTCCCTCACACATTGTCATATAAAGGAGTAAATACCGGGGATGTCTACTACAATTCGGAAGTATCCCAATGCTATAAAGCTATCTTCCGAGATCATGTTATTATTATTTGTAAAATATAAGAGAGATGTTACAGTATGTTCATATATGTGAGATTGTCGCGATGAACCTGTTAGGCACCCAAGCTAGGTTCGGGTAAAAATACACTGTCTTGTATCGACCCACTTGGGGCACCAGGCACAACTCCATTGTAAGTAGCGGCTGTAGGGAGGGGGGGCGATAACTACAGTCTATTTTCCACCATACTCAAGAAAACAAGATGCAAAGAGAACAAAATAAAAAACAACAGTACTTACTAACTGGACAGACCTTTTTCTTCTGAGGAAGATTCATCTTCTACGGAACTTAAACACCTTGACCTTGACCAGGGGCTTCTCTTGACATTACCCTCGATGAGGCATCGATGGGAGACACCTTTAGATCCCTCACGGCTGAAGTCGAGGGACTTCCAGTTTGTTACTAAGGTAAGGAGATCAGGAGGGTGACCACAGCCGAGGCTGGAGCTGTTGCCCTACGTCCACAAAACCTTCAAGAAACTGGTCTATCAGCGGACCTGACAGAATCAAACGTTTAAATGGCAGGCGGTGGACGCGCTCTGAAAGAAGCAGTTCCTGCCGCACTGAAACTATGGAAAACAATGAGAAGGCAGCAAAGCAGGAATAGAGTTGCAGCCAAAATCATACGAAAGACACATCCAGAATCGGGACCTACAATAGGGCACTCGGCTAAGGATACAAAGGTCATCCCAGACCCTGCAAAGAAGGCCGAGGAGTCCGATGTGCTGGTCTCTGATTCAAGCACACAAGTGAAAATCAAGGAACCTAGGAAGCCAAGGGTGCAAGGTCCAAATATGTCCCGGCCTCCAAGGCCGAATTGTCTGCAGCAAAGACTCCAAGAAGATACATTACCCAAATGGAGCCGCCCTCTGGGCCACCAGCTAAAGACGCAGAGGTCTCTCGAGAACCTATGCCTAAGGCTGCGGAGACCTGTGGGCTAGCCTCAAAGAAGGGCAAAAGACAAAGAACCTCTCTGGGCACCACAGCACCTACTACCAAGAAACCCACAGAGGCAGTTACCACTGGTTGCGTACTCTCGTTTCCCTTTGGTTCCTTCATCACAACTATTCTGTCATGGTCTCTTAATTCTTCTTTAGTTAATTATCAAATTCTTTCATATTTTATATTTAACTATTTTTTGTATTAGAAATCAATATGAATTGGTTAATTGTTTCAAATAAAAAATTTAAAGTACTTTAGAAGAAGCTAATATTAAAAATTAGCCATTTAAGCCCTGTTAGAGAACATCAATGAGAATAAAACCTATATAGTATTAAAAACTGCTTAATTTTACACTAATATAATGAATACAATCAAAATCGTTGGAGCCGTTTTCGAGAACATCGTAAAAATGAGTTTAGTCCTTGATATAAAGTGCCACTTACGGTAAGCCGATTTTTACGAAAAAGTTGCTGTAACATGTTAGGTATATACAAACCTTAAATATGCAGTTTCACTTTCATACGACTTTACGTTTTTAAGATGGACCTGTCACATACATACAGACACAGACCATTTTGTGGGATTTGATTATTTGGACTCAGGAGACGTCAAAACTTATTTCAGTTGAAAACTCAGATTCAAAAATTTTCATGATTGCAATACTGTCCCTTACTATATATTTCATATATAGGTAAATGAAAGTAAAAATCATCAATGTTGTGACTTTTAAATGTATTTATTTGTTTTTAATTTGAATTGAAAACAGTCGTTTCCATTTTTGGCCATCAATAACTGAAAAAAAAATCATATTTTGATCAGCTAATATATTTTATTTCAGTGGATTCATGCTAGCAAACATCTGTTTTTTTTTTCTTAGTTCTTATTCAAAGACATAATTGTTTAAAATCGGTGGAAAGATGTGTACAATTAATCATGTCTTCCTGCACCAACTTCTGAAGTTACATCATGTTTTTGAAAAACTACATTTGTTTTTCCAAATTTTCTGATAACTTTAAATTTTTAACATAGCATTTTCCTTATTATGAAGTCTAAAATGTATACATTGTATAAATTTAACGATTATGTGAATGAAAATTAAGTTACCATGATAAGTTTTCGGCATGACTGGCGCGACTGGTTCAGGGACTTCGTAAGTAAAATGGAACGAGTTTGTTGTCAGCACTTGCTTGGTAGCCATCTCGTAGAGCTCTATAAAGACGGCAATCTGCATATATTTATCGTACGTATAAATCACCTGTAACAGTATTCTCTTATAATATAACAAACAATTTAATTTAATTTTACAATTTAAAATAATTTTATTTTTAATTTAATTTAAAAAAAAAGACTAAAGATCACACTACGGCTCTAGCCAAACATATTTCTTTCCATGTTGACATCCGAAAGAGCCTTGAGATGTGATGAAATCTAAAACCTAAAATTTCCCAATTTCTGTACCCGGGTTTTTTAAAATTAAAATCTTTTATTTTTTTTTTAAATATTAATGATTTATTTTCATAACATATAATCACATTATATCATTTCATATCAATTAATAATCAAGATACTTAAACTATAACAAACATTCTTTTTTTCAGTATTTTGAGCTCAAATTGTTTCAAAACATTCACGGGTCTGAGTAATTACAGCCCCCAAAGTTAAAAATCGACCAAGTCATCTGCTCAAAATATCTTTACGCACCTTTTAGAGGGTTGATTAAAAACACTTTACAAAGTAATTTGAAAGAATTTTAGGCTCAAATTAAAAGGGTATATAAAAAAAAAAATGCTGTAAATTATTTGACAATGGTTTATTATTTCCAAACAATTATACATCTAAAGTAACATTATCTTCCTAGTTACAAAGAAAAAATAATAAAAAAAGATTCCAATTATTGGACTAAAAATTTATTTTTTTTAATCATTAGTAATATGCTAAAAAAATTAGCATTACTTCAGTAACACATTCAAAAACCAAAACAAAGGATATAACCTTTGCAATATAACAAATAAAAAATATCTATAGACCATATATCTTTGCTCCTAATTGACCGATTTTAACCAATTTTTTTTTTTTTTTTAGGAAATTCTGTAAACTTTTAAATAGAGAATCGATCACAATGGTTCATTATTGAAAATAATAAACCAAAATGACCATTTTATCAAATTCAAGATTTCAAATATTTGAATCCTATTTAATACTTATCAATACTTAATAACCCATTTAGAACATTCCCTAAGCTTGTTTAATCTCATTTGACTTCTTCAAAAAAAACCTCAGTTTAGTTATTAGTTTCAAAGAAGAAACATGACAATGTCCCACGTAATTTTAAGCCACTGAAGCAACTCATGAAATTATTAAATATGAAGGAGAAGAGGTCCTTGACCAGTGCACTGTATGGCATTGGTTTGAAAAATTTAGCAGTGCAGATACGATGTTGGAAAGGAAGAAGCGCTACAGGCGACCATTAATGGATATTGATGGTACTCGCGAACTTGCCAGGGAGTGTGGTGCGTCAAAAGATACTGTTAGTCGGCATCTACTCTCCATGGGGAAGGTGAAAAAGAGCAGTAGACTGGTCCATCACGAACTTAGTCCTCAGCAATCAGCTAAGAGGTTACAAATTTGTGAAAATTTATTTAAGAACCCTTCTGATATGAGATTTTACCAGAAGATTGTTACCTGTGAGGAAAAGTGGGTTTACTGGCAAAATCCGAACACCCGTGAGCAATAGCTAGATCACGGTCAAACTGCTTTTAAGGTTGCTGCAAGGGGATAATTTGAAGAAAAAAAAACTTTTTTGAATTTTGAAGGTATTATTCATCACAAATTTATTCCTCATGGATGCTCTATGAATTCTGAACTCTACTGCGAACAACCGGAAAGATTGTATGCAAAGTTGTTAGAGCGTTATCCTGCTTTGATCAATCAAAAAGGAATTTTATTCCAAGATAATGCCCGTCCTCAAACTTACCATCGAACCAAAGAAAAGTTTACAGAACTTCATGCCTGTTCGAACTCCTGCCTCATCCACCATTTAGTACAGACCTCGCACCATCGGATTATTACTTATTTAGATCCATGGCCCATTTTCTTCAAGAGAAAAAAGTTGATTTGTAGAAGTTAAAATTGCGGTCTAAGAGTTCTTTGACAGCCATCCCAAAGAATGGTATCAGCGTGAGATCAAGCAATTGTCTAGCAGATAGCTAATAACGGTAGATAACAATGGACTATACTTTAAGAATTAATTGTATTTTATACTAAAGAAATAATACAAATATTTGGTTGAAAAACGGTCATTTTTTTTATGCACTTATTATTTGAAAACATTCACGGTATCTCACTGAATAATTTGATCCATCAAACTTAAAAATCTATCCAGCTGTTTGTTCAAAACAGTGTTACATATCTTTTAACGGACATCCCGAACACATTACCCTCATGTTGTTTTGCTTTCTAAACGCTCACGGAACCTCGCCGAATAATATAATATATCAGACTTAAAAATTTATCCAGCCGTTCGCTCAATACAGCCTTACATAGCTTTTAGCAGATGACCCATACATATAACTCTTGTTTCGCTTCACTCAATTATTTATTATGTGATTATATTAAACTTATTAGCTCACAAATGTCATTCCAACATGAAGGATAGGCGTAGCATTAAATCACACTGTTAGCGCAAACCTAGTCCGAATATGTCTGTCTTTGGAAAGGTTAGGTTAGGTCACATTTCTAATACAATTTCATCTTTCCAACGGTAACTATCAAGACCCGCATACTATTAAAGATTATTAGGTAATATTTAACTATTTTTTGTTTTTTAACAAGGATGATCATAACCGTTCCCCATTTTTTTTTTTTTTTTTTTTTTTTTTGTAGAATAACAATAATAGAGAATGTGAGAATATGATTAAAATAGTAGCGAATAAAGTGAAGGAACAAATAAGTTAAAAACAGTACCCAAAGAGCAATATGATGCACCAATAAAAATTAATAAACAAAATTATCAGAACTAATGTTTGCCAAGTGGTCGAAATTCATAATCATTACTGAACATTTGAAGATAACATAGATGAAATAAAGAATAAACATTTTTTTTTTCTACTCTTATATTTATTTGTAAATTCACTTTTATATGTACCGACAATAGAAAACAATACAGTACCATTCCATTTGTTTACTTTTTGATTTATTGGCAAATAAAAATGTGAAAACATCATTATTTTTTTCAAAAAAATTATTGACCTCACTATGCTCATTCAGTGAAAATTTGAGGTATAAAATTTTCATTTTTTGATTGCTATGAATATTTGTATTTGAGGGTTTTCCAGGTGCGAAATACCGACCTCAATTTGGTTTCTTCTTAAAAAAAATATTTGAACCAACTTTGCTCCTTTGTTCGGTACAAATCGTTTAATTTCAACATTGTTCTCAACACTACAGCTATATTCCAAGAATAAATTTGTCATAGTAGAACTCTTGTAAAAAATATAAACTGGAAAAAAAAATAAAAATATCTTATTCGACATGATTCTTTTCAATTTTGATCATTTGTTTTCTCATTTGGTAGGGAATTCAGAAAGCTCTCAAATACTCATAGGTTTCAAGAACCAAAATGTGTGTACTTTTTGAGTTATTTATTAACTTTAAATTAATTAAAGAGTTATTCTAGTTCTGGAACTATTACTGAAATCAATTACCTGACTCATTATTTTCAAAAATGAATTAAGTTTAACAGGTTTCCTGAAACTTATGTTGCTCACGTATCGAAGGCTCGGTCTCTGACTGCTGTAAACAGAAAATAAGTTAATTAGCCCTCACAGTATTTATAAATCATGAACATAATTAATAATTATTATGTATAATATATAATATAGAAAAATGAGAAATTGGTTTAACAGCATATGTATAACCATTTGCTAATGAAGTATAACGAATAATATACATAATTATTATTATTTGACGCGAAACAGCCCTGAAGGACTATGAAACTGGTTTCTTTTTCAATTTTCTGCCCATCTCTGCTTGAGGATATCGCTAAATTTTTTCTCCCTCTCCTCTGTCCATTTCCTACTGGACGGAAGTTCTTTACTATCCACCACATGCACTGCACTTTTCAGGAATTTCTTGTATTCTGTCCTATCCTCACATAATTCCCGTATTATCCCAAGCCTCTGAATTTCCTGTTTTATTTGTACTGTATATCCATGGTTAAACTTGTATCCCATAACCCTACTGAAAATCTTCTTGTTTAATCTTATATATCTTCTTGTTTAATCTCATACATAATTATACTTAAGAATAAATATTAACTCTAGAACGATGAAATGTGAAACACTCCCCAAAATTTAAATATTAAATTACTTTTATATAAATAGCTCTTTGGTCTAGGTTTTTCATGTAAATAAACATCATACATAGCTAGACTAATTACGGCCATTAGCACTCCAATGTTGAGCTTATATCATTATTGAAAGTCATTATGGGGAATCCCATACACCAGTGTGTTGTCTATGGAACTGTTCTGTGAATTTCGTATCCCACTGTTTTCTTCGAATAATTCAGGCATGGATTTCTAATGTTCTATTTATTAATTAGTGGTATTTTCAATTCAGACATTACTTTATAGAAACTATTTTTTTAGTATGGCAACTACCAAAAAAATCTATTCTTCTCTTGAAGAAATCCATAAATTGTTATGGGAGTTGGAAGATAAAGAAAATGTGTAAGGAACATATTAAATAAAGAGAGCACAGTAAATTTTAAACAAATGTGTCATGTGTTCACTACAGCAAGAAAAACAAGAAGGTCGTCTCTCCGATTTTTCTTTGGAATGTTGAACCTTTGTAAATAACATGTTGAAAGTTAAATGTAAATATTGTTTTTTGACGGAAATTGCGAATAGCCTTCTGCTTTATCAGGGAACTAGGTTATTTACACTCGTGATTATTAAAACAAAACCCCGGCACTGGATATCGACTTTTTGAGGGTGTTTAACGGTTGTTGGGATTTCAGGAAGCTAATACTTTTTGTGACACTGCGTGAGAAGAAATAATAAGAATACATATATAAGAAATGTGGGACTGAGTAAATACATTTTAAATGAATTGACTCACCTTGTTTATTATTCTTCAATTGTGAGGCCTATAGGACAACTAAATAAAAGGACTTTTCACTCCTGTCTAACAAAGCAATTTATTTTAACAACTGATAATAAATGAATATATTAAAGTCTTATAACTGTAGGCTTGATATTCTTGGTCTTCAATGTCTTCTTGGTCCTTTCTCATCTCAGGTAACGTCCTTTCGCCTTCATGTTTCTGCCTCAATTACCTGGCGTCCTTCTGCCAGCTGCTGCTAGCTACCTGCTCTGATCTTTTTCCAGCGTCCTTCTTCATCGATATGAGACTTTTCAAAGAACAATTTGTCCGCTGCACAATTGAGTACAATTCATCGTGCAACTTCACATTCCTATATATTCCTTCTCATTCCCTCACCCAATGTCGCATAAAGGAGTAAATACAGGGGGATGTTAACTACACCTTACTTGTATAAACAGCATGATATTGTTCAGCTTCTTCAGGAAAAGAAGATGAGATGGAGAAATTATTTATTTGGATTAGGCTATTCTTTACTTGAGCCCTGTTTGAAAGGAAGACTGCAAGAGGAGACACTCTCACGAACGATTAGTTTCAACATAAATGAAGTTTTGTTAATTAAAAAATAAACAACTACTGTTGAAAAAAATGATTCGTCAGCAATGTAAGATACCTGCAATGAACACAGGGCGACAGTTTGCTTGGATTGTTGTGAGTGAGTGGTCACTTAAATGGCCTCCACTATTATCTTTTAAGTAAAAAAAAATTGTTTCCTTTATTATGTATATATATTTTACATTTCAAATATATGTATTTAATTGATATAAATTTAATGTATTTCAACATAAAAATATTGATCCTTTTTTTTATTTTTTAGCGATGCAGATGTTAATTTTTTGCTTTATGTGAGCATATAAAATATATTATCTTAGGTTATCTTGAACTTATTTATTTTGTTTTCCTGATCATTTAGCTTATTTCTGAAAACTATTTTAGTTTTCCAGATTATGACATTTAAAGTTTGGGGTGTACCATATTCCAGTGTGTCAGAATGAGTTGGCATATTTAAGTGTGTCGTTCAAGGGTTAAGTATATTAAATATATCACTTAATTATATATGTAATGCATAGTAAGGGAAAGTATCGCGATCGCGACAATTTTCGAATCTAAGTTTTCAACTTGAATACATATTTTGAAGTCCTTGGACTCCAAATAACCAAGTCCCGCAAAATGGTCTGTGTGTGTATATATGTCAACATTCTAGCTCAAAAACGAAAAGTTGTAAGTAACAGAAATTTGTAAATGCCTGAGATGCTACAGCAACTTGCCCCATCCCTTGCCCATTTCAAGCACTTTCTTTCATTATTCTTTATACCTTTCAATTATTTAATTAACGAATCAGCTCGTTATAATTGCATCTTGTAATACCGATATATAACTGAAGACTACCGCAACAAAGGGACAGTCGACTGCCATAATTTTGGATAAAAAATTTTACTAGCAAAAGTGACTATCTCCTGCCTACTATCGATCTAGTTAACTCGCAACACATAAACGCACCTTTGAGATTACCTGTGAATGTAAGCTGTCATCCAGGCCAGTTCCATAGCGAGCCTCATCAAGTAGCCACCGAATACAGTGTTATGGTGATTCCTATTCTGCAAAGTAAAACATCATAGTTAATAATGATGTAGAGATGGTTGACTGTTGAAATAATATGAGCAGGAGTTGACCGGGGGGGGCGGTCAAATAAATACTAAATTAAACAAAATTGGACAAAAATTAAATAATTACTATTTGTTTTATTTAGTATTTATTTGACCGCACCCCCCAATCAACTCCTTCTCATATCATAGTTAATAATATAATAATAAGAAAGAAAGAAAAAGAGAAAAACATAATCAATATTTTTGTTTGATAGATGGCATTCTTCAATAGATTCAATAGCCTATCCAAGGTGGAATGTGGGGAGGGGGTGGCGGAACAGGCTAACGCATGCGCACAGCACCATTGTTGCCTGGCAACCTGATATATAAGATAAACTGATAAAAATAGTCAAGAGTTCGCCTCCCGGTGCTGGGGGAGTCTTTTAACTCTCTGCCCTCCCAAAATTCCGTATAGCCTTAAATGCGAGAAAGAGGAGAACAAAAAAAACGTCCAAGGTGGAGTTTGGCCTCCCATAAAATTCGATTCTATGTATCCCGATTCAATGCCTTCTGTTTTCATCCAATGACTCCAATTCTTGCAAGATCCTACTCTAGGTCATCCAGCCATCGTCTTCTAGGAGCCATCATCATTTTATCATCTTCCATTCTCTGTACATGACCAAGCCAGCTAATTCTTCTATGCGCCACACACCCTGGACGCAAAATGGACCAAAAATACGCCTTATGATCTTCCTTTCAAACACACTTGGCATGTGTCGGTCTGTAACTTTTAGCGTCCAGGTTTCTGTGCCATAGCAAACAACAGGCCTGACAAGCGATTTGTAAAGCTTTATCTAGGTAGCTCTAGAGAGAAGTGGCGATTTGAAGAGGTATATAAGACCGTAATACGCTCTATTTCCTGTCATGATCCGTTTCCTTATCTCTTCATCACTCACCTTTTTTTCACAATTGGTATTTACTCCAAGGTAAGTAAAGTATTTAAGTGTTTCTAGATGCGGACACCACCTAAATTACTTTGTTTTCGGTTCTTGAACATTTTTACATTCGGGCACCAGTTCAGTGAGGAGTTCCCTTATCGCTCGTTCGCTTCTTCCAAGAACTACAAAGTCATCCGAGAATCTGTGAGATGCGGATTACCAAACTTCCTCTTCATGCAATTGTTTTTAAGGCTTTGTGGAGAGCTAAGTTAAACAGTATGGCCAACAGAGCATGACCTAGTCGAACTCTACCATTGAAATGAAATTCGTTGCTCATTGTATTGGCAACCTAATATTATTTGAATAAAAGCAAAAAAGTTGAGCATGTAAAGTTAATTTCAAAGTGCCTGCAGACCACAGTTTAAAAACTTATCGTCTTGGACAGCGATAAGAAATCTTTTTTTAAATTATCCTACCAAAAATATTGTTACATTGTTCACAGCATCTCTCAATATAAACCCATAAACAAATATACAAATAAACCTCTCAATAATAATAGGAATACTATTAATGAGAAATTTGTCATTACTTCTTTGGTAACGATTAGGCTATACTGTAGGTATAGAGGAAGAAGCTTTTTAATCAAACTTACATCATTTAAATTATCGATGGTTGCTTTGAATTGTTTCCACAGCGGAAAATAATCGCTTTTAAACAAACGTGCTTCATTTAACAATTAAAAGGGATTTCTGATGAAATTACTAAAGTTTAATTGTGAGAATTTAGATTATAAAACACACTCGTTGAAATAATAACAAGAAAGAAAAATCACGCTTATTAAAGCCTCAAAATTAATTATGAAATATGTTATATATTCAAACCTCTGGGTGAGGGAAGATGGAGGTGTTTAATCTGGTATCCTCCATCCAGACGTGACCAGAAGGAAGTATCCTCTTGTTGATCGTTGGGTCTTGCATGTCGACTGACTTAACAAAGTTCTCATGAATGAGCTTCTGTTCTTCATCAGAAGGAGGAACTACCAGCAATGAATATTTATCATGTTCTATTTTCTTCCTCTTAGTCTCTGCAAGTAAAAATTAGAAATAAAATTTCTAAGAACTAAGTAAACATTGAGGGAGAGGATAGAAAACTCACATATTAATACAATAAAGGGATACCCATTGAAGGTACTAAACATTGTTAAAGCAAACATAAACTAATCATTTCTTAACATTATTCAAAATTGCAAATGTTTTGGCATCGTGTAAAAATGTTCATATGTCTTCACTGTATCCACCCACATCGGATTTAATGTTTCTATCCTCCAAATATTTTTATTTGAGATATCTTAAAAACAACTCAAAGAAACCAAAAGCAAATTTCAAAAAGTGGAGTGCAAAAAACATGATTAAGGCTTAAATTGAGCAAGAATTTCCAAGTTTTGCAAGTAAATTTGGTTTTTGTGCTAACAGTTTGAGCTTACTAAATAAGAAGCACAGGTACTTTTTGTCTAAGCGGCCGTTTTGAAACCTCACTTCTTATCTATCTTATCAAACTTCATGTCATCATGTCACATAACCTTCCTCTTCTTATACCGCCAAACTTTTGAGTTATTGCATTGTTTAGTTTTCAGTTATTCCCTTATTACGTTCACTTATTAAATTGTTTACATTTGGCCCGTTTGTGTTTATTTTTAGTTTTTGGCCCGTTTGTTTATTTTACATTTTTTTTTAGTTTGTGACCCCTTGGTGTTTATTTTTCATTTTTTTTTTCGTTTATTTTCGTCATATTATGGATCTTCTTAGAATATGGGATTTACCGTCTTGGTGGAGTTTGCCAAGAAACAGATGAATGTTTTATCGTCAAAATAATTGACAGAAAGGCAACAACATTATTACAAGCCATTAAAGAAAATATAGAAGAGGGAACGACCATTTATTCGGACTGTTGGAAAGGACCCCCCCCAACTGAACACCCAACAACTGAACGAAGCAAACTATGACCATTTCCAAGTGAATCACCGGTATAATTTTGTCGATCCATCAACTGGGGTTCATACTCAACAAATAGAACGATTGTGGGGCTCAGCTAAGTGGAGAAATAAAGTACATAGAGGAACTGCCAGACAACATCTCGATTCATATTTGTGCGAATTTTTGTGGCTGCAGGTTCACAGAGAAGAGGGCCCGTTCCTCACTATTTTAAGTTGCATAAAACAATTTTGCCTTCCAAAATAAATAAGACAAAAGGAAGTGAATAATTAACTTAAAATAATTTGTATATACGTTGTTTATAGTGTTGATATTTTTTCTTTTCTATGTAAATATGTTCTTTTAAATTTGTTTTTTTAAATTTCAGTTTGATGTTTTATATGTATATATCTTCTTAAAGTGTTTTTTTATTATTTCATTAATATATTTGTCGTCAAATAAAAGTATTTTTGTTGTTATTACATTTGTTTTTGTATCTGTTTACACTTTCAATGATACGAATTTAATACAATAATACGAAGATGTGAACTAGGAGAAGGCTTATCACTGCGTTTAGGAGTTATCAGTGTTCAGGTTATAAACATTGGCAGATAGCAGTCAGTAGCGGCCGCTTAGAGAAAAAGTACCGAAGCACATTTTAACATCCTCAAGTCTGGTGGAACCGGCTTGAATCCGACTTGGACGGATTGAAATTTATTACGTGGCGGACCCACATAATGATGAATCTCAACCTTTCCATTCTGGTTAGAAAAGGTTTGGGTTTACTTCTAGAACAATGCCTTCTCCATATACCAGAGATGGCGAGGTAGGGACTAACTGAAAAAAAAAAAAGTTTATGAAAAAACTTCTTTATAGTATAAAAAACGTATTGTAAAATAAAATATTTATTAAAAAAGTTTTTATTTTATTAAAAATTGTTTATTTAAAGTAATTTAAATAAGTTTCCACACCATCTATACTTTTTATAGTTTTTAATAAAATTATTTTACCATTAAAAAAGTTAATTTTTACTGAATACGGTAGACATATAAACATTGGCAGATATCAGTCCATCCCGACTGGATTCTTCACAAGTACCTTTTTGATCGGACCAAGGCCCTATTTTTCAATAATGAAGGTACGGTAAAGTAACTTAGTTCATTTCACCATTTTCAAAACAAGAGCAAATAAAAAAATACTCCTCCACAGTATTTTTTTTTTTTTTTTAGGCATGATGCACATCATTTGAAGAAAATAATAGAGCTAACCAGTAAAAATTTTGTTAAATGAAAACTAATACTATTCCCTGCAAAACATGAGTTTTAAGTAGAAGAAACATTCTTAAAAAGAGTAAGGTGTTCTTGTTGCTTGGATGAGTTTCAAGAACATTGTCACAAAAGCCTTTCTTCCTTAATTGTTCTACGGGTCATCAAAATGAGTCATAAACCGTGGTTGCATATCCAATAAAAATGCATTGTTAAGACTTTGAGAAACACAGTTCGCAAAATATCTGTCATTGTAATCGATACATTTGATGTCGTTATAAATTATAACAAGAATATTTTTTTTATAGCGAAGAAAAAATTAATATCAGCTACGATGTATTGAACATAGCAAATAATCTTTTAAAATTATTATGAGGTGCCGAAAACAAAGTTAAAACATGCTGACACCAAACACATCTGCTAACATCAAAGACAGCGTCAAGGTATCAGCTTAACGATCAGGTACCTAAGGATCGAGGGCTCTGGAGAAGGCCTTTACTCAGAGTAACAGGTAACTAGTAACGGGTTAAGTATCTGGTTCCCTTTAGGGTGTGGCCAGTTAAAATAATTCTACACCAGCTGAAGTTAAGAACCAATCAAAACAATCCTTGCCCCACCCTTGATATTTGAATAAAATCTCGCAAGAAATAAGAAAAGGAGGTCTTATGTCTTTTTCCGGCCTTGGAGACTGAAGAGGCAGCTTGGTTTACACAGACCTGCGAGATGGCAGAGTTTGAACCTGGGCTTAACGAGATGACCTCGGACCAGTAGATGCAGTGATGGAACGACCAACACAACCTAACCACATCATATTTAGAGCCTCAGATAATAATAGATTTACCAATGTTAAAATATTTCATGGCATAATTCTCAAAACAGTCCATCTGAAATCATACCTTCACAGTAATTTATTAAATTCATTGGATTATAGCTTTATTTTGATTATTATAAATATAATTTGTACATTGAGATTTTCACATAAGTTGTATATATACTTAATTAAACATGAGAATAAAATAAGTTTTTTAGTAAAAGTTATTTTAATTCTGCCATCCATTTATATCATGATGATCACATGACAGTAATTAGAAAGTATGATAAACACAAACCAGCCTTTGAGAAAAGAAATTCAATTCATTAATCCTGGACCAATCAGTATATTATAGATTCAGATTCCTTTTACAGATTTGTTCTTATTAATTTTTATTGAATATTTCTGCATCCTGAGTAATTAGTCCAAACCATAGCACAGCAATACAAACAAAATGATAATACAAATAAAGATTTGTTTATCAAAATGATTCGCACAAACCTGATGAGCCTGGTTACCTAAAGCATCCTTCATCTCCTTTTCTTCCTCCGGGCCGTCGGGCTTGAGCTTATTCACGTATGCGGGTCCAGACAAGTTTGAGTTCCTTGCAGCCATCATGAAATTGGCTTTTGCCATCTTTACCCATTGTTTGTTCTGCATGTATGCCAATTCAACTGCTACATTCATTGAGCTATTTCCGGCAGAGACAACTTTACCAGAAATTTTCACGTCACTAGTTACCTGTACATATGAATATATAGGTCCTTTACTTTCCATGAAAATATTTGTAAATTATAATTACATTTTAATCAGTAGTTTGTGCTGTCACAATTAGAGTTTCATTAACATAAATAGAACAAGAATAATTGACAATAATCCATTGTAAAAATATTTTAGACAAAACTTAATTTAATAATCATTATGCAAATAAACAAAGGCAACACAGTTCAGTCCCTTTTTCTCCTCTGTTTCTTAACCGATTTTTTTTTATTATTTTAATTTATTTCCTATTGACGAGCTTTAATGTTATCAATAAAAAAATTTTGGAAACAGTGTATATACATATAAAAATGTAAATTTTAGTTTGTTCAAAACTGCTATTCTCCGAAAGTCTTCACCGATTGCTTTGAAATTTTGATACAACATTCCAATCAAATTCAGGAGAGTTTTTATAGAGAGGAAATACATGTACTTTGGACCACTCTAAGAATAAGAAATTCAAGATATGTGGCAAAATTGAGTAGGCTGCACTGCCAGGATATTTTCCAGCTGATTTTGGTGCCTCTGATCCCCTCCGTTTTTTTATATTATTGATAAGAGTTGGAAAAGTAATTTTTCTTTACTTAATATAATAATTTTTAATTAAAAAAATACAAAAACACACTCCAAATTATTAGTCGATTGATGTATGGTAATCCCTCCAGCTTCTTTTGAAGGCAAATTCTAAGCAAAATACAGTACTTATTTAATAGCGGGTAGCTTCCGACTGTTATCTTCCAATGTTTATAACCTTAACACTGATATGCTCTTCGTATTCATATTTATTGTATTGTATTGATATTATTGAAATTGTGAAAAAAACAAATGTAATAATTTATAAAAAATACTTTTATTTAACAACGTATATATTGAAATAGACTAAAACATTATAAATATATAATTACAAAAACATTACGAAAACATTGCATCATATATGTCAAAATAAATGAAATAATAAAAATAGGCAAAAAATAGATGAAATAATAAAAAAACACTTCAACAGCATGTGTACATATAAAAGAAACACATTTAATCTTCTCGTCGAACTTCATTTGATGACATTCATCACAATATTTGACCTTTGCAAATATCCCGGCGTCTTGAAAATATTTTATAGTCTCTTCTTCTGAAGACGGCAATTCCCACAATGTGACAACATCCATAATTAAATAACACTAACTCACAGCTAACACAAATAACAAAAAATAAACAAGGGAATAACTTAGGTTAGATGAGATAAGGGAGGTTATGTGAAATGAGATTCGATAAGAAGGGAGGTTTTGATGCTACCCACTATTAAATAAGTACCCAAAATACTTTAGGACTTTGCTAAATTTAAATTAAAATTAAAAAAAAAAAAATCATGTCATTGTACCTTGGACTACTGTTTTATAATGTATCTTGGGGCGGCCTAAGGTATATTAAAATAATGAAGAGAAGAATAGTTGGGGTGTTCAGTCAAAAAGGAAGGCAAAAATAAACTATAATATTTATTTTTTACATATGCCGACGTTTCGACCCGAAGTTCAGGCCTTCATCAGGGCTTTCTCCTTAAGTGTCGAAGGGAGAAAGCCTTAGAGAAGGGCATTCTCCCTTCGACACTTAAGGAGAAAGCCCTGATGAAGGCCTGAACTTCAGGTCGAAACGTCGGCATATGTAAAAAATAAATATTATAGTTTATTTTTGCCTTCCTTTTTGACTGAACACCCCAACTATTCTTCTCTTTATTATCCACGACAGTCAACCAATTACCAATTATGTATATTAAAATAATTTCAAAATAAGTCTCTTGTGAGAATAAATCCTTCTAAAAAATTAAATTAAAAAAAATAAAGTCATATCATTGTACCTTGGGCCACCGGATAACCAATGGCCTAAAGTATATTCATATTGAATCACAATATCAATAGCAAATATACACTCAGTGTCAGAATGTTAGACACGCCCATTGAAATTTAAAAAAAAATTTCATCTCTCCTTTATTTTTGATTGATATTATTTTTTTAAACACGGTTTAAAGTTAAATGATATGATGATGAAATAGTGAAAATCTTCTCAGACCTTGAGGATTATTTAAATCCAATATCAGTAAATGTTGACATTTTATATGCGTCAAAATGATAAGACACACTTGTTGTTTACTATTTTCTTAATCCTGTAGAGTTGAAATCGTTAAAATACCATTTATACTTCAGTACAGTGTTGAATTTGTTTCAAAATAGACCTATAAAGAACGTGAGTGATGGGAAAAGTTTCTCCGAGCGCTGTTTGATTTCTTCACTCCACAAGGACGGGATGAGTTGTAGAAAAATAGTCCGCCGAATCAAGCGGAGTTTTTTATCAATCCTGAAGCTTATTCGGCACGGGGAGACATATGGGACTCACCGTTCTACTGAGAGGCCTTCTGCTCTAACATTACGAGAGAAACGGAATATTCTTTGAATCACACCCAACTCTTGTTACAGCAAGAGCAATTGCTAAAGGAAGCTGGAGTTCAAACAAAACTAATAAATGTCCAAATATTATTAAAAAAGTCAAAAACAACAGTTAGAAAAAAATTTAATAGAAAGCCAGTTTTGAGTAACCGTCACCAACTAGTCCAGATGGCCTTTGCTCGTAATGTGATGTCACGGATTGAGGAGTGGAAGAAAGTCATCTTTAGTGATGAAAAAAAATTTAATCTGGATGGACCAAATGGATTTTTGTATTATTTTCATAACTTAAGAAAAGAAGAAAAATTTTTATCAAGGCGTCAAATGGGAGGAGAAAAAATTATGGTTTGGGCATCAATTATTTACAAAACGAAATGAAATTTGGTATTTGTTTCATCAAGAATAAAGTGAGCTGAAAATAAAAATTTGTTAGAGGAACAAAAGTTGACTTTTAGTGACATATCTGAAGGCAAACCAGTTTTCCAGCAAGACAGCACCCCAATACATTCAGCAAAAATTATTAAAGACTGGTTTACTCGCAACAAAATTGCCAAATTAGACTGGCTCACTGTCCAACCAGACCTGAACATTATCGAAAATGTTCCGAGAACTCTTTAAAGAAGGGTGTATTCTGAGTCAAGACAGTTCGGAACAATCGTGGATTTGAAATCTACAATTCTGGCTTTATGGGAACAATTACCTCAAGAAACAATCAAATAATTGTACGATTCATTACCAAACAGAATTTGAATTAATAAATGGTGGTGGAAAGGCCACAAAGTATTAAAATGAGTTTTATTTATTTTTACCAGGGTGCGTGTCAAACATTTTGAAGGGCCTTAACTTTAATTTGAAAATTAAAAAAAAAAAGTATTTATTTTTGGCTTGCGAATCAAAATACTAGCAGGCTACTGATTAACTTCAGTTGAGTGATAGATGATACTTGATATTTTGATACTGTTTTACGGGTAATTTGAAGAGATGGGAGGGTAGGGATAACAATTTTTGAAGTGTGTCTAACGTTTTGACACTAAGTGTAAAGAAGCATAATAAAACAATAAGAATAAAAATGAAACTTACATCTGGTTTTTCATATATATATTCAATATCATCAACGGCAGCGGTAACTATTACGTAAGGAGTAGGAATATCTTTTTTCTGCAATGGGTTCTTGATATGCCTCAACCCCACATAAACTATTAAAAATAAAGTAAAATAATTACTAAATTTGCTCTAGTTAAATTTAAAAATTAAAGTACAAAAATAAATTTTATAAATATAACAACTTTTCTTTCATTACACTTTTTTTTTTTAATTTATTCTCTTGGCCTTTCGTTAATTATTTCTATTTTCTTCTCACACTTAACCTGTAAAAATCTATTTGAAGAAATTTTAAAACTTTTTAGCATATATTGTAAGATAAACCTTAATTGAGAGTATGTAAAAATAGTTTAGTAAATCAATGTTGAACAGTTAAAAGGCAAGCTAATCTAGTTATTCTAATGACAGGGCGGTTTAATTTTGAAAAAAAGTTTCACTAGTTCATGAAAAAGAAAAATGGCTACTCTGGAGTTTTCACATAGAAGAAAATGGCTGCTAGGGAATGAACAAAACTGGACAGTTGTTGAGTTGAGTAGACGAAAGTATTACCATAATGGAAAGTATTTAACAGAATATTAAAAAGTATTTAAATACAAATGCATTCAGTGCCACAAAGAAAGAAACATGGTATATATTGGGTTGGCAAATAAGTCCTTTTGGTTTTTTAGGGTGAAATAAAACTCAATGTATTATAGACAAAATTTATTTTAATCTACAATATTACTGCATAATGCCCTGCTTATAGAATCTCAGAAATTATAGTTAAAAAACTGATCCAAGTGGTTTTTGGTGTCCTCTTCCTTTTGGAATTTCTTTCCATTCATGGAGTTCTGCAGAGACCAGAATAAGTGGTAGTAACTTGGAGCTAGATCTGATGAATAGGAAAGGTGGGGCAAAAGGTACCATCCAAGGCTCAATAATTTATTGTGAGTTACCAATGAGGTGTTGGGCCTAGCGTTACCTTGGTGGAACACAACACCCTTCTGATCATTCACAACTTCAGGATATTCTCCAAATTCGATGTTATTATATCTGTTAGAAAGCTGAATTATTGTTCTTCAAAACCGTATGAATGATTTAATGCTTACATAAGGAATAAATAAAGAAAAACTCCTTATAGGATTTTATTTTTATCTGCATTTGTAGTTTCTTTACGAAGGTCCTGTTGATATAATTTTGTGCAGTTTATGTGGCCCTAAATTCCTACTAAATTTCTTGTAGATAGCTGAAGTCGTATTAGTTATAACATTTTTTGTGATTTTTGAAAAAAAAATCATGTGAGGTACCCAAACATTAAGCCTGGAAAAATAGCCGAGCTTGTGCAAATGGTTTTCTACACTTGTGTGCGACACATTTAGGGCCGTAGCAATCTCTCGCAGTGAACGGGTGGGGATTTTGATTAACAATTGCCGTAACAATGCTCATTTCAATTTCATGTGGGCGACCGTTGAGCATCATTGATGTCAAAATTTCCAGAATGAAATTTGGCAAACCAATTTTGACAGGTGCGTTCGGCTACGGCATCATCCCCATAAACATTACAAATTTTTCTATGAACACCACGCTTACATTTTTTAAAATAATACAACAAAATATGACGAGAATGAATGATATTTTCTTCCATATTCACAGTGCAATAGCAAACACAATGTTGAGCTAGTTTCAACAGATATAGTTGTTGACATATTACAAACAGCATAAAGAATCCACCTTAGGGATTAATTCATCAGATAAGAAGTGTATCATAGTGACATAAAAATAAACAGTAAAACCGAAAGGACTTATTTGCCAACCAAATAGAAAAAAAGGTTAGCTTGTCAATACATATTTGACTTTATTTTAAAATCAGTGTTTAGTGTAAATAATCTTAGTCTGTCTGAGTCTTTTGATCTGGTTGTCAGTATTCCATACCCTGACGTAAAATAATTATAAATTTCAGTATAATATATTAATATTCTTATAATTTTGTTTTTTATTTAACAACCTCTTATTTCTTTTGGAAGTATTGCTGCAATATGAAGTGATTTTCTAGGAGTTTTATTATAAAGAAATATTACAATATACATAGTCTAAAAATTATGACATATATTAATTCTTTGTCAATAGCTTTTAAAATATTTAATTCTGGACTCAAATTATAAAATTATAAAATAACACATTTATTATATTTTTTTGTCAAATTTACAACTAAATTCTCAATTATTTTAGTTAATACTATAGGGAAGTTTATTTTTTTCAATAAATTTACTAATTAAAAAAAAATTTAATGAAAAAACATAATCTCAATGTTATGAACTAACTCCTCTTTTTAAATCCGATTTAACAGATCGATAGGTTACATTTCTTAAAGAATGAATTATAAAATAACATATGGAAGGAAGTTGTAGATACAAATAAAAAAAATGTTTCTTTTTGGGATTTCTAATAAATGTTGAAGACTCATATGAAATCAGAGAAACACTAGTGACTGGACATCGTGTAAGTTATCGTTGTTTTGTAAGTCTTCATTACATGAGTTAAAACTGAATAATAGTTTGCTTAAAAATTATAATTTTAATGGCTCCTATAAGATGCCTAATTACCTAATATAGGTGGTAATACTCCAAATGTCATCAACTAAAATAATTGACAACTAAGTTGTAGATTTTACAAACAAAAGTATATCAAATGAAATCAAAGACTTTTATTATTTGAATCTAAAATTCAATATTTTAAAAACCTTAAGAGTCGTGAATGTTATAGTGGTTGTCCCTCTATCATTTTCTTCCCTTACCTTACTATTACCTGTATTATTATCAAGATTGTCTCTTCATTCATACAAATCCTCTTCACATATTAGTGGATTATTCCCACAAGTCCGAAGTATCCTATACCTAGCGAGATCTGAATATTGGCACCTCGCTTGCTTGAGTTGTGTATGTTATAGAGGTGGTCCCTCATTCTAAGCCTTCCCATTCACTCATCGCTTGAAGGGAAAATATAGTTTGTAAAGGAAAGTAGTAAAGTAAGGACAGAGAGATTACAACATCCCACTACAAAGTTTAAATTAAGAAAATAAATAAATAAAGATAGAAAAGTTTATCAAATTAATAATTAGTACCTGAAAAAAGATCCATGTCTTCTATAATCCGACCCATTCTCAATTTACCAGTGGCAGTGACGTAGCGATTCTGTAGTTTCGGTTCAGAACTGAGGGGTATGATAGCCTCTGCGTAGCTATCCTGCCGAGTAAAGTTTTCAAAAGTTATTAAATAATTTTTGAGTTGTATTCTATAATATCGCGATATAAAGTTATTTATTTATAGAAGTGATTTTCCACATCTAACATTTACTTTTAAGTAATAATATTATAATATTCTTTAAATATTTTTAAGTTTTGAGAGTCAAAGGTTATAAAATAACAAAATTTCTAGATAACTCAAGAGTTAGCGTCGGTTTACGACCATGAGATTCAAAGGAATGGCCTTGAACCTTCAGCAGACTATTTAAAGATCACTAGACTGACAAACATATCTAACAGATTAAGCAAGGCAAATTCAGTCAACTACGAGATTTGCAACACTGTTACGGGAAAGCAAGAGGTAACTAAGAACGTCAAGCTCCATGTATTTAAATCTGTGTACCTGACAATAATTTCGTAAAGTTGGATATTGATGACAGGCAAGAGCGCAGAGTCAATTATGCTGAAATGAAATTTCTACGGAGAACAGCTAGAAAGACTTAACAATGAGAGGATGTGACAGCAACTTGAGGTCGCCCCATGTCGTTGGGATGGAGGGACATAGTGACCCATTGCAGACGATAGAGTACATTCAGAATGGAAGAAGACCTCCAGGATGCCCAAGAATGTCATATCCGGAATACATAGATAGACTTTGCAGAGAAAGATGCAAAGAACTCCGTCAGGCCAGGAATCTATCAAGGAACAAAGAGAAGTGGAATTAGTGGCGCTGGGACGCACAAAAGGGAGCAGCGAAAGAAGAAGAGACTGGCAATCACCACACAGCTCAGTAGTGTATATTTTGCGAAACAAGCTTTGTTATGATTGAAAACTTATTTTGATTCTGATCATCAGTAATTCCAATGTCAGTAAATTGTTGATAAGAAGTCTGTTATCAGAGTAAAGGATATATTTTTAGGTCAAGAGTTCATTACATTAGTATTTATTAAAACAAGGCCTCTGGTAAGAATTATATCTTTAAAGAATAACTTACCTGGACAGAAATTATTTTAAAATAAATTGGTCTGACCATAGGATCAATCCAATGTTGAGATTTCATATGTATAATAATCTGCCATAACCAGACTTAACCTATTTCTTTGATTTAAATAGAAACAAGTAGAATTAAATAGAAAAACCAAAATTTACAATATTTCCTTACTTTAAGTGATCTCAGTGGGAGATCATCTTGGCTTTTAGGTAAGTATTGAAGAAGATGAGTTCGGTCGCGAGGCCTAGAAAACCAACCGATGCGTGATCCCATCCATTTATTGAGTGTTTGATGGACTGAAAATGAATTATAAATACAAATATGAAACAAGTGAACTGAAAGTAAAAATCACAAATAAAAAAATTAATTACTAGTCTGTCGTACAGACCCCTTTTTATCAAATTATTCTAAAACTTTGTGAATAGCTCCATCACATTGTAGGCTACAAATATTTTATTTATGAAAATTCTTGGAATTAGGACATTTTCAATATGCAGATCCGCAAACTTTGTCTATTTAATTAGGTACTAAAAACTCAAGAATAATCATTTCCTCTCCATAACATAATATGATCACAAAATCTAAAAAAGAATAAGGTGGCTTACAAAAATATTCGGCTGTTTGTTTTTTTGACATTTTGGGAGTGGAGGTCACACCAGAGGTCATTACTTTTGTAGGCCACCATTTTTTTTTTTTTTTGTTCGACTTTATCTTCATATTATCTTACAATTCAAGTAGAAATCAAATGGATATTAATGAGTTTTTAGTTCTGAATGAAATGGGCAAAGTTTTTCGAACTCCAGATTAAATTCCCAATTCCAAGAATTTTTGTGAATTAAATATTTGTAGGTTACGATGAGATAAATCTATTAACAAAGTTTTAGGTGGATTTTAATAATTTGATTAAAAGGGGACTTTACCACGGACTACACTCCTTCACTGCAAGAATAGGACAGACCAAGGATGAACTCATATGACACTAATTTGAAATTCCTTTGCACCTTTATAATTAATAGGTAGGTTATGTAATTAAGTATTTTTAGCTTCAGCTCCGTTTAAAATGCCCTTCAAAAAATTTTATAATAGCCCAGCATTGCCAGAAAATAATTTCTATTCAAGTGAAAGTTGTGTGTTGCGCGCACCAGATTTTTTTTTTAATGTCTCTTACCTAGATGAATGAATGAAAATAATTTTATTATTCTGGAACTAGTGTCCCTTTAGAACAAGTTACAAATACAGAATATATATATTAATATTTTGGTTTGTCCATAAAATACAATTTAATATTTACAGGTTGATTAGGAATACAATAAAGTTATAAATAATAAAATATAGATATGAATTATTGCAATCATAAAAAAAATTGTATTGAAGTTTTAAAAGGAAATACATGTTTTAAGATCCCCTGAATTCAAATAATCAAGTTTCCCAAAACAGTCTGAGTATGCGTATATGAACAACCCAGCTTAAAAAGTACGAAACTGAAATTATGTATTTAAAGTGGGTGTTTGCCCAAGATGTTACAGCAACTTTGTTGATAAAATCAACTAACCACAAGTGAAAATTTATAATATCAAATTTAAAGACTTATAATTTTATCAAAAACAAAAACACAAATGAGGATGTTGTGTGATATGCGCACAGCACCAGATATTTTCAAAAATAAATTTACGTATTCTCATAAATTTATTAATTCTTCTTTTCAATCAAATTATTCCTGTAAATATTATAGTGAAAAGAAAACAATCATGTTATTATTACTTTAACTTATCATCAGGACAATTAAATGTGTGGACATTTTACTTTCACTTACATATATACGTAATATATAGTAAGGGTAAGTATTGCAGTCGTGAAGATTTTTTAATCTCAGTTTTCAACGGAAACACACGTTTTGGGGTACTCTGAGTCCAAATAATCAAGTCCTGCAAAATGGTTTGTGTGTGTGTATGTTAGCAGTCTAGCTCAAAAAAGAAAAGTCGTACGTATTACGTATTTAAAACAGGTATATGCCTTAGATGTGACACAAACTTTTTCCTTAAAATCGGCAAACCAGAAGTGCCACTTTATATGAGCGCTGAAACACATTCTTACGATTTTCTCAAAAACGACTCTAATGATTTTTATTAAACTCAGTGTATCATTGTATAATTAACTGGTCTTTAATATCATTTAGGTCTTATTCCCGTTGATGTCACTTTACAGGGCTTAAATGCCCAATGTTCATAGGTGTCTTTTCCTGAAGTACTTTTAATATGGTTTATTTTAAATAATTAACTATCTCTCATTATTAAGAGCTACGAAAAAATGCTAAATATAACTTTTGAAAGAATTTGATAATTGAATAAAGGAGAAAAAAATAAAAATGCTTATCCAGGTCGAAAATGAATTTCTAGAAATAATAGTCAGATGGTATATGTATAATATGTCGATGGAAAGAGTAGAATTTTAGACAAAACAATATCTAATACAGAAAGTTGTGGAAGGTAACAGAGTGGCAAAACAATGTCACATGGTTTCAAGAAAATTAAACCAAATTTACCAACTAAATGTAAACTTAAGTTTGAAAAAAGTATTTAAAATCCACCTAATCAAGGCAATGACATTGTATAAAAAAATATTTCATAGTGCTTGTGTGAAAGAGGAAGTAAAATATAAAATAATTTCATGGATGTATAAAGCATATATTTATAACCTTAAATACATTTACTGTAATTTAATAATTCTAGATTTGATATTATAATTAATTTAGGTATCAATCATCCGTTTATTCTGAAAAATCATCATGTAACCTTTTAGAAAATTAAATTATTGAATAGTTTGATCAAATTTCCTTTTGTGATATTCCAATAGTAACTATTTACAATTAGTGTGACAACTTTTGACCTGTCTATGACAGACAATACAAATCTCTTAATTCCGTTTTAGTAAACTTTGCAATGGAAAATAACAGTTTAATAACTTATAGTCATACAATCCATAATCAACGAATCGTGCAATCCATAATCAACGGAACGTACAATCCATAATCAACCGGTGATATAATAAATAGGACTTTTGTTATTTTAATGGTATTTATGTCTTGTTAGCTGTAATTTTTTTTGCTTTAGCTCAGTAAAAAATGTAATTAAAAAATTTTATAATAGCCCAACATGGTCTGAAAATAATTTCAATTCAAAGTTGAGCGGTAAATGAAAGTTGTGTGTCGCGCGCATAAGATCTTTTTATCCTATAAAGGCAATGTATAGTTGTAATTTTGATTAAAAAAAAAAAAGAGTAATACAATAACAGAAAATAACAATTAAATATTAACCAAAATTAAAATTTTACCATCCTTCATCGTCATCGGTGGAATAGTAGTTTGCCATTGTTCATTCTGTTGTTGTAGAGACCTGTTGTAAAGCATAATTTTACAGTTAATAAAATGTAAAAAATATATATTTTTTTTTTATTTCTTAATGACATTTACAACTGTATTAAATAAATACATCTAGTAAATTTGGACATAATAGATATAATGGCACGAATACACTTGCTGAGTAACTACCCAATTGTAGCAATCTAATGATATGACTACATTAGGAGATCACGGGGCCATCTTCTTTTCAGACGCCTCGGAGGGTTATCAGGAATTGAAGAGGAAGCAAGGTTGGGATGATGACGAGAGGGTTGGGATGATTCTGAAGTTTATTATGGAAGGATAGGGATCTGGATTGGGCCAGATCTGAAACATAAGGAACATTAAGGTCTTTATTGATAATTTTATTAGTGACAAAGTAAGGAGCATTGAGGATTTTACGAAGGATTTTGGATTGTAAGGATTGGATGCGAGAGGAATTTGATGGTTTAGTGGAGCCCCATAGCTCAACTCCGTAAGTCCAAATAGGTCTTATTATAGTCAAGTATATGAGTCTTTTGTAATTAATGGAAAGTTTAGAGCATTTGTCAGCCCAACTCAAAGATCAAAAAATTTTCCAAAAAAAAAGTAAAGAAATAATGATAAAAATTTTGTTTAACTAATAATTAACATTTATATAATTTTTTTATCTCAATTGTGATGGTAGTAATTTAATTTATTTTATAATTTATAACCGTTAATAATCAAGTAATATATAAAAGAGAGATGATTGATTGACAAAAAAAAATCATAATTAATAATATTAAACAAATAAATTATATTAGACAAGAAAATAGCTAATCATACACATTATTAAATAAATTACTCACTTTCCAAATCAATTAACAAAAGGAGAAAAATAATATAAGTAGGTTTATAAAATTCCTTTTGAATGATGAAACAAGATAAAATAATATCTCATAATTATTATTATTATTATTGACCTTTTTTTTATATAATAGAGTCATAAGTTATGAGTGTTAATGTACTCTAATTAGAGACTTAATTAAAAAAATTTATTTTTTAAAAAATCCAAAAAGTGGAGTTGATAGATTTGGCTTTTGAACAGAACATATATCATATAACGATTAAATATATTAGATTTATGATATTGATATTAACAATAAACTATTATGCAATTGATTGTATTAATACTTTCATATTAGAACACCTGTCAATCAAGGGTAAATTATAATTAGGCAACCTAGGTGATGGTATCAGAAAAAAAGAGTTCATAAATTTTACAACTAATAGAAAATATTCTCCAAGGCTACATTCAACAAATACAAAAGTTACATTGAAACAGTTTTCCTCTCTACCTCTTGAGGTCAAAACCATTAACATATTTTATAGTGTTACTAAAAATATAAATAATATACATTTGAAAGAAATTTGGTCAGAAAATGTTCAGATTTTTTTTGCCATATAATGAGAATAAATATAAAAAATTGACTTAGTAAATAAATTTTAAAAATTTTTCTATATATCAAATATTGAATTATAGTTCATTAAGTAATAACAAATATGAAGTAGTTATTGATGAGCATTTTTAAGTTTAAATTAATTTATTAATCTAGGTACATTGATCAGAAAAAATGTATTTATTACATTAAAACAACTCATTATTTTAAATGAACATGTAATGCCTTAAAAATAAGTAGTGAATAATACTCAGGAATAAGAATATAAAATACAAATATATACTGAAAAAGAAATGTATTTGTAATATACTTGCCTGTTTTGGACGATTAAGGCAGGTGAAAATTTATGACAAATGGTTTCTTTGCAAGCATTAAATAATCTTATACGAATTCCCATTGTTAAGGATAAAATACTATTCAGACTGAATTAGTTGAGCATTCGCAAACCATTTGAATTTGATGTCCAAGGATTCCACGAAGAGGGGGGTCTAAATTGCTCTGATAACATGTTGATAAGGAGTCAATGCCAGGAAAATATTGTACCGACAGTTACGTCTATTTAATTGTTGTAATAGCTATTTTGAACACAATAAATAATTCTTAGAAGGTTTGAAAAGTATTTAAGGACAATAAAGATATTTTTTCAGAATTGTCATAGAGGCCACTCAAATAACAAACATCTGTTGAAGTGCCACATGGGCACCTTTCCCTTCCAGTAGAACCTACTCAAATGTCTGTTATCCCCGATACACAATATGAACATACTGTTATTCTCTTTAGTTGTTATTGTTTTTAGTTTAGTATGTTACGCTATAGCTCAGGTAACCACTCCGTGGTACGAAAATCTACCTGCGGTAGCAATGGACTACAAAGTTCATGTAGACCCCGGTAAAGAAGATTGTTATTTTCAGTATGTTAATCCTGGGGCCACTTTTTATGTCAGTTTTCAGGTAAGTCGTGTGTCAGAACAATACCCTTTTTATTAAAAAAAAAAAATGGCTCAAGATATCATACTTTCTGTCTAGTCAGATAATTCATTAGAAGCTGAATATCCATCACTTATTTGTTCTGTGGCATTTACTTGAAATATGGTTCTTTTGAATATCATGATTTTATCTGTTATATATGAACAAAATCTGAAAATATAAAGATAACACTGTTACCGAACACGATAATTAATGTCATGATCATCTAAGGTAGGATGGACATTCATTTTCTATTGTTGGAATAATGCTCATGGAAATAAATGTTGGCCTTTTAAAACTAACAAAGAGGTTTCTTGTATATTCATGTTTGAATGTCACAAACTCAGATTGAATCCTTGTCATTGACTTATTTCTATATTTTGCTGTAAAATGTGCTAGGATGAAAACTTGACTAATTCTAGTTTGCTAGAAACAATACTAGTTGGCACATATCATAGAATATATATTATCCTAATCAGTAGAGGAATTAATTCCGGAGAAGCTTAGAAGATGGAAACATATTGTGCATTAAAAGATGGTATGAAACAGTCCTTTTATATCTTATTAAGAAAGATATAATGAAAAATCTGAACATATATTATGAGGATGTGGAATCTTTAACATACTGCAGAATCTAAAATAAATAATAATGAAACCTAAATATATTACTAAAAGTAAAGAGAAGGATATGCTTCATAAGAATACCATATGTGATTGTTACTGTCAAGAACTCGTGGAGCAACTTCTATGATCCTATATGGTAGCACGGTCATTGATGTTAACACTGTATAACTATCAAACAGTTATTCTTCTTCACCATCATAAGTGATCTGTCAGTAACCCAGATGGCCTGCGAGTCCCTGACTTGTTTTTATGTTTCGCTATATGGTGTGCTGTGAGTGAAACAGTGAATTTAGTTAATTCAATAACAATTTAGATTAATTTTAAACTATGTTTCACATTATACTTTGTTTATCTCTATTACTGTATAACAGTTGTTCACATTTTTTATATAGAACTCTAATGGTAGACTATCTAGACTACTTCGCAAGTGTCACTTCACCTTGATGGCTGTGCCAAAATTCTGTAGAAGTACTATTTCCACTTTATAGATAAAATACCTTAAGTGGCTAAGTGTGTTCGATTGATCTGTGTAAGACCCGATCTCAACTGTAAAGAACCCGTTGGGGGTTTGTTTATGTTTTTTGAGAAAGTGGTAGTCAAAAGTGATCTAATTGAATCAATACCTCTTGCTAAGCACCAGTGACAAACCAGACTACTTGTTAACATTGGTCCCTTGTACTGACACACTTTTTTTTACACATTTAGGGATTTACTTTTGCCATTGCCTGATATTTATGTGCTATTCACACATTTGCCTAACAGGTTCTTTATTTGTTTTTAAATAATGAATTTTAAAATTGTTACCTAGAAGTTATCAATGATCATAAATAGCTTTTGGTAAAAACTTTTTCATTGTTTGTAATTTTATGGCTAATTAATTTAATAGTTGTCATAAAGTCATTTATAATCTCCTAATTGTATTCATCTTCCTGATCTTTAAAATTTATAAAACAAAAAAAAATTTCATTCTTTGATTTTTTCTATCCGAGTTTCAGGTATTTAGCCTACTTTAACAAACAGTAGATGTGTTCCCATATGCTATATATGTGGCCTCTTTCTTAATTCTATCTACCAGTTTCCCTGATTCTTTTTTTTTTTTTTTTTTAAAGTAGACTTAAATTTAATCATAGTGTAACAATTCCTTTTATTAAATTAAATGAAACTAACTATCACGGCACTACAACTCGGTGACGACTCTTGGCCTCCTCCAGCTTTCTCCAGTCATCTCTGTTCTGTGCGGCCATCATCCAGCTCCTGGTTCCCAGGCAGGACATCCCTTGAATCTCTTGCCACACCGTCTAACAATCTTAATTTTGGTCTCCTTCTTGTGCCGTAGAGAGGCTCTGCCGGGATCATCTTATGGATTGCTTCATTCTCCATCCTAGCCACGTGGCCAGCGCATCTCGGTTTTCCATGCTTCATTTTTAGAACGACTTCTTGATCATTAAAAATCGAGTAAATTTCGTCATTTGTCCGCCTTCACCAATTTCCATCGATCTGTACTACGAATATTCTTCGAAGAATTTTCTCTGAATGATCAGGAGGTCTTGCTCAATTCTTTTAGTTGTCGTCCATGTTTCTGATTCTTACAGCAAGGCTGGGTGGATTAGTGTTTTGTAAAGATGAAGCTTGTTCTGCCGGAATAGAAGACGAGAGGTGAATTCCTTGCGAAAGGAAAAGTAACACTCGTTAACCATAAATATTCTTTTCTTGATCTCAACCTTGGGTGCATTGTCTTTTGTTACCAGTGAACCCAAATACTTAAACTGCGCTATTTTCAAAGTTAAAGGAGCCAATATTGAATGGTCTCGCTAGGTTTTTTTTTTAGGTTCGCCTTTTATCATTTTTTTTATTAAAAATTTTATACTCTGTTTTGATCAACAATATTTGTCAACCAGCTTGCCATGTAAGGTAATGTGCTTAGCCATATGGCATGTGAGGTTACCCCTTTTATTTTTTCACATTTCATAGTCAAATTGGTTTACAACTTGTGTGGAGCCTGCATAATAATTATATTAACTACCTCTGATTATCCCTAATATTCTAATACATAAGCGGTCCCAATTTATCTTTACATCGTAAGTGAAGTTACTCCTTTAGGAGGCTGTGTGGCTGAGCGAGCTAAGGTGTGTTCCCTTGTCAGAAAATGCGAGGGAGGGAAGGACTTGATGAACAAGGTAGTATGATAAAATAATCATGTGTTCGCATCCCGATTTGGGGGTTTTATCTTTGCCATTAATCGCCAGCTCCCTCTCCTAGCCCGGGAAACCTAAAGCCTAAATGGTGAGAAAGGGGAGGACAAATTAAAACACAGGTTACTCTCATGAACAATTTTGGGACCGCGGCAGTCTAGCAAGTAAGGTGCCTGCAAAAATTTTATATCAAGTGTTCAAATCCCGTTTGCGGGAATTAATAACATAAAAAAAATATTAAATAATTAAAATTAATAAGTGCAGGCCCTACTCTACTACTTAAACCACTACGACGTGCGTTTGATTCCCGCTTGGAGACAGTAACGTCCCCACCCAGAGATTCATATGGAGGTGAGAGATCCCTTTGCAGAGATGGGCTGATGCTGCTCTGAGTACTGAGAACCAAGTATTTTATTCAAATACTGACCTTTTTTGAGTACCAAAGAATTTAATTACTACTTCATTTGATATCATACAATTAACTGAAGTAATGATTCAATTTGAGTAAAATACTTGGTACTCTGTACTCAAGAGTAGCATTTACCCATCTCTGCTCCTGTGTCTTACACCATAGATTCTGGTCCTCCAGGTTGAGAGTTGGGTATAGTGCTGGTAATCTCCTATCTCATAAAAAACTGGGTGGAAGATATCCAACCATTCCTCAGGAAAGTTCCTGATGACGAAAGAGTGAATTGTTATCACGTCCGGTTAGTAAACCACGTACTCCCTGGATATCTCGAACAAGGGAGAACCAAATGATTAGTACTGTCGCCTTTAACAGCTCCATAAGCTGCTTAAAGAAGACTCATAACAAAAAAGTCTAAGTCAACAGGCGTTTGAAAAAACAAAGATTTTAATTTTTTTTCCATGTGTACTATACAAACTCTGAAGGTGCTTATCAAAGTCCTTCATTTATGTAAGATTTATCATATTAAAATATATATGTTGGAAGCATGGTGGCCTAGTGTTAAGGCCACTGTCATCCAACTTGAATGAACCATACAAATTATATTGAATATTGAATATAATAGTTGACCGTTGCATTATAAAGGAAGGAGATGGTCCGGGGTGACGGTCATAAATAGACTGAATAGTGGCAAAACTATTTTCTTAAAAGCCAACATTTCAACCCGACTTTGCAGGTCTTCTTCAGGGAGGTTTGTTCAGCTAGGAGTTTCACTTAGCTATTATTAGCTAGCGACTAAGTGAAACTCCTAGCTGAACACACCTCCCTGAAGAAGACCTGAAAAGTCGGGTCGAAACGTTGGCTTTTAATAAAATAGTTTTGCCACTATTCAGCCTATTTATGACCATCTCCTTCCTTCATATAAATTATAATTTTCTCTTTACAAGAAATGAGTGGACTTCAACAGGCTAAGAATAAAAATTTGTCAGCGTTCCTTATCATATAATGTAAATAAACGTATTCTTTGTTTAGGTGTTACGAGGTGGTGATGGCATGGCTGGTTTTGCCGTACATCATCCCAATGGAGAAGTTGTTTTGCCTTACCAGTGGCGTGCTAACGCAGACTACCAGGACCAGCAATCCACTGGCGGATATTATCGTGTTTGTGTAGACAATCAATTCTCCCGATTTGCCGATAAACTTGTTAATCTTTACATGACTGTAATCAGGTGAGTTAATTATAAATAAGTATGATAATTTTATACACAATATTTCTCAACTTCTTTTTCGGTGCATACTATTTATTTTCAAGTTTATTTATTATCAGCTAATTTTACACCAATTTTCAAAATTTTGTCAACTTAATGACATCATATCTAATTACGACGTTTTGGCTTGTTGAGCCATTTTCAAGTCTAAATACCAATCATGTACCTGTCCTTTTCACTTATGCGAATTGCATGCATCCACTAATAATAAAAATTTTTATTTTTGTCATGTCAACCTTATGTGTCACTGATTTTTACTTTCACTTACGTATATATGTAATATATAGTAACGGTAACTATTGCGATCGTGAAAATTTTCGAATCTCAGTTTTCAACAGAAATTCATGTTTTGAGGTCTCCTGAGTCCAAATAACCAAGTGTCGCAAAATGGTCTGTCTGTGTGTGTTAACAGTCTAGCTCATAAATGAAAAGTAGTACGAAACTGATATTAAGTATTTAAGGTTTGTATATGGACCGGATGTGATAGCAACCTTTTCGTTAAAATCGGCTAACCGTAAATGCCACTTTATATGAACGCTGAAACACATTTTTACAATTTTCTCAAAAACGGCTCTAACGATTTTGATCAAACTCAGTGTATCATTGTATAATTAAGTGGTCTTTAATATCATTTAGGTCTTATCCCCATTGATGTCACTTTACGGGGCTTAAATGCCCAATGTTCATATATATCTTCCTCTAAAGTACCTTTAATATGGTTTATTTTAAAAAGTTAACCATTTCGCATTATTCAGAGTTATGAAAAAATGCTACATATAACTTTTGAAAGAATTTGATAAGTAAATAAAGGAGAAAAAAATAAAAATGCAGAAAAACCTGTGTTGTTATGGACTGTAGCGCCTAAACGAATGTACCAATTTCAACGAAAAGAAGCTGGATAAAAAGTTACGAGGGATGTTAAAATTAAATTCCGAATAACTCAAAAAGTATACACTTTTTTGTGGATATTGTATATAGTTTTTAACAGTTTATGGAATTAACTTAAAAAAATCGGACAATTAGGAGGAAAGATATGGTCTCTAGTTTTTTTCCCTGGAGAGGCGAAAATTTAGATAAATTTGAAATATACGTTTTTAATTGTTGAGACTAAAAAAACATTTTTTGTACAGATATTTAATAAGTACCTAAATTTATTATACCTTTATTCTCAGTTCTATATTTAAACACTGCAATCATCACCTCCGGAATCAACTTATTCACTGTCTGCATAGATAACTTTTTCAACTAAAATGACATCACTCAAAAATGTAGAAATTGGAGTTAGTCATTGTGTGGTTTATAAAAGCAAAGAAAGTTGTGTGAATTTATTAGTGAATTAAATAGTGAAAGATATCTAGATTTAAGAACAGCTGTTGATGTTAAATAAGGTGAAAGGTTAATTTAGTATTGTCTTCCAAAAAAGTGTTAATTAAGTGTAAATACCTAATTTTTGTGTAACAAAAGTGTTTTATCAAGACAAGATTGCTAAGGACAAAACACCAAACAAAGATTGAGCGGATTTCACCGCCAACAATGGTGGAATCATCTCAAACTGAGGTAAGTAACATGAACTTTAAAAACAGTGATATAAACAATGAAGACGGCTCCTGGGAACTGGTTATTGGTCGTAAAAGACCTATGATAGATTCGAGCGAGCCAAGAGCTCAAAAAAGACCGACAGAATCTATCCCAACCTCGAACAGTTTTCAGGTTCTAACCAACATCACTAATTTACAAACAGAAGAAGTTAGAAGACCGCCTCAAAACAATAAAACTCCACCAATTTTTATAAACGGTGTTGAAAATTACCATGCATTAATCTCATTTCTAGAAAACGAAACGGGTCCTAATATGTTTAAAACTAAGTCTACATTGAAAGGTGTCACTGTGTACCCAGAAAATCCTGACGTATATCGAAAATTAAATTCTAGCCTGCGAAATAAAGGCGCCGACTTCCATACCTACCAACTTCCACAGGACAAATGCCCAAGGATTGTTGTTAAACATCTTCACCATGGAACACCAATCGATATCATTAAAGAGGAATTTAAAAAATTGGGTTACGAAGCCACCAATGTAGTGAACGTCATATCTAGATTCAAAAAACCCCTTCCTATGTTCTTTGTGGACATTACAAAAGAGACGTTTAGAGAAGAAATTTTTAGTATTGAATTTCTTTATTATTCACATATTAAAATTGAGGAACCGCGTCAAAAGAGAAATATTCCTCAGTGTGTTCGGTGCCAGCAATATGGGCACACTAAAACTTATTGCAACCATCGACCACGATGCGTAAAGTGCGGTGAATATCATGAAACCAGCTCATGTTTGAAAACGAGAGACACCCCCGCGAAATGCGCCAACTGTGCCGGTCAGCACCCCGCTAATTACAGAGGCTGCCAGACGCTGAAAGATCTCAGGGTTCAGCGCAATGCAAGATACCGTCTTCAGCGCTCCGACGTAGCAGAGCCAGTGCAGGAACCTCCAGGCTTGAATGAATTCCCTCCAATACGATAATATCACAAACAAGAGGAACCACAGATCATTGCCGGACCTCCGCAACAACAAAATCAAACATCATCTAGCTCAGCACCCCAGGACCAGAAAACATGTACAGGTATGAGGAGAGGCATTACCCAACCGATACCTCCGGTAGATAATGGCTCTTCTCAATTATTTAATATAATTAATGGATTAAATAACCTAATCCAGCCCCTTTTCATTCTTCTTCAACAACTGTCACAGGTTACACAGGTCTGGTGCCCAAATTATGGCCCACAATAATTTAACTGTAGGCTCCTTGTCAGTTCTTCTATGGAATGCCAACGGACTGAAACAGCACAGTACTGAACTCGACTTATACTTGCACGAAAAACGAATCGACGTAGCACTCATTACAGAAACACACCTGACATCCCGATCAAAAATTTACATCCAGGATTACACAATTTACAGAACTGATCACCCAGATAAAACTGCACATGGAGGAACAGCTATACTCGTCAAAAATTCACTGAAACACAATCCCGTAGACTTACCCATTACACCCGACATACAATCGACAGGAATAACACTATACACTAAACACTACACTATAACATTTGCCTCAGTTTACTGTCCCCCTAGGTACAAGCTTACACCCACGATGTTTTCTGAGTTCTTCAAACGCCTCGGAAGATGCTTCATCGCAGGTGGAGACTATAATGCTAAGCATCAAGGCTGGGGCTCAAGGTTGTGTACTCCAAGAGGCAGAAATCTCTGGTCTGTTCTCCATGAACTTTCATTAGACACTGTAACACCAAATTCACCAACTTATTGGCCCACCTCCAGACGCAAAACTCCCGACTTACTTGATTTCTTTATTACAAAAGGACTAAGAACCGTACCATTTGCCGTCAATGCAACCTCCGATCTTTGTTCTGATCACTCCTCAGTGCACATGGTTCTCTTCGATGAGCCTTCCGAAACACAAAAAAGACCTAGGCTCATAAAAGGCTGCATGGACTGGGACGCATATAGAGACTATTTGAACACCAATCTTTCCGTTCCAGGTTCAATTAAAAATCATGAGGAATTAGAAGAAGCTGTTGAGAAATTCACAAAAAGCATACAAGATGCAGCATGGGCCTCATCAACATCCAGGCCACAAAAAGCAGCGAACTTGCCCCATTATCCAATGTACATAAGGGACTTGATTAGAGCAAAGAGAAGAGCACGTAAAGTATGGCAGACTAACAGACTTCCTTCAGACCGACAAACTTTTAACAGATTGAACAACGAACTTAAAAGACATATTCAAAAATTCAAAAGCACAAACTACGACAATTTTATTAACAACCTTTCGACGGACGATGGAAGTTTTTGGAGACATACAAGGAATCTTTTAAAGCATCGTGAGGTGTCAGCACCCCTACGAAGAGAGGATGGCTCTTGGGCTGTTTCGGACGAGGAGAGATCTGAACTCTTTGCTAACCATCTTTCCACTGTTTTTAAACCACATACAGACTTAATTAATACAGAACACGATATTTTTGTACATAATAACTTAGACATACCGCTACAGCTCACACTACCACCACCTCCTTTCACACCATCACAAGTTGCACAAGAAATTAGACAATTGCCCAAAAGAAAAACCCCTGGTCATGACTTGATAACTGCTGAGGCGCTCCAGCAAATGCCAAGGAAAGCTCTAGTGTTTCTTACCACAATCTTCAATTGCATTCTCAGGACCACCAAATTTCCTATACAATGGAAATACTCACACATAACCATGATTAAAAAGCCAAACAAAGACACTAACAACCCTTCTTCATATCGACCGATTAGTTTACTTCCAGTATGTTCTAAGTTATTCGAAAAACTATTGTACCCACGACTATTACATATACTAACAGACAAACAGATTATTCCTGACCATCAATTCGGGTTTCGAAAATTACATTCAACAACACAACAATTGCACAGGGTGACTGACTACATCTCTACAGCACTAGAGCGGAAATTATATGCAACCGGAGTATTTCTGGATGTCGCCCAAGCGTTCGACAAAGTATGGCATCAGGGGCTTCTCTTCAAGCTTAAGACCATACTTCCACATACTTACTACTTAATTCTCCATTCCTTTCTCTCAGACAGATTTTTCTCCGTTCGACATGGCCAAGGTCTATCCTCAATTCGATCAGTTTTAGCTGGTGTACCTCAGGGATCAATCCTAGCCCCACTACTGTACATCACATACACACACGACATTCCTCAAAGTATCCACACTCTTACAGCAACCTACGCAGACGACACTGCTATCATTACCAGGCACGACTATCCTACAGAGGCATCACTTAACTTACAACATCACTTACAAATTATACTCGATTGGTGTAAACTTTGGAAAACTAAAATAAATTATCAAAAGTCACAGCACATCACATTTACTCTAAGACCAGAAACATGCCCTCCTGTATACTTAGACAACATACCGATTCCACAAACAGACAGAGTACAATACCTAGGCCTTACGTTCGATAGGAGAATGACATGGGGTCCACATGTGAAGAAAAAACGAATCACATTAAATCTAAGACTAAAATTGTTACATACATTGTTAAGACGACCTTCCAAATTAAAAGCAAGACAGAAACTAAGTATTTACACGTATCTTTTAAAACCTCTTTGGACTTACGGACTACAAATATACGGAATTGCAAAACCAACTCACATAAATAAACTTCAAACTTTTCAGTCTAAGATACTACGACTAATCACTCAAGCACCATGGTACGTAAACAATCACACTTTACACACCGCCCTACACGTTCCGACAGTCAATGAACACATACGAACGTACTACACACGATTTCATAACATGTTAAACGGGCACTCCAACCAGCTGGTAAAAGAAATGGCCACAACTAGTATGCCCGAGAACTCCAGAAGACGACTGAAAAGGGTCTGGATGAGGGATCTGCTTAAATAATGTTAGTAAATAAAAGCCATGGAAGGGATACCGCTGGGTATTGCTATTCCTCATGCCTATCAAGCCTTTTTATTTATTTATTTATTTTTTATTTTATTTTATTTTTCTCTCATTACTAAGCCAGCACATCTGCTGATTGTCAATAATAATTGACAGGTGCGGATAAATAAATGTAAGAGCAAAAAAAAAAAAAAAAAAATAGTGAAAGCTTAAATTAAATTTTTATTGCCTACTGTCGTTATAATAAATAGACTTTTTACAATTTTAATGGTCTTAATGACTTGTTATGTGTTAACTTTAAGCTTTGGCTCCGTTTAAAATGCACTTCAAAAAATTGTATAATAGCCCAGCATTGCCAGAAAATAATTTCTATTCAAAGTAGAGTGGTAAGTGAAAGTTGTGTGTTGCTCGCACCAGATTTTTTTATTATGAGTCAGTGAAATTTTATTATGAGTGGACGCATGCAATTCCCATAAGTGAAACGGACAGGTACATGATTGGTATTTAGACTTGAAAATGGCTCAATGAGCCGAAACGTCGTAATTAGATGTGATGTCATTAAATTGACAACATTTTAAAAATTGGCTGATAATAAATAAACTTGAAGATAATTTTATCTTTAAAAATGTTTTCTTGAGTAGGATAACAAAAAACAAGTTTATTCTGGGACTATGAAAGATATTATGATAGGCATAATCGTTCTGTCAAAACAAAAAGAAATATTGTATATTTAATAGTTGACCATTGCATTATAAAGGAAGGAGATGGTCCGGGGTGACGATGATAAATAGGCTAAATAGTGGTAAAACTATTTTATTAACAGTTGACGTTTCGACCCGACTTTGCAGGTCTTCTTCAGGGCTAGAACGGACAAGATACAAAAAGATAGAGAATTGTGGCAGTTACATAATATTTAGACATAATTTATAAAAATGTGAATAAGCTTATTAAAATTATAAACAGTAAGTACATTAAAATATGAACAGAGTAAGCTAAGTAACAAGATCCTAAACTGAAGTAAATGGATGTTAACAATTGTTGCAGTGTAATATATAATAAATGAAAATGTGAATATACTTCTACAGATCCATGGGAGAGATTGAAAGAAAAGGAAAAAGGAAAAGGATCCTTTATTTATGACCGCCACCTTGGATCATCTCCTTCCTTTTTCAAAAAGAAATACTTTTATGAAAATCGATTTAAAAGGACTTCTTTTAGCCTATTCAATGTTTCTCCTTTACTTAAAAATTGGTGGGAAAACATGTTGATTATCAAGAAAGTAAAGGAGATAATGCGACTATTTTTAATTTACAATAATGTTATTGTTTCATAGAAGTATTCGTCTTTGACAAAATGTTCAAGTGGAGTTAAAGGACAGGTCTTTTTTACTCAAGTATCACCAGTCGGTTTTATTAAGTTACTTTAAGTAAAATGACAGTTATTATTTAAAAATCATATGTCATAAAGGAATAAATATTTTATTGAAAATTAGTATTAAATAATAGATAAACATAAAATAGGTTAACTTTAAGAATAACGAATATTCTAAACATTTAACAGTATTAATCCTCAGAAGTTCAAGAATTTCTTATTGGCTATAATATTTTATCAAATAAAACTAAACCTTCAAATCTTCAATAAATTCATGAATATATGAACAAACCATACTTCTTCTTAATTTCACAATCTTAATAAAACACTATGTTTATGATTTACTTTACAATATCATTAGTATTTCTTCTTCTTCTTCCACCGCACTACAACTCATGAAGAGTTTTGGTCTCCTCAAGACATGTCCGCCAGGTGTCTCTATCCTGTGCAGCCGCTTTCCAGTTACGTACACCAACTAGTGCACGTGCATCCCTTGCCGTCGCAGCCGTGGTCTTCCTACTTTCCTAGAGCCTTGTTCGTTGCTCTCCATAGTATTTTTGAGATTTCATCATTTTGCATCCTCACCACATGCCCTGCCCATTGCAGTCTTGCAAGCTTTATGATTCTTATGATATCCGGCTCCTTGAATAGATTGTAAAGCTCTGTTTTATGTCTAATCCTCCGATTCTGTTCATCGCGCACAGGACCATAGATTCTGCGTAGTACCTTCCACTCTAATAACGCTAGGGCTCGCTCATCTCCTTGCGTCATGGTCCAGGCTTTGGAACCATATATCAGAAGCGGACGAATGAGCGTTTCACAAAGCTGTGTCTTTGTGCTGCAAGAGATGAGTTTAGTTTTGAAATGCTTATTTAGACAAAAATAGCTCCCGATATGCAAACTCATTAACTCTCTGGAGCTTATAGTGGGCGATCTCCAGGTGCTGTTCTCGGGCAGTAACACTACCTCAAATACACATATACATGGTTTTTGCTTTGTTAACGACCAATCCTAATCCTCTAGCTGCTGCTTCTAGTAGGACAAACGCTTCTCCCATAGCATTCATCGATCTGGCCTTTTATGTCGATGTCATCGGCATATGCAAGTAGTTGTACGGTCTTATTCAATAGCGTACCAGTAGTCTGGATGCCAGAATCCCTCACAGCTTTTTCGAGGGCTAGGTTAAATAGGAGGCATGCAAGAGCATATCCTTGTCGCAGTCCTTTAGTTGTCTCCCTGTACTCGGAGGACACACTCTACGTCTATCTTGGTCATCCTGACGAGGCTTGTAGAGAGTTTTGGAGATATGTTCATTTCCATCATTGCCCTGTATAACTGCTCTCTATCGATGCTATCATAAGCAGCTCTAAAATCTATAAAGAGGGTTTTAACATTATACTCCATAGTTTTCTCCAGCAACATTCTAAGGATGAATATCTGATCAGTCGATTTTCCTCTTCTGAATCCACACTGGTATTTGCGGATCTCTCACTCTGCAAACGGCAGAAGCCTCCGGATGAGCACATTTGATATAACTTTGTAAAGACTGGAGAGCAGAGAAATGCCTCTATAATTTTCACAGTTAAGTTTATAACCTTTCTTTTATTTGGGGCTTATCACAGACTTGTTCTAATCCTTCCGTAATTTCTCTTCTGGCCAGATACATAGTGCAACCCTATATTCCTTCTCATTCCCTCACTCACTGTCACATTAAGGAGTTAATACTAGAGGCCATCTACTACACTATTCATTAGATTTTGTAGCTGAATGTTTCTGTAACTTGATATTAAATATGTTAGATGTTTTTCACAAATAAATTCTTTATTTGTTATATTTCATCTTTTAATTAGTTTATTTTTTATTTTTTTTCTCTAATGTTAATATATATACAATTTTCAAAACTATGCATTTAGTTAAAGTGCTTGATTAGGACTTAATTTTGTTTTGTTTTTTATGGTTTTTTATAACTAATAAACAGTTTGTATATTACATATTACCTTAATGATAAAATTTTCTACCATAAGAATCATAACATCAACATTATTTCTTAAAATGAAGCTCTATTAATTAATGCAATTTTTTTTTTTCCTTTAGGTATGATCAATGGGATTTATATTCAAAAGAACTCGAAGAAATGAATCTCAGTGTTGAAAACTTTACGGTAAGCTATTTTGAATGTATTTTATTCTATAATATTTTGTTGCCTAAAATAAAATAATTTGTTTACTATGTATCGTACAACTTTCACTTATACCAACCTACTGAAATAATTAAGTTTCTGCTCAAATAGGACAAGTAAATAATTAACTATTAAATCTATTGTGGCTAAAGTTATAAGAGGTTATTAGCATATATTTTATCAAATTATAAACACTGCTTAAAATATTTTCAGCGGCATACACTTCTCTCAAAAAAAGTACTATGAAATCATTTTTAAACAATTCCACATCGATAGTTTGATCTATTATATATTGTTGGTTTGTCGAGTTCAAAAAGAATTTTAAAAGTTTCCATTTAGTTAGAAATTTTATTTAGTTTTCGTGAAAACATTTTATTTATATTAAATAATATTAGTTTCCAGAAATTATTTTACTCAACTTTTTCATCACTCTGCATTACCTTCTACGACTTTATAGTTACATGTCAACCTGGAAAAATAAATCTACTTTCTTCAAATTCTTTCATAGTTTATATTTGACAATGTCTTATTACTACTGCTAACCACTTATAGACTATTAATTATTTCAAGTAAATCATACTAAGGGTACTTTAGAGAAAGCCATTTTGAAATTTGTTTTTTAAGCTCTGTCAGTCTATTTCGGTAAGGCTTGTATTTAAAAATAATAAGAAAATTTGTAATTCATTATTCATTGTTATGTTGTGTTTTATATATAATATATATACATATGTGTGTATTGTAATATCTCATATATTTTTATACTGGTAATATAAGCTTCATACTGTAGCGATACTTCCAAAATAAATAAGAGGTTATTAAATTATAAGAATATTGATATATTACTCTGAATTTTATAATTATTTTATCTCAGGTATGGGTTACTGACAATCAGATCTAAACACTCAGACAAACTAATATTAACTACACTAAACTCTGATTTTAAAATAAAGTCAAGAACGAATTGGCAAGCTGACCAATTCTCTGTATACACTGTTTCTTCCGTTGTGTGACTGAATTCATTTGTCATCTAACATTTTCCTATGTTCTGCCAAACACTTCTTCCAAAATGGCAACACTTTTATCTACTCAACTCAAGCTCCCTGTGACATATATATATATAATCTTAAATATTTTATTGGTGAAAACATTATGATGTAATGTATTACAGCGTACTGTTTTAACCAATAAAAACTACTTTTAAATAAATATAATTTATTTATTTTTACTGAACACCCCGACCAATCTTCACTTCTATTGTTAAAATATATTTTATACAAAAATGTTATTTAAATCAAATCATTAAACAAAGATTTTGAATAACTTTATTTCTTTACTTGTTTCAGACATCCATCCAAAATGTCGAGAGAAATATAAACGACATGCTACAATATCAGAACCACATGCGAGGTATGGAAGGTCGCCATTACAACCTCCTCGTTGACAACAACACCTACGTCTTCCGCTGGTCCGCTATACAGATTATCGTCATATGCGTAGCAACAATGGTACAAGTATACTTCGTCAGGAAGTTATTTGAAGTCAAGAATACCCGCCCAAGGGCCTAGCCATCCTTTTTTCTTCAATTTTTATTATTTTTAACTGCCTTAAGATTGAATGAAGTGCTGTTGCTTCTTTGTGTGTTCTTAAGAAGGAACGTTAAAAATAATTGTACGACAAATTTTTATTATGAAGATAATCATAATGAATTGATAAAAATGTTTTAAGGAGGCAGTTTCAGTAGAAAATAATGTTATTATAATTATATCATTCATCCTTGTTAAGATAGGGGCAACTGATATATATTCCTAATGGGTTATATTATCTAATTCAATAATCATTGGATATTTATTATACTTGTTATTCGCTAAACATTAATTGGTATCAACAATTTTAAGGAAACGATGTATCAGCTTATTGTAATTGTTATATAATGCCAATTAAGCAGTTTATGGTATAAAGTTCAAAATATTAGAAAGCAGCAATTCCGAAGTAATATTTCAATATGGCAGCCAACTCTCACTGAAGATTGGCTTCCCAAAAATATCTAATAATTTTTTTCTTATTAAAATTATTAATGTTTTACTTAAATGGCAACTACGGGGCTTTTATGATTGCTCTATTGGTAAATAAAACTACAGGGCGGATCCTTTTCAGTTTTATCAATAAATACTTAATGGTTACCGTCTCTACTTACAAGGACATCTATTTGGTTCCCTATGGTAAAGGATTCGTTAAAGATTTTTCTATTTCTTGAGCTCGCAATCATAATTTAATTAAAGCAATAATAATTTTAATAATCCCTCCTTAAAGGTGGTTAATGTAGCCTAACCTAAACGTTAGTATAAAGTAAGACATGTCTATCATTGCATGTGAACATCATTGTCAATACTTGTCTTTTTTGGGGGATTTCATTTACAATATGACCAATTTGATCTTGTAGGAAGCTGCCATATTGGATTGACACATCGGAAGTAGTATCAATGTGTATTATAGTCATATTTGGTTTCTTGAATGTTTTATAATATTATTTAAAATATTGGTACTAGTCTAATGCACTTATAAAAATACACATCATTCTTCCATATCGAATCTGCAGTTGTTATAGACACATATAACTGTAGATAAAAGAAGTTAAAACATAAGTAAAGGGTTATTAGAATTACCAAAAGAAGAGGTTTTTGTTATCATTGGATGTTATTTTTAAATTGTCATTTTTTGTACCAGCTGATAGAATTTTACTAAAACCAAGTATCCAGAGTCGTTTTAGCACTTCTGTTGTGTTAAGCCTGTTATTTACTTTAAAGTATTAGAATTACACTGCCAGGGTTTTAGTCGACAAGCCCAAATTTCACTGTTGTGCTTCTATATGCGAGTATATTTAACTTAAACTTTCCTACTTTTTTTTTTAAATATTTATATTTTCTAATTTGATTTTTCCAGTCAAATACAATATAAAATAGTAATTGTAAGTAAAGGAAAGAAAGTAGGTGATTCTTAAATTAAAATGACCGAACAGTATTTTTTTTTTTTTTTTTCCCCATCTAGTTACCTTCCTTTACTTCACAATACATTTTATAAGGTGAAACTAGTATTAAGTGCATTTAATATTGTGGGTTTATTTATTGTTATGTGTATAACGAGAGCTAAAAAAATGCAATGAATTGTATATGTTCCTTTACTTCCCCGATCTTTATAATCTGCTTCTCTCAACTTTGCTAGCCAAGCTCTTGAATTCCGTTTTAGGTTTAACATGAGATTTTCTTTATAAGAATTATTCATGAGCATGTAAACTCATACATGAAAAATATTTTATTATTATTATATAAAAAGACTCTTTGTAAATATTGATGTATAAAAAAAAAAAAAAAAAAGATTTTTTTAATAATTTATTTTAATTAATGAGATATTGTTATAAATCATACCAATCAATATCCATACTCGTATGTCTTCCTTAAAAGATAAATATTATTTTTATATCTATTTTATATATCATTGTTGTTTAAGTCTAATGATAAAATACAACTTTGCATTACCATCTATGTAAATAAATTTTGAACTGTATCTTTTGTAATATGTAATGGGTTTAAGAAATTACTTAAAGTTAGTAATAAAACTCTGTTGCAGCATTATTTTTATAATACAGTTCAACTGTGATAAAAGTTAACGTACTAAATTTTTTTTTATTATATTAACTTTTAATTTGGGATAATAAATAAAAAACCATTGAGAATTTATAAATTAATTTATTTTACAATATTACCTTAGCTCCTTGACATCGTTTATCTTGGTATTGAATACAGCAATACAGATTTTTTCAATAAAAAATTAAATAAAATTATCTTCTACAGTAATAGAAGGAATAGAAAATATATTTTCTTTTCATTATCAGGTATCTGTGATAACCAATATTCTTTTTTTTTTTTTTTTAATTTATTAATAAAATAATATTCATTACATTTGGCCACACTGAGAAATTAATACTGGAATTTTCGGTTTGTTATTCGGACCAGTGGGAACATTTTCAATTTTCCTCATTACTAAAAGACCATCAATTACCCTTCCAAAAACTACATGTTTTCCGTCTAAGAAATTACATTTAGCACATGTAATAAAGAACTGACATCCATTCGTATCTTTTCCGCTGTTTGCCTGAAAAAAAAAATGTATATATTAATAACTGTTAGATTCTTAAGATTACATTTCCTATGAAAAAAGAATACTACAAATAAGAAATCGATTTTCAAATTAAATATACACATCTCAAAAAGAATGAAATATGCTTCTATCAGGTACTACATTAATAAATAGCATAATAATAACTTAAAACATTTGATGCAACTTTAAAATCATAATATTGATGGTCCGCATTGATACCTATGTGGGCCACAGCTTATGATGAAAAAAAAAATGTATTCTATAAATGACATTTTAGCTGTGAAATGAATTTTTTAAGAGAAAATCCCCTTGCTATAAATTTTGAAGTAACCTTGTGTGTCGAGTAATTTGTTACATTTCATATTATTAAATGGTTTTTAAAATGTTATCATGCAATGGAGAACCTTTTGCCCGGCCACGAAGAGATCAGTCTCTTCCTTACACTCACAGACCAAGTTAGCAATTGACAACCATGTAAAGAGTAATTGATTTGTCTTGTCCCATTTTTTACTTTCCTAGATACACTAGGGAAGGAAAGTATTGCGATCGGGTCAAATTTCCGATATGCAGTTTTCGACGGAAAACACCGTTGAGCCTATTTTTTTAAAGGTAATGAAATCCCCTACATTTCCGACAACTATTAACGAAGTTACAGCTATTCAATTTCCAATGTAAGATTTTGGGTTCATATCCTGGTGTCAGAAAGGAATGAATGAGAGAGAAAATATAACTTAGTGAAAGTAAAATCTGTTGCCCGCATCACACAAGCTTCACTATTTCCTCTACTTTTAACAGAAATTATTGTTTGACAAAATTAGGCTATGGCAAAAAGTTTTTGATCAATAATATTAGAAAGTATTGAAATTTTTATACTGATCTACCTTAAGCCAGTTTACATTGCTTTAGTTTATCAAATAAATCATACTCAATTCTTTTCTTTGATCAATTTTCAGGAAGATATATCTAATTCAATTTTTTTTGTTTTTGATGGACATAAGTAGACATAAAAACTTTTTGGAAATAGGTACGAAAGCAGTGCAGAGTGGACACACCAGATTTTTTTTTTTTTTAATACCTCCTACCTTGTCATTTTTGGCACAGGTATGGAGGTATTGCTCTATTGAGGTACCACCAAGACTATTTAAACTAAATTGGATTGGTCGAGATACATTCTATGCGCCCCAAAATAAATTTCAATTAGCCTGCCCAGACCAGATTCGAACTAACATCGATAGACTTCAGAATGTTAAAGTTTACACTTTCACATGCTTGTTCATCACAACCTGTGTCTTGGCACATCCATCAACTGGTGATGAGACTGTGGATTTAATTAAGAGCTAGATGCAAGCATTTTTGTCAAGGGATACCAAAAAATCAATGTATATATATGAAGAACCAGTCAAGTAGGATATTGTAATCATAGCTTCTGCAAACTCCCAGCTGGTCCTTTTCATGTTAAAAACTGAACCTTAATTATCTTTAATTACATCACTGATTTTGATTTCTGCTCACTTAATAGGTATAACAGGCCTTAGCAGGTTAGTCACATTCATTTAATTTTAGAACCACATTTGAGAAGTAGTATATAATTATCTTTTTAAATAATGTTTTGGGGTTTGAAAAACATACCATAGATAACAATCCTGGTGAATCATGCTTTAAAATAAAGTTCTCATCTGAAAAACTGACCCCTCCATAAATGCTCATGACACCTGTTCCATCACCCTAAAAAGCATTCGATATTTGAGAAATAAACAATTTCATAAATTACATAGAATTATCTAAGATAGTTCTCTTAGTTAAACAAAGCATTATATACAATCCTACATTGACAAAATCACCTCCTTGTATCATGAAATCCTTGATAACTCTATGAAATGTGCTTCCTTTAAAACCTAATGGGACACCATCCTTCTTGTATTCTCCAGTACATAACTGTCTAAAATTTTCACTAGTTTTAGGAACTACGTCTGCAAACAACTCTAATATCATACGACCGATTTCCTGTCAAAAAAAGACATACAAATATGCATCATAACACATAATAATCTCTTTAATATTAGATTTAATGGTAGTAAAATTACCGTAGCTCCAACACTAATATCCATGAACACAACAGGATTACTAGTGTTCCTTAATTGAGATTGAATTTGATTCCAAGAGGGCATTATGAATTAAAAACCCAAAATCAATCTACTGAATTTGTTTGTTGACGCCGCGAGATTTTCATATAAAACCGGGCAATCGATAAGAACACGTTCAGCGTTCAATTATCTTCAAAGAGGTGTTAATCTGTTAATCGTGGAGTTACCCTTGTCAAAGAAAGTGAAAAGATATGCTCTTTCTATTTTGTTTTCACATCTCTGGCTATCTATAAAGTTTTTTAGGATGCAATAAAAGATATTTTAAAAAATCTTTGCATGGAATATGAATCTTCCATTTCAGAGTAGCAGTTTTCCTAATATGTACAATTTCATTCATCACGAAATATCTTAAAGAATTGTTTTCAATATTATTTGAATGACATAACATCCGTACCTTGAAAATTTCCCATTCATAAGATATACAAGAAAATAAATATTTTCATCCATTGGACATCCTGAAACTGTTTTAAGGATAAAGACTGTAAAATTGTAATAATTTAAGGTGAATTTAGACATTTCACAAACTATGGAACAAACAAATGTATAAATGAATACTTCAATATGGTAAAATTGTGTTTCTTGTTATTGATATTCACCCAAGATGGATACCGGTCCGTCCGCTTGTAGTCCTATACACTAAATCAGGAGAAGGATCCCTCCATTAGTATATCATCTTCCAACAAGTCCGGAGATTGGTCCCTCTGGTAATGGTTACCATCCTTGCGGAGTGTTAAGTTTGATCTTTTACACCGCAGACCAAGAGTGATTGGGTGCTGCTCCGCCTGACACTTAAGGTCATCCATCTACACATCTTCCTTCATCCAATAAGTCATCTTACCCTCTAAATCAGTATTTAGATGAACACGCACTGTCGAGGCCTTCTGGTAACTGTAGATATCCTCTCTGCACATATACTTCGGCACTATGATAGTAATAATCACCTTTTTTTTCTGGCTTCGCAGATCTTATATACTCGACTCCGATCAGAAAAAAAAACAACTAAACCACTACAACCAATGGAAGGTCTTGGATTCAGTACTCTATTATAATAAGTGATGATTCAAGACCAACGGTGGTGCAGCGAGGGATTGGGCTGAGATCATGCTCAACCACTTGGTTTTTCTCCTTAATTAGTTATGAGTACTCACTTTATAGAGGCTGGGTGTTCTCAAAGAGAGTTCATTAACGGCTGTCTAACAGAATTAGTAATTAATTTCCTAAGCTGTGCTCGAACCCGATTCACGGAGAATAGAGAAGTATAATGCCTTACTTACTGAGCTAAGTCGCTCCATAACATAATCGTGAAAATTAATAAGAGAAAGAAATAGTAAAAGAAGCTGGATGTGTACGGAAATAGCCAACGTACAGTGTTATGATTATTAAACATTCCATTTATTTCTGACATAATGAGAAGTTGTTCGGGAAGGGAATAAGGAGGGATACAGTAAATTAAGAGAAGCAAACTAGGGATAAATCACCCCACATTTTTTTTTTAATGTTTCTACGATTCTGTTTTCTCCGTGGCATGCTAGTACATTTTCATTATTTTCGCACAGTTTCTCTCCTAATTCGTTCCGTCACATCACCGCTTTTTTTATACCGATCAAATTCTTATTTCCGCGTTCTTTTAATCTTTTTTAGAGGTTACTCTCCTCGATTAAAAAAAAAAACCGTTGAAGAGGAAAAGATTAAAACAGCTTTGTTCATTAAAAAATATATTAAGTGCCTGCTGATACTCGTGGGGGGAAATAGTCGATGGCAACCTTACTTTCTATCTATTTATTTTTCTTTTGAAATTCAATAATTCAGTTCTAAATATTTTCTTATATGTTTTCTAATCTTCCAGAAGTGTTAATCTACCTTTCGAATCCATTAAATCGTTCCTGAAATCTACACAAATCTCTTTCCATCGGTGTTTGTTTCAATAAATTGATGTTCAATTGATCATAAATTGTGTTTTTTGGAATTAGTGGCTTAAGAATGGGGTTTAAATAACCCAATCAAAAGCTTGTGGCATTATTTTAGAAAAAGACAGAGATGAACTCTGAATTACGTCTGCAATTTTTTCCATGCGCAATTCTGTATGATCTAAAGAACTAGCGAAACAGTCAACATGCAAAAAATGGATTATTATGCTTAAGTGGCCTAATCTACAAGTTTTACAATTGGTCCAGTCCAATACGATTTAATATTCCAGAATTACTTAATTTATATCTATTCCATTTTAATTCAGCTTGATAATATCCGCCTAGATTTAAAAAAAAATAAACAGATCTCGAGAGACGTTTGTTTATGAGGTAAATGACATGTAATTATTTACTTCAAAATATTATTTGTGTAGTTCAAATAATTGAGTCATATTTACATTTCTATCTAATGGAAATCTTAACTTCATTAGACTAACGATTTTATCCTCTTTGCACTGATCCAGCAAATATCTTGTTTGGAATGATAATTTGTCACTTGATTTTGTAGGGAAATGTAGATTAAAATATTCAGTGTTTTAAGATAGTCGAATTGTTACTCATAATAGATATTTGTTTATTGGATTGCATGTCTGTTATCAGTTGATTTAAATTTTAGAATGAAACTTCAAGATTTTCAGTGTTCCAAATGCAGTCATCCTGCTCATATTCCATTTTCAGTTGAATGGTCTGATGATGATTGTATTGCTTTAGCTACAGAGAAAGGAGCATACATAACGGTAAAAAATTATCTTGGTTTTTATAATTATTTCTTATTTAAAAAATGTTATTTTAATAATTTTTGTGGTATGGGTCTCTTTGTTTACTTGAGTATCTTAACTAACATCATTATATTTAAATATTAAGCAATGTTGAATACTTATCAGTAATAATTATAATTTTAATTATACTGATATCTGTTTTCATCATATTTATTTACATAACCTTGTAATATTTATCTTATGGCTCATGTTTAGGTAAACAATTATTTGGCCTTATAAATAAGTCTGGCTTATGAGTTCATACATTTCCTATTTCTTGAAGATAGTACCAGACTTTATCTAATCATTCCAAACTAAATATTTAAGTGTCATATTTATTTATGTTCCGATACCTTACATTTTATCATTGCTTTTTTTAGATTATTTTTATACCTGATTTATATTGAACATTTTAGTTTTTACTTAATCGTGTTTAAAAGTAATGTGGGAAATTTAAATTATTCAATACTTTTGTGTTGCCCTTTTTGTTCATTATGTAAGTTTGTTCATTATTTAAACATTCATTAAATATAAAGTCCTCTAAAATCTCCTGTTAACTAAATGTATCATTATAGTGGCGCCATGTCTAGGTGACAGCTGGTCCAAGATTTCATGATCACATTGTACATGAAATACAGCTGATGTCTTTTTACAGGGTAGGTTAAATTTTCTGTAAATTAGACCATATATATTGACCTGAAGGAATATGTACCATTTAATACAAGAATAGGATTGTTAAAATGTACACAGAACTTATAACCTAAATGTCAGTTTTTCCAATCCCAGGGTTAAAAACATTAAATTGTTTTAATTTCTAGTTTGTTGTATAATATAACTTAACTGTTAAGTATTAGGGTAACATAGTTTTTTTTTTTTTTTTTATTGATAAGAAATCATTTGTCTACCTTAAATTTTGTACCAACTTGGTTTATTTTAAACATTCAATGAACTTTGTGATTAATTTGAAATATTCTAGCAGTATATAAAATATGGTCATAAAACAATTAATTATTCTTTTAACAGTATTTTGACATGTAATGGCAAACAGGGTTAGTTGCATTGAAGGTTTGTAAACGAACTTTTATCAAAACCATCCCACCTTTCATGTGCTGGTAAAAATAAGCAAGTGAATAAATATTATGTAGCAAAATTATTAAATAGTATTAGTTGCGAATTAGACTTTAATTAAGAATAAAAAACAAACAATAAAAATAAACTTCATATCTTTCCAAATCACAGTATTTCAGGTAAGATATTATACAATATCTTAAGTGAAAACATTGTTACAAAAGTTAATGAAGATTATTATTTTATTAAGCTTAGTAATACTTAATGAAAATGAAATAAATTTTGTGAAGTCAAACAAACGGAATCTTACTTAGAGAAAAAAAGGATAAAAATGTTTAATTTTTCAATAGCTGTGAGCTTACAATAGGCCCCTAATACGTCGTTAATCGATTAAATCTACCAGTTCCTAAATCTCACTGTTTCTTTCTCCGACGTAAAAAAAAGTATGATAAATTAGCATGACCTATTTCACGTCTTTCACTGAACACTTTCTTCCATTGAGACCATTGATGACGTACCTATGCCTTGCCTATATCCCAAATGTTGATGACATATAATTGTAGGACAATGAATAATAGATAAAATAAGTTTACCTCGTCATATCCAATCTTGAAATTTTACAATAGTGTGTGATTACAGATGTTATCATTAATTTAAGTTTACCTATGGTGACTATAAACTTGAAATATTACATATTAGCCACAGTTCAGGGATTGGTTCTGAGAGTGATACGTAAGAGAGATTTCAGTCATGAAAAAAACAGAAGAATATAAGAATAGATAAACAGAAAATCTCCATCCTAATCCTTTTTTACTTTTCCAAATATTTCCATTCTATTCATTTTTCATTCCACATTTGATTCTGTCAATCATGAGATCCTTCTTTCCAAACTACAAAGCCTGCCCATTTCAAAAAGCGTCCTCAAATGGTTCCTCTCCTTCTTATCCGATGAATCTCAGACAGTTGTAATTCCAAACAAACCTCCATCATCTCTCCTTCAACTAATTTCCTCTTCAACAGTTCCTCCACTCTCCCCGACCCTCTTCTCTATTTATATTAGTGACCTTCCTAATTCAACACTCCTGTTACCATATGCCGATACTACCGATACTATATGCCGATGATTTCTAAATTTACCAATCATTCCAACCTTCTGAGATGCCTGAGGCTGCCCGAAAGCTACAAGAGGATATCGACTGCATCAACAGATGGGCAGAAATAAATGAATTAAAAATAAATGTCGATAAAACTAAGGCAATTCTCATCGGGTCCAGACATCTCATTAGATCCCTTTCTTACTTTCCTTTACTTTACCTCAATAACCGTCCTATCCATTTTTTCTCTACAGTCAAAAACCTAGGAGTAACCTCTCCATGAATAACCATATCTCCCAGATTACCCGAAAACCCATAACTGGACTTAACAACTCCTAAGATTACATGATTGTATTCCTCCAAAAATCAGACAGCTGCTGAGAAAAAATGTCAAGACCTGCCCCCCCCCCCCTTCTGACCTATTAACTGCCACAAAAAAGCTTTAAGAGGGCTTAAATAGAATATATGACTGGGCAGGAGCTAACAAGCTGAAGTTGAATGTGGAAAAGACGAAGGCAATCCTAATAGGCTCCAATCACCTTCTTAAAACTGTTCCCAACATTCCAACCTGTTCCTACATGATAATCCCGTCAAATTTATCCCACCATCAAAAACCTTGGAATAATCTTTGATGAAACCCTATCCTGGAAAAACCAAGTATCCAATATCTCCCGACATACCTTTTCCACCTTAAAACATTTAAATAGCTTCCGTCACCTTTTTTCCTTTTGTAACCCGTAGATTCCTGGTCACCTCCTTAATATTTCCCCACTTTGACTATTGCTTCATGGTATATAGAGGTGTCTCTAGGTATTTCGAGGCGAAACTAAAACGTTTGATAAACAGCTTTGTACGACTCATTTTCGGAACCCTGAGGGACACCCCTATTTTCTGTATTTATGAAGAGTTGAAGTGGCTTTATCCTTCCTACCGCTGTAAGTATTTCCTGGCATCCTTCCTCTTCCAAGCCATTCACTCCCGCCGTCCTTCATACATATCCGAGCTCCTTCAATTTAAATCCTCTGTTGACTCCCGCAATACCCATTTCCAGTCTTCAGATTTATATATAACGGCCCACCGAACCGCGCTACTTTTGATTAATCTTTTATTATTTGATCCTCATCCCTATGGAACTCCATCCCTCCTGACATCCGTTGTTCCAATACTTTCCCTTTAAATCCCGCCTTTTCAATCGCTTCCTTTCCATCCAGTCCCTATAAAATTGTAAATAGAAATTTCTGTAAATATGTATATATATATTATTAGTTTATTTTCTTTTCATTTATTTATTTTTCTTCTTAATCAACTTAAATTAGAGAATAACTTTTTTTTTCATTATATCTATTAGCTTACTTTGTAAATACATTTATATATACATCTGAGGCTCAAAAGCCCACATTTCTGTCCTTGTTAATTATTCTAAAGGGACTCGTCCCAGAATAAACAAAAAAGATTATTGTTATTACATTGGCAAAATTATATAAATTGTTACAGAATTTAGATTTTGAGTGATCTAGTTGATTTAAAATAAAATTATCATTAGGTATATTTGTATTGTATAAGTATTGTGACATTATTTTTATTAAAAGTTGAGTCAGATTTCTTTAAAACAAAAGTACTGAAAGAATAAATCAAAATCACTACTTTTCAGACGTCTTTAAGCTGGTTTAGCCTATTTCAGAAAGAAAAGTAAATTTTATTCTGGTACATTCTGGAGGCCCATAAGAATAATTACAATGAACAATTTAGTGACATTTGTCTGACATAAGAAGTTGATCATCTTGTTGTTAATTAAATTACATTACTATCAAGTCTTGAGATTAAAATGAAAGAAAGGCACAAGTTAACATTTGAATTATAGATAGTCTGTTTATGAGTATGTTCACATATAAACAATATATAATATATAGGTATCTGTAAAATGAGGCTGACATCTCTAAAACACAAAAATATTCTTAAATTTACTCGGAAGATTGATTGCTGAGGAAACGGAAAAATAAATGCTGTTGAATTGAATGAGGTTAAGGATGAGGATTTGCGTATGGAATTCCAAAACAAGGTAGCACGTATGAGAAAGGATTTTTCAAAGGAAACAGTTCTACGAGAAGGAAAAAACAGATTTGTGGGATCTCGTGTTGAACACATGGACCGAACCGAGGAGCAAAGAGTTAACAAACCACGAAAGTAAGCCTCATTTTTTATTGTATTGTATTGTTCGGAGATTTGTTTGTAAAGGCAAAAACCTAGGAGATGTTGCTGTTGGTGTAAAACTGGATAGAGTCACTTCAACTTGGCATACCAACTTGAGATGTTGAATTGCTGGAGGGCTCCAAAGATGAATCTAATGAAGCAATTCATTAGTCTCTTCAATCTGATCTCAAGCCCACCAGACAGTCTACCATATACAAGGCAGCCATAATGGAAGTGAGGAAACTAGGAGCTGACGAGGTTTTAGAGGCATAGAATCTCAGGAACTGTTATAGGGTAGCTATAGATTTTCGGATAAATTTGCGAAATATGATTGTTCCAGGAGAGGTATTGAAAAAAAATTACCCTAAGGTTTTTTATGGAAGTGTGGAAATGAATATGTAGTCCATCAAGGTAGAGTAAAGGATAATAAGAAATGAATGGAATTGATAATATGCTTGGAACCAATGATAATGGCTTTGGTCTTCTCCATGTTCAACTTGAAATCATGGCTGGCTGCCCAAGTGTTAATACTATCTATATCTTCTTGTCGCCGTCGGATCGCCTCAAGTATCATGGTAGGATGAAAGAAAAGGTAGATTTAAAGGTCATCAGCATATATGTGGTATTGTACATAATGGATGGAATCAGGAGGTCGTTGATGTAGATGGAGAAAAGAGTTAGAGAGAGAGAAGATCCCTGAGGAACACCACGAGTTAATAAGAGGTGGGAGGAAGGAATTCTATTCCATTCACAACTTTTGGCTAGAATCGTACTTATTGATCAGCGTGAAGTCATGGTTCAGTCATTGATGAAATAACACGTTAATAAGAAATCTTATTTTATTACATTTCAATGTTGCGACCTAAATTTTAAGACTTCACAAGAGCCAATTAAAAACAAATAAGAAAAAGCTTTAGAATACCAATTTAATAACAAGATAAAAAAGTATGAAAATTTGAAGTATGGACATGGTTATGATAATACTAATATGTATATGTTAATAAGATATATTAAAATATGGAAGCATCAAACCTGATTGTAAGACATCAGTTATACTCTCTCTTTACATTAACATATAACTCAACGCTGCGGCTAGGAATTTGTCCCATTGCCTCATTTTCCTCTTTTCTATCCTTATTTATTCGTTTATATTATGATATTAACTTAAACTTATCACCAATTCTTATTATTTTCTATGTAAATATTTATTCTTTGAACTTATATAACCTAATATTTTATTTCATTATTGTGTTATCTTTGCTTAATAACTTCTTTTACTTTATATCTTAGATATTTCGTTCAGCACAAATTATTTTATTTTTCTGTACTTTCATATACTTCTTTAATTGATGATAATATTTTCATTTATTGTTATAATGTCAGCTATCCACTTAAATCATGTTTTTGTATTTTAGTACGTACTATATATTAATTTATCTTAGACCTCATAATTTTTCATTCATATCTCATTATTCATTTTTATTTTCATTTTGTTCTTAATAGGTATTTGGGTTATCATAACCATGCTCATTCTTCAATTTTTTAAAACTTTTTTTATCTTATTTTATTGTTATGCTGTTATTCATAGCCTCATTTTTTTATTTAGTCCTGATAAAGACCTAAAACTTGGGCTGAAATCTCGGCACACAATAAAATAAAATTTTATAATTATGTATTATTGCACGTCCAACCATCTTCTACAATTACCAATACCTATTGATAATGTTTTGATACTCCTGTAACAAATGTTAGGAAAAAAGGAGCTTATGTGCACGAAACTTTGACTTACACTGTTGGTACTTTTCTTGAAAGATTTATATTAAAGTATATATTCAGTTCAAACGGATATACATATTAATAATCTTATCTTCCCCACCTTGCCGTCATAAGTGTGATATTTGTTTTTGATTTTTTTTTTTTCATATTACCATATGTTAAACAAGTTTTTCAGTTTGCAATAGAGATATTTTTTAAGTTTTAAGAAACTAATCTTATTACTTATTTCGGCAGGGTGGAGGCTGGACGAGGAGATCTCTTATCATAATGCAAGTTATAATCATAATGATGCTTTTGGGGATAGCGGAATGTGGCAATATGACCAGTGCTGTTTTTGGTGACAGAACTCATGTGTTCCCTGCTGCTTTTGGAGACTTTAACTCTGACGAATATCCTGATCTGTTTGTGATTGACAAAAATCGCAAAAGTATCGAAATCCTCCTCGGAGCAGATGTTGAACCGTTCCTCAGGGCCAGTAAGAACTTGAGGTGTGAGTTTGATTTAACTGTTACAAGTATAGTCCCTGGTGATTTTGATGGAGATGCCTTGATGGATGTTCTTGTAACGCTTCATGAAGGTGAAAAACTTAGTTCAGTTTTTATTTTATGGGGTAACGGTGGAGAGACGTTGGATTGTTCTCAGAAAAAAGAGCTGTTCAAACTGACAGGACAACCTCTTGCTATGGATTATAACCAAGACATGATAATAGATCTCTTTGGCAGCAGTGCTGAGAATACCAGGATGTTTTGGGTCTTCAAGAATAAATCCACCCCAACTGGCATACCAATGTTGATGGATCAAAACAGGCTTTATCCTGAATTAAGAATTCCGCATTCGCATGCGTTCCTCGATATGAACGGTGACTCTGCTGCAGATCTTGTCGTGACCACGAAGGATGGCTTTGAGGTTTGGGTTTGGAACAAGGAACATGGAAATTTTGAATTTGATCCCAAAACCAACAAGGCTTTTCCACCAGACGCTGCCCATGTTGGACAGTCATTATTTCTGGATATCGAACTGAAAGGTAATATGAACCACCTGCTACCCGTATGCAAGAACAAGGATTGTTCGCAGAGTACAATTTATGTCAACTCTTCAGGAAAGTGGCTCGACTTAAAACCTACCTTTTTTCAAGAGACTGTTCTCTGGGGATTCGTTCCTCCTCATCCCCATGAAATGTTCCTTGAAGCAATTACCCTCCACGGTGGTGACTTTAACATGGATGGCTATCCAGATCTCCTTGCCACATTACAGCACAATAATATAAGGAAAACCTTCCTCCTGGAAAACGTGGAATGTAAAACAAGCTGTAACGAATTCTCAAGAACTTTTGTTGTCAATTGGCAAGCTCTGGATCCGTATAATAACAACACAATCATGGGAGTGTTTTATGACTTTATGCAAGATGGTATTTTGGATATAATTTTCGTTCACGACAAACCCGACAGAAGAGTTTCTGCATTCAAAAACAACCTGGACTATGATGCAAACTTTGTTAAGGTGATGGTTATAACTGGAATAAAAGACAAAAAACAGCCGGTTATCCCAGGACCTTTGGGAGGACGCAAGAACCGAACATACGGAACTAATTTGCCTGGACCTCAAATCTCTTACGAAACGACGACTACAGAAGGAAATTGTAGAGCTGCAGTTGCCGCACAATTACCGCAATCAGCTTACTTCTGCCTCCATCTGCCATACACTCTTTTTGGTCTCGGTAGGACGCCTAACTTCATTGATAACCTCATTGTCGGAGTATCGGGTGAAAAGAGGACTTGGCCCCAGATCATCCCTAACTCTCAGATGGTCGTCATCCCACGACCTAAGAATCACCCCGAGAAGTGGACCGCACGACTGTTCGTCACACCGAGCAAGCTTATTGTACAGAGCTTCATTGCATTGCTCGCCACTTGTTTATTCATCTCGCTTATCATTGCCGTACTTTATTGGAAGGAGCGAAGGGAGGACAATTACGAAAGGTTTCATTTTCTTCATTAAATTCTGGAAGGTCAATGATAAAAAATTAAATTTTGTGATTTAATTAATTACATAAAGCTTTTTAAAATAGATTGTTATAAAACAGAAAACTCCTTTTCATTTGTTTTATAACATTTTATAAGATTATAATGTATATCATTTTCTTTAATAATAATAATAGTTCTTAAGTTTGATTAGATTTTCTTTATGCCTTATTGAGCTATAGATGAGTTTAATCCATGGCTGTAGAATTCTATTGTACTGAATGTTTTAGTTCATAATGAAATAAGTTAGTTATTATCATATTTTCAAAGAACTAAATTTAATTCTTACAGTTATTTGGTTTCTGAGAATTTACCTCACTGAATAAAATAAATTTATTATTTGTAAGATGTAAGTGTAAAAACTAAAATCTATTTATTAGGTATATTATTATAAGACACTTTTAGTTTTTAAAAAATTGTTAAGAATTTTTAGAATTTTTCCCCCTCACCTGGGAGAGACCATTTCTATTGTGATATATTTATTATGATAACATAAAATATTTTTGAGTCTTGTTTTATTATAAATGATGTAAATATTGCTTATTTATAGGTTATCTTCCAAGCATTGTAAATAAAATAAAAATAATTTTATAACAGTCATGTTTATTGCCTATATTATTTTTTTTCTAATTATAAATGTAATACTCTGGTACCAATGTGTGATAATTGTATTTATTAATCGTTCGGCGATGTGAGGGAGGTCTACCTGACCTAGAAAAGCTAATAACTGTATGTTAATTAAGTGAAGGCAGGTAGTTATTTTGGAGGGACTAATTTTATTTTTTCTCAATGCTACCTTATTTTGAGAAACTAAACAAATTTTAACAAATTGTTCGTGTTTATCTAATTATTTTATTGTTTAAATCTTATCTTATACACATTGTATTACAAACATATGACAATATTCTAAGTGTTAAAATATCCTATTCATATGTATTAGGAAATTGTAATTGTTAAATTCCAAAATGATTTTATTTGAGAACAATTTTTTTTTTTTTTTTTTTTGCTGATGTAAAGTAAATATGACCATGGAATCATATTCTAAGTTCAGTTTAGGTTTATTAAGCAAGAAGAAAAAAAAAAAGAACACCCATAACTCAGATTAATAATCTTACCGATAAACTAACCAATACTTAAAAAAAACATGATTTATCAGATTTATAGTCTAGCAGAAAACTTACAAATAAAATTCTGAACATGTACACAAATAATAAAGACCGAATCAATAAACATTATATCCCTACATATAGTATTACAGCTCGAACTCGGTTGGATTCAGAATTTCACAGGAGGTTAGCAAATCGTACTCTCCACTTTTGGTTTTCTTTCTAATCTAAAATAAATAAAGTTGATATTAACATTTTGTTAGGCTTCAATACTGGAACGGTGATAAGTCTCTAGATTGATATGGGACAAATTGGGCTTTGAAGATTTTGATGCTTACACCATGAACCGGATAGTTCCTTCAGAACTATCAGGCTCTGCGTTCTTAAGCCCCGAAACGTACGATTTTCAAGATAATGCAAGGCAAAGGGTTCACATCCACACAATCTCACATTAATTGTAGTGCTGCCATGAAATACGTCTCATTTCGTCGACTTAAGGTCCTGATGATCAAGAGAGGAGGATATTGTTTATCAATGGTGTTTATTTGTCGATAAGCCATATCATTAATTCTTCATCAAATCCCAAGAATGATCCACCAATTTTGAAGGTTTCCTTCTCCTTCAGGTGAGAAAAATAGTCCAATCATCCCATGAATTCAGACAAAAAAGTTATGAAAGAAATGAAACTTTATTTACAAATAACTCAAAAATTAGTTACTTTTCCTTTGGTTATACCCATGATTATATAAAAGATTACCAAATTGCTTACAAAAAAAATCGGACAATTATTAACAAAACGAAAGCTTATTGAAATTTGTAAACATGTTGGTCCCGAACATTAATGAAATTTTAATTAATTTTTGTTTCCTTTGTCGATTATAATTAGTGAGAAAGCCACAATTGGTTTCTCTATCTTATGGTACATTGCATTATTTTATTTTATTATTAATTTGTCATTTGATCACTGAACAATATGCTGTGTGATTTTTTTCACATGGGCCAACTAGTACAAAATAAATTGCATGGTTTATAGAAATATCACTAATGAAAATAAAGAAAATATATTACTAAAAGCAAATGTAACAGAACTTGAAAAATAGAATAAATCAACACAAAAGCAAAACTCGAATACAATTCTAAAATTAAAAAATATAATACCTGCACAGGACTTTCAACACACAGTACCCGACGGAAACACAGCTTTGATTTTAATAATATCGAAATAATAACGTGTGAAAAAAATAGCTATAAACGCAAAGTATTAGAATCAATTTATATTACCAAAAATCTAAACAAAGTATGTAATTTTTAAACAGACGCAAATGGGTTAAACAGAACTTATGCAAATATCATTACTAAATTGAAATTTTTATTGAACAATAATTCATATTTCTGAGCCATAGCAGCAGAGGACTTGTCTGATGAATACTTTGCAAAGCAAAAGTTAAAAATTTTTTGAACAGGGTGTAGTCTCTCAGTTGAAGCCGCAGCCCACAGAAGCAGCAATTCGTCAACATCACTCTGTTCCTGATTTCAGCACCAATATTAAGAGTTCACAATTCTTCCAAGATATTTTATACTATCCAATTTTTAAAATGTTTTTTTACTTAATTATGATATATATTAAAAATTTCTAGTAATTTTCCTGACAATATTTTAAGTAATCAATTTAACATTAAGATCTTTATGGAGGATTATATTTGTGACAAAATAAGAGCATTGAGGATTGCATACAAGATAAATTGATGGTTAAGTGGAGCACCAAAGCTCAACTCTGTAATTGTAAACAGGCCTTATTATAGTCATGTTGATGAACCTTTTGCAATATTGAAATGTTTGTCTAGTAAATTTTGAATAAACCAGATGCAAGCATTATATAGAATACACGTAAGGAAAAATAAGACATTTCTCCAGGTGATTGTCCACATTGTACAGGATCTGTTCAATATGGGTAAGTGGAGCATTATTAAAGGATACAGTAGGAGAGGAAGTCATCAATGTACGACAAAGGATAAAGATGATTTGATGGTATTTGTTGAGCATTACTTTATTTCTCTAGTTTTGACATTTTGTGATACACGATTGGAGAGATTCGGATGTAATTAATGGGTCATTATTAATAAAATTGACATCCTTTTAACATAAACTTATTTTTACCTCCAATAAGTCAATATGTATCCTATTTTTACTTTCCTACCTATACTAGCTAAGGAAAGTATTGCAATTGGGTCAAGTTTTCGATGGATCTATAGATTTCAGAGCCTCCTGTGTCCGAAAAACACATTTTTAGCCCTTGGTCTTTCTGTCTGTCTGTGCTAAGATTTTCTCGGAAACTATTGAACCGATTTGTTATGACTACTGATGCCTGTGATAGAAATTCGGTGCTCCATGCGCAATAGCTTGCGCGCAATAAATGAAAAACATGTTTTTCTACAGACTGTAGAGCAAAAACGGCTCTTACGATTTTGATGAAACTGTCCTATAATGTTCTAATCATTGTTCTTTCAATTTTCGTATATAAACTAGATTCCCGAAAAAAAATCAGGAAAAAAAGTTATAAAGAAAAGAAAAATGCTATGGGGCCTAACTCCCTAAGTATATATTATACCATAAAATTGACAACTATTAACAAAGTTACAGCTAGGTTTCATATCCTGGTATCAGAAAGGGGTGAATGAGAGAATAAAGATGACTAAGTGAAAGTAAGAAAATCTGTTGCCTGCATGACAAAATCTTCACTATTTCCTCTTAACAGAAATTATTGTTCGACAATACTAAGCTATGGCAAAGACAATATTATGATTTTAAAAAAAAAATCATCATTGAAGATCTGTAAGATTAATCCAGTTAAGAACAAGCTGAGGTTAAAGAGCTCTAAATTGTACATTGGTACAATAAATTTATAAAATTTGTAGGAATCATATTTGAGAAAATTGTAAAATCAAATATATAAATGAAGAGAAGAATAGTTGGGGTGGTCAGTCAAAAAGGAAGGCAAAAATAAATGATAATATTTATTTTTTACATATGCCGAAGTTTCGACCTGAAGTTCAGGCCTTCATCAGGGCTAAGAAAATAACCAGATAACAAGGTATGAGAAACATAAGTAATGATGGTAAAAAAGATAATAAAAAAAAAAAATTAGAAAAATAAAATAGATGAATATAAAGTAAAATGAAATTGTTAGAATAATGAATTCTCTTAATAAAGAACTAAGAGATAAATAATAAAAACCGTTACAAAGTGTGGAATGATGAAGTAGGCATAATCCAAAAGTGTTACAATGGGAATCTTAAAGAGTTTTTAACTCTTTATTATATTATACATTGTCTGTACATCTTGATAGACTTTACAATATCTCAATTTTCTATCTAACTATTCCATTCTCAATGTTTTAATTTTACTATTTATTTTCATTTCTTATATAACTTCATATTTCTTTTTTATGTTTTATATTTTATTCTAAGATTCCCATTGTAACACTTTTGTCACCCTTTTTGATTATGGCTACTTCATCATTCCACACTTTGTAACGGTTTTTATTATTTATCTCTTAGTTCTTACTCATTATTCTAACAATTTCATTTTACTTTATATTCATCTATTTTATTTTTCTAATTTTTTTTTTATTATCTTTTTTACCATCATTACTTATGTTTCTCATACCTTGTTATCTGGTTATTTTCTTAGTCCTGATGAAGGCCTGAACTTCAGGTCGAAACGTTGGCATATGTAAAAAATAAATATTATAATTTATTTTTGCCTTCCTTTTTGACTGACCATCCCTACTATTCTTCTCTTCATTATCCATGACAGTCAACCAATTACCAATTACAAATATATAAATGGTAAGTAAATTTTATTTTAAAAGTTGTTGTTATATGCCAGACACATATATTTCTTAAATTAATAATTTTAGTTTCATATGACTTTGCTTTGTATTTGCACACACATAGAACATTTTGTGAAACCAGGGAAACATAAAATGTGTATTTCTGTTAAATACTAAGATTCAAAATAGCAATACTTTTCCCTACTTCATATTTCATATATAGTTAAGTAAAAGTAAAAACACTATATAGAGATTGACTCTAACAATAATATACTTTAAAAAATACTACTAAATATTATTCAGATAAATTTTAAATTTTAGTTGAATGAGTTGGAACATGAAAATATTTCTTCAACATCATGACATGATTAAAATTAAAAGATCTGAACTTTGGGATTCGGCTAAACAAACACACATTAATAAAATACAAACAACAGAATCAAAAATTCTATGAAAAATTGTCAACACACCTTGGTACGTTTCAAATAACACTACATAACGGCTTAAACATCCCAACAGTTAAAATCGTACATCCACGACAAATACACTTCATTTCATTCTTCTACTCTCAATCATCCAAACCTACTCGTTCTGTCTCTTTGTTCCTCCCTGTTAACTGATCGACGCAGATTAAAAAGAAAATGGCCAAGAGAATCTACTCCTACAACAAAAACAAAATTAATTTAATCGAGCAAACTCACAGTTAATGCCTAATTCATCAAATTTGCTAGGTGCACTGTAGCACAGGTGCATATGGCTTAAAATGTGAAATAAAAAAAAAT